CCAGCTCTTTTTGCTCAGTGTCTTGAGATAACATTTTGTTGTAAATTGGCGATATATCATAAAGACTGACTGACTGACTGACTGACTGACTGATTGATTGATTGGTTGATTGATTGATTGATTGATTGATTGATTGATTGATTGATTGATTGATTGATTGATTGATTGATTGATTGATTGATCGTGCACATGTACCATTCTTTTTGCATCTTTCTAAAGACAAGCCAGCTACTTTTTTGGAAAACTTGGCAACATGTAAAAGCAAGTAGTTATGAAACCCAAAATATGAAATACAGGCATAAATAGGAATAGCATCAGAATGTTAGGAAGCGGTTAGCTTTGGTTGCAGGTGTGTGAAGTTTTCATACATTATTAAAACATGATATGTAATTTCTTCCTTCTCATGTGTATAAAAGGGGGGAAGGGCAGAAGCTTTGATACTCTTCATGTGCATCAAATGTGGCAATCATTTCTCTTCACTCCAGCACTGCAAAAGTCCTTTCATCACTATGACCTATCCAGCTCTCACTTTCATCCCACGCTAACGAGGGGCTCATTAATTTCTAATCAAAAGGTCCTCCCTGCTTTACCACAGGTCTACTGAGGGTTCAGCCTCCTGCTCAGAGCAACGAGGTCATCACATTTAAAACAATATATTTGAAGGCCAGCAGAGGTGTGAAAAAAACACACAAGGTAGAGATGTATCTGTCTCATATGATTCCGGTCACTTTTTTATAATCAGATGATTTAAATTCCAAAGCGGAGACTGTGTGAGGAAGAAATGAGTGCGAAAAAGATTCAACAGTATGAAGACTGAAAAGAGAGCTGCTTTGTGTTAAAGCATGGCAAAAACTCCCCTCACACACATCTGGAAGGAAGACACTATCTCACTGTGAATTTCCAAGTGTATGTGTGTGCTCATACGTGTACACGCGTGGAGGAATGGCTGTTCTGCCACGTTCCAGATAATTCTCCACACTGGCGGGTCCACACTCTCTCTCTACACCCCAGGCCAAGCTCCACCAAGATGTCTTCGGTCAATCTGGTCTGTGCTTGTATATAAGGGTCCAGGCTCAGTGTAACAGTCGACTGCTCCAGTCAGTCAGGCTGTTTAAGGAGAAACTGTGCCTCGAGACTTTGAATCTGCTGCTCCACCGAGAGACCCAGTGAGGTGAATCACAGGTTTTATCAGTGAGAAACCACATTCAGCATGTCAGACAAATTAGCTTTATCTCTACAGATTTCTACCCAGACTCAGAATATCACACAATATCAAAACATGTATCCTAAAGATGAATTGCTCAATAGCACTATTGTCAAATCAAAGCCAGAATCACTGTGGTAATATCCAATTGAAGCAGAGTGTTATCATGTGCTTATCATGTGCTTTTAGCAAGGGATGAGGCAGATGATAGAAAGAAAAATCATGATAGAGAGGACATGGGAAGCTCTTATTAATCAAAACACTGGCAGTTCATCAAGGATAAAACAAAATATCTATAACATATGGCAAATAATCACCTCATTGTAAATTACTTCTTAACATCTCTATAGTCTTAGACACATGATGGTTCAGCATTGGCCAGCTATTCTAAAGTTTATAGTATTATATTTAAGTAAGATAATCTGTAAGTCTATAGGAAATTTGGTGGTATAACAAATCCCCTGGTTTAGTTTACACTGTGTGGGGAACAATGTTACTTATCTCTCCATTTATCATGACCCCATAAAAAATACTGTGTCTGCTTAACATCACAAAGACAGCTCAGCTCAAACAAAGGGCCAGGTGTACGTTAAGGAGGAAAATTATTCAGTTTCACTACTTGACTTAAACCAGAGACAACAAAGGTCCACATGAGACAAAGACAGCGGCTGAGCAGATACAGCACTCCATCTGTGTCACAGTGCCATCTAGCTGCCAGACTAAGACTAGTTGTAAAGGCATTTTCTTTAGTGGCAACACAAGAAAGAACAATTTCTGTGTGTCATCTAATGCTGAAATATTTCTTTGTTGAGGTTTATGTTGTAAAACTTTTTAAAAATGTACTTTTCCAAATCTTAAATCATTTTGTAGGCTGGCTTGAATTATAATAATGTATAACTCTACTTTGTTTTCAACTTGTCTGTTAAATGAGGTATGAATGTTTCATGCAAGATGATTTTATAAGACACATCATTAATAAAGAGCTCACAGCCTCAGTCCTCATAGATGTACAATTGTCAAACTGAATGTTGACAAACTTCAAGTTTTTATGTGTTTTGGTACTTCTATATCCCCTCGAGAAAGGAATATTTTATCACTCCTGACTGATGACAAATGATCGAGCTATAGTGGATATCTATCTTTTACATCATATAACAGCCCTCATGTGGTGCTTGATGTACTAGTTTGCTAGAACAAAAAATTCCCCAGGCTCGAACAAGAACAGTCAAAAAGATCTTTGTCTCTTGAAGCGTATCTCAGGAAACACACCGTCTATGTATGTCAACAATTGTTCAATTGCTACATGAGTTTCAGTTTTGCTGAAAGCAGCCAGTTCAGTCAAACCTGGCTTTCTTGTACAACAAGAGATCCATAGTGCAACCACAAGTATAGAGTCATGATAGTTGTAACACCAGAGGCAAATAGTATGACAGCTGGCGTGGAGATCACACAGGGGACAGAGGCATATGTCTCACAGGTGCAACTGTGGACAGAAAGGGCTTCTGCCATCAAGTAAGAGCTTTCAACAAGTGGCGCCAACCATGCGAGTGGGAGACAGAGTTCTTGTCCAGCTCTCATTAAGTTTTCTTTTCAAATTTTGAAAACTGTTCTCCATCATAGTTGTTCTACAAATGTTGAACATAGTTTTTAACATGTAAATGAATCACTAAATACAGGAGCAAGTTCAGTTTTAGGGCCTGAAGTCATATAGTACAAAGACCTGTTAGACACCCTTTCCTAGTCTATGCACAGTACATTTCAAGGGGTCGATCATTATTGTTTTTTTTTCATGTAGATACCAATAGTGATTATTATTAGTGGTTCATAAAACTGACAAAAAACTGACTTTTGAAATTTTAATTTAATTATTTTTAAGATAATTATAAACTTCAACACAATATAATACGTTCAATATAATATACAGGAGTGACAGTTAACCTGTTACACCTAAAATACAACATCACATGGCCATGTGGAATCTAGCCAATTAGATAGTGTTGTGGGCAGGACATTATGTGGCACAAAGTGTTTCAAAAAGCAGATTCAGAGGGAAAGACACGACAGCAGCAGAGCCGAAGTAAAATTTACAATGTAATTTAGCAGACACTTTTATCCAATGCGACATACATTTGAGATCAACTGGGCACAGCCAGCAGGGGCAGACAGAGTCAAGTGTCCTGCCCAAGAACACTTAAGCACATGGACAGCTCGGGAATCAAACCTCCCACCTTCCAATTGAAGAATGACAGACTCTACCAACTGAGTCACAGCTCAGCTCAATAGCAAATTCTTTTTTAGGTTTAATAAAAGGCCAACACAGAATATCAGCTGAATACTGAATATTGGCCTTAATAATCAGCCAAGGGTGATAATCAGCCTACCTCTAGTCTCTTTAGTGGTGTGAACACATACACACACACACACACACACACACATACACATACATACATACACAAATGCATACACACACAAAAAAGTCATGTCTGCACGGCCACTCTTTGGATAGAAGCACTTGCTGAACCGCAGAATGTTAAATAAACTGAGGAGGAATTCCATTGAGTCAACACAGCCTGTGAAAACCAGGCTCAGTGTGTGTGTGCGTGTGTGTGTGTGTGTGTGTGTGTGTGTGTGTGTGTGTGTGTGTGTGTGTGTGTGTGTGTGTGTGTGTGTGTGTGTGTGTGTGTGTCCGTGCACGCATTTGAACATACTGTGAGAGCAGAACAGAGTGGTATCTGTCAAAGGGCAGTCCTGAGTAAACACACACTCATACACATGCACATTCATTCACTGTTTAGAATCTACATGCCGGTGGAATGCACAGAATCCAGCAGCTATGGCAACAGATACCTGCCACTAAATCACTTTTTCTGTCTCCCCCTCTAACCCTCTATCACTTAGGTTTCTTTACTCATCCCATAATTCAGCTAGATGATGCTAAATTTTTAAAGTGTTCTTTTTTGTTTTTCATTCTGATGATATTCCAACTGTCCTAAGAGCAGTCATCCTCAATACACATGATCCATCTGAAAATAACAATTATAAGACAGTTCAATAGGTCAACCAGCCATGCAGGATGAAAATTTATCTAATACATACTTTGTTTATGACAAACAATATTATAAAACATTTTTTAATTCTACATAATACCCCAAACAAATTTTACAAGTTAGGCTACATCAGAAACTGAAGAAGCTTTACTGATTTCAACCACCATTTCTTCTATTATTTACACCTGTGCTTGAAGGCCTGCTGTTGTGATAAGTCAATGTGTTTTCTTAATGCTGTGTGCTTATACTAACTGAAATATGTTAGTTTTAACACTGAGATACAAAAAAAACCAAGAGAACTTAGAGAAGCTGACCACAGCTCATGGGTTGGCAAAACATGTCTCAACTGCAAGAGCAGACATGTTGATTTTTTGTAGCAGGAGAGGACTGATAGAACTTAAAATGTTTATATTGACACAGCAATCATTAACAACAATATTAAAAGACATGCTGCGAGTAGTCAAGTATTTAGAGCCAATATTGTTCACATTTGAACAATATTTCATTTCATTGTCTTGCCGCCAGGTGGCATTTCAGCGCCACAACCGATGGCACCCTTTTAAAATGCTGTTGTTAAGGCCAATATTTGGTTAAGAAACTTTTTATAACTCACCCTTAAAGATGTCCCGACTTGACATCCATGGACTTTATAACAGCAGACTGTAAGATGCATCATATTTAGGTCTCGTACATTGTAATCCAGGCACCATTAGTTTGAAACGCCAGGATGACGTTACTCCACGTTACGTATTTCCTGTTCCCCAACTTCCGCCTTGCCCATGTGTTTATAAAAATGTGGATAGCAGAGCTGTAAAAGTAAACGCATTACTATTTATCCATACAGTTTGTGAGTGTTCTGTTTGAAATATGGGGAAGCTGAATGTGGTGGTGCTGAGATACTTATCTCGAGATGACTTCCGAGTCCTCACTGCGGTACGTTAACTATCAGTCTTGTTCTTTGTGAATATGTGGTCTGTTAGCTTTGACCGGTTTGCTATTATAACGCATTGCTATATGTGGAACAACGAGGTAGTAAATATCAACCAATTTGATCAGCTGTTCACTGACATGTCAACATCTAACAATTACACTGCAGTAATATTAGTTAAAGGGATATTCCGGCGTAAAATTAATTTAAAGTCAAACTCGCCGAAACACCGAGTTAGACACCCATTTGAGAGATGAATATCGCCGACCGCTGGTAGTTATACCAACTTAAATAATAACCGCAAGATAGCAGTACACAGCGGTCACGGCAGCAACACACAAACCTCAACCAAAACGCCCCTTTACAGCCACAAATAATGCTCAGAACAGCACCTAACTTCATCAGCAGTTAGGGTACTAGCCACCAAACATCTTTTTAGCTTTGCATGATTTCTTTAGCAAAGAGACTAAACACAACTCACCTACTCTCTTCCAGCAGCCGCTTGTTTGTAGCAAGACCTCGGGCGAGTCCATTACGGACTGTAGCGGGGTGACGCAGCTCAAGGAAGAAAATTTATAACATTTATAAACATTTTACAAACAAGCAGCTGCTGGAAGAGAGTAGGTGATTTGTGTTTAGTCCCTTTGTTAAAGAATTTAGGCAAAGACGTTAAAAAGGTGTTTGGTGGCTAGTACAATGGCTGGGACCCTATATGTACTGTTGATGAAGTTAGGTGCTGTTCTGAGCATTATTTGTGGCTATAGAGTGGCTTTTTGGTTGAGTGTGTTGCTCTCTGTATTGCTATTTGCAGTCGTTACTAAAGTTGGTTTAACTAGACAAGCAAGCGATCAGCAACATTCATCTCTCTCAACAGGGTGTCTAACTCAGTGTTACAGTGTGTTTGATACTAACTTAATTTTACACCGGAATATCCCTTTAAGAAGAACTATTTTATTGATTGATGCAAACAACCAACCATGATAGCTTAGTCATAAAGAACATACACACTCAACACTAAGCGATTTTAAGATGACTTGAGCTTTGATTTCTTATCAGGTTCAATTAACACATTTTTAATTCTTCTGTCCTTCCTGTGATCATGTAAGTTGGTCTATTCTGTACTATACAATATGCCAATGTGAGGGGACCAATGATTCAGTTATATTAAGATGATACAGCTTTCCATTTACCATTTGTATCATAATAACTTAGTTCTGATATCAATGGATTGTTTGGGGGCTTAAAATTAAAAATGCTTTACAGAAGTTCTCAATTATTGCTCCATTTGACCTGTAAACTGACCTTAATAAGGGAAATCAGATCACGTGTTTTCAAAATTGTCATTTTATGATTTAGAAAAGTCCTGACTATTGTCACATTAAGCCGTGTCCATTTAATGCCATTGTATCTCTGCTGCAGTTGTAACACAACAAAAGGTGGGACTAAGTATCAGCACTCTTGTGACCAGACTCCTTCTTTGTGTAGGTTGAAATGGGGATGAAAAACCATGAGATTGTTCCTGTGAGTCTGCTGTCTTCCATTGCCAGCCTCAAACATGGCGGCTGCAACAAGATCCTCAGAGAGCTCGTCAAACACAAACTGGTGGTCTATGAACGCAGCAAAAGTAAGAAATCACCTATCAGTCTTCAGTCATGTTTGAGAAGATAAATGTGGTTTATGTTTCTTATGTGGTATCTAATTGTTGTTTTTAGCTGTCCAGGGCTACAGATTGAATTATGGAGGGTACGACTACCTGGCTCTGAAGACTTTGTGCTCTAGAGAAGTGATTATTTCAGTTGGTAACCAGATGGGCGTGGGTAAAGAGTCGGGTAAGAAAAAATCATTTACATGTAATTTATTCACAAACAGCAATGAAACATGATTCTGAAATGTATATATATTAAAAGTAAAGAAAATGCTACTTTTGGGGGGGTTTAATTCAATTTCTGTTCAGACCAACTGCTCAAAATGCTCAAGAGTTATCAATGGAAAATGCTGAAATGAAAATCCTTTTTCAATGTTTACTCAGACAGGAATTTGAAGTATTATTGAACCCTTCTCAGCCCTGTCATTAGTGAATTTTCCCCTTGTACAAATTTCTCAGAATGCAGAATTATTTGTCATTCATTTTTTACTAATTGTTTCTACAGACAGTAGTTGAGTAGCAACAACACCCATGTGTGTAATAGTTTCTTGATTTTTGATGTAAATTGTATCATATTTCCAGACTGTTGAGCTAAGGTCAGAAATTGTTTTTTTCTCCTGTAGATATATATATCGTGGCGAGCCCAAATGAGGAGCAGTACGCTTTAAAGCTTCACAGATTGGGGCGCACCTCCTTCAGGAACTTGAAAAACAAGCGAGATTATCACAAACACAGAAAAAACATGTCCTGGCTGTACCTTTCGCGCCTTTCTGCCATGAAGGAGTTTGCTTACATGAAGGTAACAAAACAAAGAAAATATATAAATTTTATAAATAGAAAAAATACTGCCAACAATGATCAGACTTCTATCAAGATCTAATTTTTGTGTGGTGCATCATTTCATTCATTTCAGGCGTTGTATGACCGGGGCTTTCCTGTTCCTAAACCTGTGGACTATAACAGACACGCTGTTGTAATGGAGCTCATCAATGGATATCCGCTGTGTGTATACAATCTGCCCTCCTTCTCTTACATAAAATATTTCTCTAGTAGGAGTAGTAATACCCACACCTGTCCTACCCTGTGTTTGTTAAATGATATGTCTCCATCTTTAAGGTGTCAGGTGCATGAGCTGCAGGATCCATCGGCTCTGTACAGCGAGTTCATGGAGCTCATCGTCAAACTGGCCAATCACGGCCTGATTCATGGGGACTTTAATGAGTTCAACCTTATGCTGGATGACCAGGACCACATAACAATGATTGACTTCCCTCAGATGGTGTCTACTTCACACGCTAATGCAGATTGGTCAGTGTCTCTGTTCTAGAAAATGATCAATAATTAAAATTATTCAATCAATCAAAAACATGTACATTTTAATGGCTTTGTTTACAGGTACTTCGACAGAGATGTCAAATGTATCAGAGATTTCTTCGCAAAGAGATTCAATTATGAGAGTGAGCTCTTCCCAACCTTTAAAGACGTCAGGTAACTGCTCAAGTGATTATTTTACAAATGTAACAAAATTGCAAAATAGAAAGGACCACATGTTGGTGTTTGTTTTAGAGCCATCAGTACATGTGTCTAAACATTGAATGAACAGCAGCATACATTGTGTTATGCTATGCTCTTTTATTTTTATTTAAAAACTGTGAAACCCAATCCTTACCTTATCTTTTATTGTCATTATTCATCCCCACAGGCGGACGTGTTCTCTTGATGTTGAAGTTTCAGCCAGTGGTTTCACCAAAGATATGGAGAGAGATGGTGCATTGCTACACCCAGCTGGACCAGAGGGAGAAGAAGATGATGAAGAGGAGTGTAGTGACGTAGATGCATCAGACGAAGAAGCAGAAATAGAAGATGACAATATGGACATGGAGGAATACAACAATGCAATGCTGGAACTGGAAGGTCTTAAAGTCAGTGACACACAGGCAGAAGGTCACATGGAGGACAAAAAAGTGGAAGAGCAGAAAATGATTGAGATCAAGTCCTCTGGTAAAAGTGATGAAGAGACAGAGAGAGACAAAGAAGAAGAGCTGAATGAGGCTGATGATGAGTGTCCAGAGCTGGCAGACCTGTCCACCGCCAACAAAGATTTCAAGCCTTTTAGGTAAAGTCAGTGAAAGGCTCATAAAATCTTGTGCAATTCAACACACAGTACATTTAATAACAATTCTGAATGTGAAATCTCAACCTGTAGCTGTGATGCAAAATCATCAAACAGTGTTGTTTTTGATAATAAAATATAATTGGATATTTAACAAAAAAAAAATTCCAAAACTGTGCGCCAAATGTGTCCATAACACAAGAAAGATGCAAATTACACAGCATATCTTTGTGTTGTGTTGTAAAATGTCGAGTTTTTACTCCACATACACAGTGCCACAGTGATATTTAAACCTTTGCAGATGATTAATAAAGGTAAAAGTGATTTAAGAGCATTTTTAGGATTAAAAAGAGTAAGTGTACAGGCTAACCTTTTTTTATTGAAGACTGTCTTGGATTTCCCACAGTTTTGTGAATACACAAATGCACTTTCCTTTTGTTTTTATCCGTCACATAATGGCTAATAACTTCTGTTGTCTTTCCTGCAGAGACTCAGACAGTCTCCTGCATGTGGCAGAACACATCAGGAGGAGGACAGACAGTGAGGCCACAGCAGGCAGCATAGGGAGCTGCTCAACCATCCCACCAGTGAGTGAAACAGTCACACAAACTAAATGCACAGTACAACACACCTATAAAACAGTTTGACTGAGGTAAATGCTTATGAATGCGGGCCGTATGACTATATGATATCTCAGCACAGTCAGGACTAAACTGTAATATCCAGTAGATGGTGCTGATGAGCTTTTTGTGCTTTTGCAGTAAGATAAACAACGTGAAATGTGCTTTGTGTCTGCCTTACAAACAAAACAGTGTACACAGTCGTCTGTAGTAAACTGCTGTCCTTGTTTTTGTGTGTCCTGCAGGACGTAGTCCGTCAGAAGGTGCGGAGGCAGCTCACCAAACAGCAGAAGGCAGCACAGAGACGGCGTCTGCAGAAGGGAGAGGCCAACTTGGTGACCAAGTCCAGACGAGAGAATCAAAACAACATCAAGTCTAGTATGGAGACTGCCTCATTCTGGGGATAGACGGGACTGCTGTGATGGATGTACAACTTACATCAACGGCTTGTGCGTCTGTGCGGGCTGAGATGCTTAAAAACAAATAAGGGTTGATAAAAAAAAAGCAGCAGATTTTGTGTGCAACAACTCAGCTGAGCTGTTCTGTCACAAAAATACAGGAGGATGACAGAGCTTCAAACAATTTTTCTATTTGAACTGCAATGAAATATCATCTGATGTAAATACCAGGTAACTTCAATGATGAAGAGTTATGATAAATGATTAAACCAGGAAATATAACTGATGAAGCGTGTTTGTTTACTGAATCTATCTATCAAAATCAAAGGGATGTTTAAGTCAGGACATCATCACCTGAACCTGTGCCAAAAATCATCACTTGCTAAGTGAGCCTGGATTGATGGAATTGATTTTCCAACAAGGCTGCAAAGATCAGGAGTATTGAGTTACTTTTTCAGTTTGCTCTTGTTTGTCTTTTCACTGCAGAGACTGCGACTGATGTTGAGTAATTAGAATCAAACAGTATGCAAGTTCATGGAGGGTTCTAATGTATGCTGAGATTTCACGGTTCAAAGTTCTCCAACCATTATGGTAGTTTGAATGCATGGTTACCTCCACCCTCTCAGCAACCAATCAAAAAGCAGAGTCTGACCCAAGCATGCGAGAACATACATGCTCTGTAACACACCAAATCACTCAAAATGAAAACATGCAGAAAATCAACACATAGAATCCCTTCACTGTGTCACACAAACTAATGCAGAATGAGGCATGATGTGTAGCAGATAAGAGCAAAAGACTTTTAGGGAACGCTGAAACTACTTTTTCTCAGGATTTGGTTCATTTATGTGTAAGAGGCTTTCAGCAGGCGAGTGAATTCAGACTTGAACAATGGCCTTTCATATTGAAGAGGGTGAATGGAGCTCAGACTCCGCGCTCTGTGGGTTCAAATTAGTGTGTGAAGTTGAAAGTATCCCACCCCCACATCTCATCTCAGGCCCTTCATGTTAGGCAGGATTTCCCCTTAAATTCTCAAACTCAGGGTGTTTCACAAAAAAACAGACATCCTCTGGTATTCCTGACTTCACACGGAAAACATGGTTCATTCTGCTGTTTCTGGTCTAACGTTGTGCAGGTCTGCAACCATAGGACTCCGTTCAGGGATTAACCAGCTGCACAGCCCAATGGGAGGGGCACAGCATTCCAGCCCAGCACCTCTGTGTGTGTATGTGTATGAGTATGTCCATGTGCAGAAAGAGTGAGGGGCCCTCTGAGCTAATTGGCAGCAGGGTTGACAAAGGTGGTCCGCTTCAAAAAAGAAACCATGGTGAGATGTTCACACAGGAGAGGAGGAGGAGGAAAGGGGGAAAAGGGAGTTTAAAAGGGGGAAGAAAGTGTGAAAGGGGGTTTTAGATTGTGATGTTCCCATCGTGAGCAGCAGCAGAAGTGTTTTTGTTTTTCTCCGTTCATATGTGTGCTGTTTTGATGGACCATGTTGCTGAGAAAAGGGGACTGAATATATGTGAGGCAGCAGTGGAAGTTAACGCTGGCTGAGGATGAATAAAGAGAAAGTAGAAGAGAGCATCATGTCATACCTGAGTGAGACTGAAACAAGCCCAAAAGACTGTAAGTATTTGAGAAACTTTTACCAAGAACTTAGATGCATGTTTCTTTTACACAGCAGAATAGAGCAACTGTGCTTAACACCGACCTGATAAGGATGCATTCAAAAAAGACAGAAAGTGAATGTTTCCACATCATATTACAAACTTTGTAAGGAGTGTCTTTAAAGTAATCTGTGCTTCCATTCACTGAGCTGCAAAGAATTGTTTGGCACTAAGTGAAGGACATAGGAAACATTTCAGCCTAATTCAGGGTCAAAAGCAGCTCAAGGGGTTTACAAAATACTGATTTGTGTATTTTATTGGGAGATACATCCAGCTCCTGATTCTGCTCAAATAAACACTGTCTGGAAATGCTGATTAACAGATGTCTAGCTTGTATATCATGTGTCTCTCTCATGTGTGCAGTGAATGTTGTCTCCATGCTTCACAACTTCTGGGAGAGAAGGCAGATGAGTCAGTCAAACGGTTCCCCCCGTGACTCGGACGGTTCTGTCGGCGATGCAGCGGCGCGTGCGGAGAGTCTGCTCTTGTACGAGTCTGCACCGTCCCCTGGTCCACCGTGTGTCTGCTACGTCACCCTGCCTGGAGGAAGCTGCTTTGGCAACTATAAGGTGTTAATCATCACAAGTGCTGTCTGAATTCCCCTTTGTGTGAAGTTAGGAACAAAACTGGAATCAGGTATGAGATGATGCAGTGGGTGTTTTATTCTTTAAACTGGAAACTGCGACATCTCCTGTTAAGATAGCCTTAAATCAACAACTGCTCATCACTCCATCTGAATAGTTACTGCAGCTTGAGTTATATATTTCCTTTAAGTTACTACACATCATATGCATATTCATATGTATACATAGATAGCAGGTTTCTGTACTTTTATCAGCATTGTCCTTAATCAACCAATGCACCAGTCTACAAACTGAAGCACCCCTAGGAATTATGATGTCTTTGAAGTTGGTATTTTTATGTATTTGCCATAAGTTTTATTATATTAACTTCCACATCCAGAGTAACAAAGAGGGCCCTTCAGTGGTTATAAGCAAACAATTTAAAGTTGTTGTAGAGTTATGGTTTTCTCATAAAATCTTACAATGTCTCTCAGTAAGCTCATTGTGACCCAGACAGCAGCTGGCAGGCCAAAGAGGTCATGTGATTTGTCGTCTGAAATCTAACTGGTGATTTAGGTTCTGATCCTATAATAAGCTGCAGTGAAGTGGAAAAGTGTCAAAAATGAAAAGAGAAAATTGGGCGTCTATTTCCAGATAAGACTTGAAACATTGGACACACACCAGCTGACCCTGAAATGTCTCTGAAGCGACATAGTTTCATGTCTTTCGCCTCCTTCTGTTTTTGGCACTGGTTTTTAAAGTGTATTTACCCCTGTTACACAGCATGTCCTCCTCCTCAGGTGTGTGCCAGTCAGGCAGAGGCTCGGCGGGATGCAGCCCGTGTGGCTTTGATGAACTCACTGGTGAACGAGTTGCCGTGTCGACGAATAACCCCCCAGTTTATAACCCAGAGTTTGGAGCAGGCAGCCACAGACAGCGCTGTGAGTGTGAACCAAAACATGAATACAGTATATTCTAAAACATGTCTGGTCCTAAACAAGTGCTGTTTTTGACTGTTGTGCCTGTTCAGGTCACTATTGAAGATGCATGTGATTCCAACACCAGTTTAGGAACTTACAACACACTACTCCACTCATACATAGGGCGGACCATGCTGGAGTTCCAGGTTTGTCAAAGTCTATTTTGAAAATGTTATTTTTCTTATATTTGAGCTCATTAATAATATCACAGAGTCTTGTGGTAAACGCGTGAAAGATTAATTTGCTGTAAGGTATTCTGGCTTCAGTAAGAGCTACATTGCACTAAAGAATAACTAGTTTATTTGTAATTGGATATAATTAGTGATTATTTAGTCAAGGTATTCCTTCCTCCAGTGTTAGCACAACACCATTTGTTGGTTTTTGTTCTATATTTACATGAAGTCTCACTTTATTTTGAGCCCAGGTAATAACAGCTAATATTTCCACTTTTGTATAAATAAGCATAAGTCCACAGACAGAGGGCTATTAGCAGGAGGAAATGGGTTCATTATCATTCCTGGTAGCCTGCAGAGAAAAAGAACTTTCAAGCATTATGAACACCCAAGTATGCACATGAGTAGACTTGCACACACAGCATCAACAATGTCTTTGCAGGTTGGACTAGGATATTTTGCATGCCATATATGTCCCACTGCGCAATGCGACTTCGAAATAACGTCTATTTGACGTAATTTTTTGACGTCAAAATCACGTCTCCTGAAGGTGCAGAATGAAAGTTTTTTTACGTCTTTTTCGGACATCATTTTGACGTCCAAATCGGACGTCCACAAGACGTCAGAATTGGACATTGAAATGACGTCTATATAACGTAGTTTTTCGACTTTTAAATCATGTCTCCGTCTGACGTCTTGTGGACGTCCGATTTGGACGTTGAAATAACGTAATTTTTTTTTTCGACATCCAAATCATGTCTCCTGAAGGTGCAGAATGAAAGTTTTATTTGCGTCTTTTTCGGACGTCATTTCGACGTCCAATTCTGACATCTTGTGGACGTCCAAATCGGACGTTGACATGACGTGCAATTTCGGTCGAAATTGGCCGTCGAAATCAGGTCCTCTGGAGGTGCACTGGACATCCGATCAACGTCTTATTGACGAAATTGGTCGACGCTGAGATGTGGTCCTTGGCGGACCACACAAACACGTCCAAATGAGGCACAAATGCGGACGTCAATTTAACGTCGAAAAGAGGTCCAATACTGACGTCTAAATATTGGATCTATTTTGCACGTTAACCGGACGTTGAGATTTGGTCTATGATGACATCCAAATTCTGAACGTCGGAGCGACGTCTAAAAAAGGTCCAGTTTAGACGTCGAAATGTCTCACCTGTTTTGCACGTCCCACTGAGGTCTAGATGTGGTCTTCGACGGACCGACCCAATACTGACTTGATCTGCACGTCTTTTCGACGTCCGATGTTTGGTGGGGTCATAGATCAGTTTAACTTAATCCGTATTTTTTCTCTGTTTATCACTCATGTCACCAGTTCCTGACACATAGCAGCGGTAAGGTATTCAATTCATCATAAGTTAGAGTGAAATCAACCTGTTTTATTCTGGTCATCCACAGTCTAGGTGTGTGTTTAAAGAAACAGCCATAAGTTATCTCAGTCAGATCAATACATAGAGACGGATTTTAAGTTTTAAGTTAAGTCTTGGTCTCACGTTCTCTCTCTCTCTCTCTCTCTCTCTCTCTCTCTCTCTCTCTCTCTCTCTCTCTCTCTCTCTCGTACACATACAATTATGTATCTCATTCTTATTCTCTTTTTCACCCTCTTCTCTTTGAAGGAGATGATGACAGTGTTCCAGTTGTTGCACTGGAACGGGACTCTAAAAGCTCTAAGAGATAGACAGTGCTCCCGACAGGTAAAGGTCTGCATGTTTTATGTCTGGTTAATTCAATAAACCATCAGTTTCTCTGCTGATGAGTGGCAATAATTGTTTATTGTCTTCATTCCACTCAGAGTGTGATCGCTTACTACTCTCAACGAGGACTGGATGAGTACATGCGCAGCAGCTTGGCTCTGGATTGGCTTGTGCGTGAGCAGAAGTCACAGGGGCGAGTCGGGGAGGAGCTGCAGGTGGCTCAGAGGGAGCTGGTGTTGGCCAGGCGGCAAGGCATTGAGCTGCGCTTTTACAAGGAGAAGACAGAGATTCTCAGCTTGGCTCTGAGTCAAGCTTATGTTCACCGCACACCTGCAGCCTCCAATCAGGTGCAGAGTCATGCATTAAATCAAGAGCATCTTCCTTTGCACACATTGTGTAGCCAAGACACAGATATCCAGATAACTCCACCGAGCAGTCCTACACTGAGAAACACAAAGCAGTCAGTGTATCAAACCTCTGCCGAACAGATGCTTCATAGTAGCCCTTCACTATGCTCACAGCAGACTTTTGTGCCTTTGAATGACTTTGAATAGAGTGAAGTTGAACTTAAAGAATGGACAGCATTGAAGCTGGACTGTATAAAGAAGCTCTGCCACTGGGGAACAGAACATAAGTACTGTCAACGTCTTTAGAGCTCTGTAATCACAAATTTGTGTTTATTTTTGTATTATTAATACTCTCACCTTATTAACATTCTTTTGTGAATATAGACTTCTAATAATGGGTTGTGTTCTATTAACCACAAGTTATAAATCATTGATATTTAATTCAGTAGAAGCTAATTTAACCAAATTCTAGATGTGACTATTTTTTTTGCTTAAGCTCTCTTTATGTCCAGTTATGTTTTCAGTAGCATGTTATAATAAACAAGCCCGCCTGAAACTGATAAAGCCTATGAACTGTGATTGCTAACCCAACAACTCCCCAATGTGTAACTTTTACTTTCTTCTGCTTCGCCCTGCATGTCAATTTTCTCCATGGAAATCAACAGGCAGAGCAGCTCAGGATGTGTAATATTAAGGTCTAGCACTTACAATGTGTGTATGATAATATGCTTACAGACCTATAGCATTCAAATTAGGGGGTGCACTTTAAAGGGAATATGTTTATCAAAATTGTTGTTTGTACTCTTGTAAATAAATATTATAATTCTTATAATTGACTGTGAGTAACATGACAGTTGCTGTATGATTTGCAATGTATCACTTATATAATCACTTATGCTAAACGAACAGAAATTAGAGAAATCTATGGGGCTTTTATTAGTTTTTGTTTTTTAACTTATGATCCACATTTTCTGTCGATTTTCTTCTCGTATTGATTTTTTGTATGTCAGTTGGCCTGGATCTTGAGCCCAACACCTTTTGAATGAGTGAAGCTAAACTTACAACAATAGGTACAACAATTTACCAATCCGCGTTAATTCTTAATACTTAAAACTAACAATTTATAATTCCTCTGATTTTTAACATTAGGGATGTTTTTTTGCAAAGTCATACAACAGAGCTCTGTGAACGTTTGAAACATGATAGATCACAGGTGTCAAACTCAAGGCCCGGGGGCCAAATCTGGCCCATGGAACAATTACATCTGGCCCATGAGATCATATCATATTTGTATTATTATTATTGGCTCACCAGTATGAGGTCTGCAGATTTCTTCCAGGATAATAATGTAAACTTTAGCACCATATTTAAAAAAATCCTTAATAATACATAAGTATCTGGAAAGGAAAGAGCACGGAAGGTTTGATAAATAGTCAAGAATGTGGGGAAAAAAATGTGTTTTATCCATATTTCCAATTTTTCATCTCAAGATTACAACTCAAACATGATTTGACTTTTTATTTAATGCTTTGATTTTTTTCCACTCAGTATTTAGATTCATGTCATTTTAATCCTTTAGATTCCGATTTTAAATTTTAAGTCATATTTTGACTTTAAACTCTTAACTTCAAAATGATCTCGTATTTTGACCTTTCAAACTTATGATTTCAACTTTCTCCTCAGGTGTTTGCTCTTTAAAAGCATTATTTTTCTATTTCTAATTTTGTGTTCTGATCTTTTGAACTAATCTATTGTTTTGGGTTTTTTTTTTTATCTCAGATTGCCTTTAAATTTATCTTTTTTACTTTTTTAATTTCTAATTAGTTTATAATCATTGCTGATTTTGTTACATATATTTTGAAAAGGAGGCTGACAGTTTGGGTTAAATGTTGTCTCTGTTTGGCCCTCAGATTAGATTTAAATCCAGATTATGGCCCTTGCTGTGGTTGAGTTTGACACCCCTGTTATGTATAACACATTTTTGGCCGTCTAGCTTGCCGTACAGAGGTGGAGCGGTCACGTGATCGAAGATTTTGATCGCCCAGTTCCTGGAATGAGCAAAACAAATGACAGCTGACCAGCGGACGGGGCTGAAACCCTGTATGCCTCTTGTTTACACGCGTTGAAATCTTAATTTGATCATTTTAGCGACAATGCGGAAACGTTGAGGAAGCTGGTAAATAAAATGACCATGGACACTGACAGCGTAGCGAGCTAACAGGTTAGCCAAGGTGAGCTACAGGGTTTCTTGTCGGATAAGTTCCATAAGCAGGGAGTGCTTTCGCTTTCTAAAAATGTATCATCTGGATAATACTTGTTCTTTGAGAGACATGCTAGCTGGTATCCTGTTAACTCCCGCCAGCGACTTTTTCTCAACTGGCCACACAAGTGTTTTGTTTACAACCCGTGACAAGTGTTTATCTTGACCACACAGCTGCTTATCATGAGTATGGACCTCAGTAGCTGCTCGAGCTAAAGGCTGCTCTTTGTTGGTGTTTTGTTTTCGTGTCAGGACTATGCGTGGTCGGTCGTTCGACAGCGTTTCCGCCAGGCGACATCTCAGTCAGCTGTTGGTCGGTGTGCTCTGAGTTGTGAAATAAGCTTTAGTGGGCAGGCAGAAAAGATGGAGGCTGTGAGACCAAAAAAGACAAAGACCAGAACCAGCGGGAAATCTCAGGTGATCAACAAAGTCTTACATATTTTTTTCCCTGTCTTTGCTTTTCCTGTCGATGCCGCAGCTCTACAGTCGGCTCATCTGTCTACTCTGAAAACTAATATTTATTTCTGACCTGTGTTTACATTTCCAGGTGGCAAGGAAGCAGAAGAAAGAAGAGGAAGACAAACAAGCAACAGCTCCCCTGGCTGTCTGTGATGAGGCCTCCATCTCTGGCTTCACCGACATCCCCCTCTGTGTGCCACAACAGGAGCCAGAGAGGAAGAGGAGCAGCAGCAGGACCTTGTTCAGCCTTCTGAGACCACAGCACAGCTAGTGCATGTGCCCCTTGAAGAACAGCATACTTCCTCATCACAGACTTCATCCAAGCCTCTGTTAACAGAGACTAATGAACCGAGTCTGATATCACAAAGTACTGTACATCTGACGAAGTCAAGGGAAGAAGATGGTGAAGTTTCAGCTCAAGTTGCCAAGCTTAAAGTTTCAGTACAGACCACTGAGTTGGAAAAGAACACAGAGTCATGGAATCAGCCTCAGTTTCAGGTTCCTAATGTTCCAAGTGCCCCTGCATTGTACCCTTCCCTCCCAACACTGGAGGAGGGCCCTGTGATGCAGCTCCGTGAGGATGATGTGAAGATTGGGGAAAAGGGACCAGCAGTATTGGCCCTTCCTGAGCAGGAATCCTCTCCTCCAAGTTTGCAGCCTTTGGAATCTGTAGCGGAACTGTCTAGGAGCAAACTCTACCCAGAGTTACCCAAAACAACTCCAGAAATTCAGGTGACCAATGAAAGGCTACATACATTAGATTACAAACTCTTGTGGTTATTAGTAGATAGATTTAAGTACAGTCCTGTTTGGTGTGCAGTCAGACACCAACATATTTCAAGGGCACATTTCAGTGAAAATTTGACCCATTATTTCTTTAACTTGAGATTTGTTGGGTGTTGGAAAATAGGATTCACAAGAAAACTTTTGTTATGTAATAGTTTGCCTCTATTTCGTTTGTCACCAATGCATGAGGTTTAACTTAGTAGGCTTTAGTAAAAGTACAATATTCAACTGTCATTGAAAACAGCATGTTGGTACAGCTTAATTACTCCTTAATTTACATGTACAGTTTATGAACGGTTTATATTTTCTGTTCTGACAGTGGCTGAATACCATTTGTTTTGTTTTTGCAAATAGCCAGCCCCCAACATTCAACATTAAAGCAACCAACATTAAAACACATTGTCAGTATATTGTCAACATAAACTTCAATATCTGATTGAATTAGATAGGTAATAACTGACATTATTCATGTCTGTGCTTTTCCTCTGCAGCCATTCTCACTGGAGCAGCTCAGTGTCTGGGAGCCAGGTGGAGGTTTGCAAGCTTGGTTGGAGGGTGTTGAAGTGTGTGCAGCTCAGTTCTGCAATTTAGCTCGACAGGAGAACCACGAACTGACAGAACTGCTGCAGAACTACTGGCGCTGTCGGAGGCAGCTGACCCAATCTCACACACAACTGCATACACAGTCGTCTGATTGCAAGAGCACGCAGAACCGTCTGTGGAGCTTTAGAGATGAGCAGCTCACACTTCAGGTGCAGTTTTCAATGATGATAATAATGATTTGTATTTTTTCACAAGGCATTTTTTTAAAAACAGGGTTACAAAGGGCTTTACAAATGAAAAGAAAATGAAAGAGAAATGTGAGGAATACAATGTCTGAAAACTGAAAAATGTAAACAACAATGAGGAGTTACCATGAGACATAAGAAAGAAGTAAAACAAAAAAAGGATTAAGGCTACCAAGTGTTTTTGTTTGAGGGCGGTAGGAACTAAACCAGTTTTCAGTGCTGTTTTTGATGACATATGAGCTGATAGGCTCCTTATCTTCTTTCAGAAGTCCCATTAGCAGGATATTAGGAGTGTAAGAAGACTTCATGTTGTTTATCACTTTAATGAAGGGGATTAATTAAGAGTGTTAAAAGACTCAAAGCCAGTTGTTGTAAAATAAATAACTGGATCAAGTTAAACATTCTTCCCTGTAAGGTCACTTAAATGCAGTTTCTCTTTACAGGGTGTGTGTGGTGATCAGTCCAAAGTGTGTGGATACCACCGCTTCCAGCAAGCAGAGTTTAGTCAGAGTGTGTTGGCTGAGCTGAGTCGACTGTTTGAAGCCCGCAGCGAGCTGCTACATCAGAAGGTGGCGCTGCATGCATACACCGCCCTGCTGTCTCGCCTGCAGGTTGAATCATATTTATATCGTTTACTGAAAGGTGAGACATAAATTCTTCTCGATTTGTGGTGGCCATTACCCACTATTTCTTTCTATTATGTTTTATTTTTTTTGTACACAGTATTCGTGAGTGATTGGATTCCTTTGGTTTTATTTTTCCAGATTATTCTGGTAGCAAACCTCAGCCCTGTTCTTTCAAACCCTTAAAAGAGGCCATCAGTGTCCTGTTTAGCTTCACACGTAGAGTCCTGGATGACACACAGTTCCAGACAGACATCCATCACTGGCTGGAGAGACTGGTATACATAAAAGCAATCACTTGACTATTTTATGTCTCCCATTTCCATTGGTCTGTTGGTACATTGTTGTATTGTTGTACATGGTTCTGGTCCTCTCCAGGTTTCAGTTCTGCTGCATATTGGAGGGTCTGGAGAGCACCTGTACCTGCTTTCCCATCTCCTGTGCTGTCCTGCTGGTGTTGGCAAGTGGGCTGCAGCTTTCCTTCAGGTCAGTGAAGGACACGCTTGGTCATTTCATGCTGTCTTTTGATGGTTGTACATACTGAATGGTTTCCTGACTCTCAGATCCAAGTTTGGGGGACTACTAGTGGAGTGCAGGACTTCATGCAAGCTCTGACTGTCCTCATGTCACCTGCCAGGTGAATATAGGAGCTTCTTTAGCAGGCCCCTTCTGTCTTAGAGCTGTACTCTCAAGCTTGATTTGTAGTTCATCTTTTTAGGGACTAACAGGTCCACACATTTAACCAATGGCTTCTTTGTTTTGACTCAAGACACCGGGCAGAGTTTCTGGGACATCTGAAACCCTGTGAGAGCCAGAGCTCATCAACCTCAGGACCTGAGTCTGGAAACTGGACTTTAGTGGATGAAGGAGGAGAGGAGGTCTGTATAGTAATGGTTAGAAAAACAAAGAACAACTCTTGAAAAGCAGGGTTAAAATGTCAAATCTTCTAGGGTGGGTTCACATATCAGACTGAAAGCTTGAAGGAAGTGGTAAAAATATGATAAGTTATGATTTTAGTGATATATTTAAGAATATTTAGCATCAGAAGTCTTTGAAAATAATCTCTCTAAATCTTTAAGTGTTTTGTTTTCCTACACAATATGTGAAACGGTGATCTTTTACTTTGATTTGTAAGCACCAGATTTATAAATCTGAATGTTCCAGTCTTTGTTCTGACCTGCTGAGTCACATTTAGAGCTGTTGTAAGAAAAGTGCTGAATGAACACCTATGACCACTTAAATATCAGTCTGCCGGCTGAAAACCATGACAGCAATGACGTGTTGCTTAGAAACCACTTTGTTTTTCGAACATTCAAGGAACACGTTATTTTCAAAAACAGTAACTTTTATACAGCTTTCTCTACTTTTTCATTATGAATGCCAGTTTGTTTATATTTTAGAAAGATCTAGTCTCCTTTTTGCTTTTGCATTAAGCAGGTTAAAAAACTGTAACAAAAGCGGTCATGACTAAGTTTTGATAAGAGTGTTTGAAGAGGTTGTTAAACGTTGAGTGGCACTGGTCTTCTTCATGTTTAGGATGAGGACCCAGAGAGCAGCTGGCTGTTGCTCTGCGAGGAGGATCTGATCTCCCTGCTCAACCAGTTCCCATTCCAGCAGCTGTATTCACACATGCTGGGGATGAGCAAACCAGGTTGGTGAGTCTGTCCATTATTCTTTGATGTGTCACGCACTGCATGAACTGACACATTATCCTTCCATCAGGTGTGTACGAACCGCAGGCCTGCTCCAGTCAGAAGATGATGCGCGTTTTTGCTTTTGCTTCTTCACTCATTGAAATTCTGGCTCTGGGTCTTCAAACCTACAACCGTGCTCGGTATAGACAGCTGGTTAAACGGATTGGACACATCATACGGTCAGTTTAAGGATAAAAAGCATACAGCTATAACCATTAATATCACTGAACATTTATGATGTTGTCTCTTGTTCTCTGCATTAGGATGACTGTGTGTTATGTCAGTGATCACTGGGCCCAGTATGTGAGTTTAAGTGGACCTGTTGGATCCAGCTCACACTCTCTGTCTTTGGATAAACTGCAGCTGGAATACGACCATCTCTTCCTGCGAGCTGTTTTACATGTTCTCCGAAACAAAAGGTGAAGAATTGACCAAGAATCTTTATTTTTTACTCAATCTTTTCACTCTTTGTAGGTTTCTAATTTTAGTCTGCGGTCCGTCTTCACAGGTTGGGCATTTGGTTATTTATGTCTGAGATGCCTTATGGGACTTTGTCCAGCTCCATGCTGTGGAAAGTCCTGTATGTCATGCAGAGTGCAGAGACAGCAGGCCTGGAAAAACTGTACACTGCTTGTGGCACGCAATCCTGCATTCAGGCTCTTAGAGGTACCAGTATATTTTCTAAACCTTAAGAAATATCATCTCCCAAGACTGGGAAGTGTAACTAACTTGACAGCATATGACCCCTCATGTGACCCCTCATGTGATTCGTGGTTTCATCATCAGGGAGGAAGCTAAAATTACCCTTAACTCAACTTGAAGCTCCTCTTAAGTATCCTAAGGCCCCCCTTTAGACTCTATGTATTGGATTATGTTCTTTAAATTAGCTGGGGGTGTTTTTCCTTTTTTCACAGTCTCATTCAGATGTCTTTTTCAACTTAAATGTGTTACTTATGAAGAATTGTAACAAAGTCTGCTTCATTAGTATGCAGTTAATCACTAACCCCTGAGTCAAGAAACTTGTCACAAGGGCTCTACATAATATCAAAAGCTTCTTAAAATGAATTCTTCTATTTTGTTGTAATTCCAAAACCAGGTTCAAGTTGGGGGTTGTATTATATTTTAATTTGATTTAATTAGTTCATGTATCTTTTGAAGACCCAGAGCAGCAGGAGAGGTTCGAGCACTGGCTGTGTGAGGTGAACAGCTCTGATGGTATCTCCCTCCTTACTGCACTGGCGCACATGGCTACCCCGACTCAACACTCTGACCCTGCATTCATCACTACAATAGCTCTGCTTGTTTACCAGGTATGCTACCCAGACCTTTATAGACTACATGTATTAAAACACTTCAGATCATGACAGGATAAGGGTAAGGGTAACATATTCCTTGCCATTCTGTTTCTTCTTTTTACTCCAGGTGTCTTATGTGAGTATGTCCACCAGAGAAACTTACTCCAAAGTGGGGAGGGAGTTGCTGGCTGCCATTGCAACAGTCCATCCATATGTTATCTCTGTGCTCCTGGAGAGACTGAGAGATACCATACAGACTGTAGGAATGGTAAGTATTAGTAATGTAATAAGACTTCACATTTATTTGACCAAGTTGGGAGGACAATATCTCACTTCTTTGTGTTGTGTACATGTTTGTGACTCTGTAGGTGGCTCTGTACTTGTGTAAAGAGCTACCCTTGAGTCTGTGGCGACCCCGACCAGAGGAAATCTGTGTGATTGGAGCGTGGTTGCTCCAGCATCCTCTGTCTGCTGTGGAAAACCGTCTGGCTTGTGTCATTCTGGAGGGTCTGAACTGGGGCTACACAGAGGTATGACCTGATGCGGTTAAATCTCTGTGAGCTGGTATTTTGAGCGGTCGTGTGAGTTTTTTTTAAGCTTGATTCCCTCTTGCAGGATGGCTCCTTGGCCCTGCCTTCATCTCTTCACAGTGAAGTGGCTCTGCTGGTGGCTGAGGCCTACCAGAAGTACCTTACTGACAAACCGTACAGTGGCCTCATATCAGAGGGAATCAAACAGGTGATGTTTGTTTTCTGATAGACAAGACCAGTGTGACCAGTACCACCACAGCTTCATCAGTTCATCTAAAAATGTGTCTTTTTTTCTGTCTTTCTTCCTCATGCACACTCTCCCATCAGGTGTCTTACCTCGCTAGTGTCCTTCGTTTGGGGGTGTCCCCCGAAGCGTCCTTTAGTCAATGGGCTTGGCAACTGTTGCTAAGGCTGAAGCTCCACGGTAATGCCCAGAACCCCAAGGGAGCCTGGTTTGTTCCTGCTTTGGTGTCCAACCCTCCTCCAGAACTTACACACAGCCCCAGCATGCACTCTGTTATTAGGGCTGTAAAAGCAGGCATCCCTATTGGATGTTACCTTTCCATTGCCATGACAACAGTGGGACATAGGTTTGTTATCTCTTACACTTTTCCCCAGTATCTTAGTTGATTTATGCTTCTTGTTAAATCCAATGTGTGTTTGTTTTTTCCTTAGTCTGGAACACTTTTGTACTGATGGAGTTGGGTTACTGAAGAGTCTGATACAGTCTCGACACCTGAGAGCTGCTGTGCATCTTCTAGACAACATTTTACCCCAAACCTACCCGCTCAGCTTCTACCTGCTCAACAACGCTCAGTAAGAAAGATACAAGAAAGAAAAAGATTCATTACAGCACCTAATGTATAAAAAACAAAAATGTATTCTGCCTCTGCTTCCATCTCTCTGTGCTAGGTTTGTGAGTTGTATCCAGCTGTTCTTGCAGTATGACAGCGTGTGTCCTCAAGGTGTCACCCAGCAGGTCACTCACCGGGTGGCACCGCTCCTCACAGGGACCACCTATGGAGACAATGTTAGGCTGCTAAACAGTGTCATTCAGGTTTGTCACAGCAATTGTCTTTAGCCGAAAACATCAAGGAAAAACGTTTTTGGCAAAGTACCGAAAAAGTTTGTTTTGTCTCCCAGAGTCATGTTATGGAGAGTTCACAGCCCGGTCGTGTGGGAGCAGCAGCAGTGCTGGAGTTCTGGGTGGGGATTTTGACTCAGCAGAACTTGTGGTACAGGGACAAAACAGTCCTGTTCCTAATGGACCAGATCTGTTGTGCTGCGTTCACACACCATCAGGAGGAATGTGTTCAGAAGCTTCTGTACCAGCAGCATAAGGTCTTTACTCAGCCCTGTTATAGATTTCCATTATCTATGGTCACTGAAGTGGGCTGATTTTTTTTCCATCATTATACATCTTGCAGAATGCCTTGGGTTACCACGGAGATCGAGGTCTGCTCTCCTCTCTGGTTGGCTGGATTGCTGGAAATGCAACGCCCTCATTCATAGAGGGCCAATCCCTGAGTGTGGAGGTGAGGGTCCCTAGGCACAAACAGTATGTGCAAGTATTCTTAATGAAATTGGTGAAATTCTCGGCCCTGACTGAGTTGTCTGTGTTTGCAGGTTTGGTTCGCCTGGCTTGTGCTGAATATGGAGGGTGTGTTTGAAGAAGATTCTCAGCTGAGACGCTGTGTTGAACAAGAGCTGCTGGCAGAGTCCAACCTGACCCCAGAACAAGCCTTAAAAGTACATGGATGTAAAATCTAAAAGTGATGCTTTTGTTGAAATGGAAATCCTAGGACAACTGTTACTGATTGAAGTCTAAAGTAAAAACACTGGAGTGATAGTTATTTTTTTTATAAACCCTGATTGCTCTGTTTGGCTTGTATTAAAGTATGTTTTTGTCTGTGCCAGAAAGCACAACAGAGACTGAAGTTGCCAGTAGCACCTTCCTTGCAGCGGCTCCAGGTTTACCGCTGGGCTTCTCAGGCCTTGGCCACACCTCCCGACCATCCTCTCCTCCCTCTAGTCTGGCAGAAGTTCCTCCAGCTCTATCTCAGACAGCCAGGACCTGAGTATGGGTATGAAACCAACACACATCGCTCCCTGTAGCCAAAGAAAACAGACCATGTGGAGGTATTTGATCCCTTTTTGTGTGATCCGTCCACCAGGTTGGCTGCAGGTGGCTGCATTGGGCGAAGGTTCTTCCAGGCCTCCCATCAGGCTACTTTACTCAGAGACTTAAGACAGAGAATACAGGAAGTATCTGACTTTCACCATACTGCCAGTCAGGCCTTAAGGGTGCCCCCACCACACACACCTTCAGACAGCCAGGGTGATGAAAGCCCGGACAATCCTCGCCCCCCTTACCTCACTTCTCCACAGCTACACACAGAGCTGGTCAGGTAGGTCACTGATGATTCGTCTGTTTGCTCCTCAGTGTTTTGAAAAGAAGTAGCAGCCATCCATGTGTTAACTACCTTTTAGATCTCAGTCGATTGGTTTCTTACAGGTTGTTTGGTGTATTTGCTGTGTGGTTTGACGATGAGACTCTGCAGAGGCAGGAAGTGTACCTCCCCTCTCTTACTCCAGAGTATGAACCACACAGATTGGCACAAGTTATGCAGCGGCAGCAGGTTGGTTTGTATTTTTGTGTTTAGTTTAAAAAAAATAGAAATCATGGAGTTCATACAATTAAAGTATGTGCCGCCATGTTATACTACAGGAACTGTGGCTGGAATATGTGGACCAGGAGCGTCTGCAGTATGATGAGAGAGAGGTTTTGTCCCTGTGGGAAAAAGTGCAGAGTGAGCCAACCTTCTTGCAGGCCCAAGACTCTAGTTTCATCGACAACTCAAGCCTTGGCAATGGTGAGAAGCCTCTAATGATGGCCAAAAGATGAAGGGATTAACAATTCCAAAAATCTTTAATCTCTTAATCTTCTAAACTGTTCATCTATTTGCGTTAGTAGTTTAGAATGCTTTTCAATTTTCAACCCCTTGATGTTGTGGTTTGTATTTATTTTTGTGCAGCAAGAGAACGAATCCTTTCCAACCTACAGAAGCATCCAATTCCACATCCAGCTCCAGAGCTGCAGCAGCAGAAGGCTCCAGTATCTGAAGTCCCTGTCACCTGTCTCACTGACTCCAAGGCTGCTATGAAACTGATGAAGCAGGACCTCAGCACCCTGCAGGACCAGGCCAGGTACATGGACATTTTGAATATAGATATATATCCAAACCAGAGATGAACTCACCTGCTCTGCAAAGTTTTAAACTGATTAGTAAAAACTGGTTGTCTGTATCAGGATTGCAGTTGCCCGAGAAGCCCAGCAGGTGGCATTGGAGCAGGAGCTGCTGGAGAGCCTTCCACTGCTGTACAAAAACCAACCAGAGCAAGTCACCATGGCCTTGGAGTGCAAAGGGAAGGGGGGTCAGCCGTGCCAGGGAGCGGCAAACATCACAGTCACAGTATGTCTTCAAAAATCACCCATTAGAAACCTTCACATTTCAATGTATTTGCCTCATTCGATTAACTTGTTCATCTGTGGTCTCTGTGTAGTGTGAGCGTGTCCAGAGACAAGAGGCAGTGCAGACACAGATAACCTCACTGCGAAGAGACATCAAGCAGCTTCAAACGGACTCCATGGCTCCTCCGCCACAAGGCCTGGCTCAGGCAGCTGTCCACACTGAGAACTTAATCACGTCAGTGCAAACACTTGCTTTAGATTACAATAAATATTTATATACAAACATATAAAAATGTTTTTCTGATTAGAATAGAGATTGTTGACTGATGTACGCACTTTTTTGATGTGTTCAGGGCTCTGGTGAATTTGTACAAGACACAGAAGTCTCCAGTGGTGCAGCAGGTCGGCGTGTCTGCCTTCTACCAGGTGGTCTCCTTCGTGTGTGAGGACACACTGCGACACCCCCCCACACGACAGTACCTTTCCTCATGTGTGGAAATTCTGGGACAGGTCTGCACACACATGTTATCATTGAGCAGTATTTAGCTTTATAAAGAACAACCTAAGAAAACTAAGATAACTACAGTTCAGGTATCAAACAGATCAGCTATTTGACCAATTGGATAGAATTAAAGGTATAAGAAGTACAAACGCTAAGTGCTTTACTGTATACATATTACTGCTTGCACTGACAGACTTCCTTGTGTCGTGTGTAGGTGTTCATTCAGAACAATTCAGAGGAATGTGGCCATGTCCTGAAGACCATCCTTGAACAGAGGCGTCTGTGCCCCCTCATTTCCCCCTTCTTCACCCCCAATGCGGCTCCCAATCAGCTCGTCTTCCTCTACCAAGATGTGGTTACATCCTTACACCTGGATACCGCCGATGTCATTTTCATGCTGCTCACAAAAGTTAGTGCACAACCAAATCAAAACCGAAAAGAAATGCTTTGTCTGTCCATTTTCAGTGATCCACCTCTTTCTCTGTCTTCTTCAGTTTGATTTATCCCAGTGGCTGAATGAATCCCATCCTGTGTTTTCGGAGAGAACCCGTCTGCTGGAGTTGGTCCACGGCGCTCTCTGCGTCTGCGGCCGAGACCCTGAGCCTGAACTCCTGATGCCTTTTCACATCTTCACCAAACACTGGACCTCTCTTTTGCGCCATCATTTCCCTGATCACTACAGCGATTGCCTGCGTTTGCTAATGACCAGTAAGAGCGACTGTGTGTGCTTGTGTGTGTGTGTGTGTGTGTGTTTGTGTGTGTGTGTTTGAATGTGTGTGTGCCTGAACAAAATGCTGTACATCTGAACAAGCTGTTTGAATCATTATGTTCTTGATCAAATGACTCAGTGTCATTTTTTAAATCCTCCTTTGAACAAGTACCGAGAGACATCACTTACTGAAAAGGTAGAACACATTATACTCTGTCACATTTAAACACAGGCTTTCTTTTTTTATCTTACACATTGTCGGTTAATGCACTGCAGAGCGAGGACTGCTTTAAAACGTCCCCTTGTTGCTCATTGATGTGAATCATCAAGACACATTCATCCCTCCGAAAGTATGCCTCCCACTCATCTTCCCACGACAAAAGACAAAGTTAATTATTGAGCAAATCTTAAGTTAGTTAAATCGCTCCATCAATCAGATAGGAATAGAGGAAAGACCCCTGAAGCATCTTTTTAATTGGTTTATCAACACAGAATGTAGATATTTTGCTAAAAAGGAGGCATGAAACACACATGGGTTATCTGACTCAGCTTTTTGGCCTGATTGACAAACTATGCTTTTTTTTTTTAACCTCATCAGGCTCTTCAAACCAGTTACTGAGTCCAGAGTGCTGGAAGGTGACCTTGAGAGTGCTCGGCTCTTTACCTCCATCCCGAAACTCCAAAAGCAAATCTGACCAATCACACTGCACAACTGATGTCCCTGGCCGAGCTGTCGTACCCTCACCATCTTCACACAGAACACCCATCAGCCTCTCCCCTCAGCAGGTAATTAAAAACCACATCCTCACACGTCACACATGCATCATATCAAAAAACTTACAAAGTCAAATTCCACCCGTCTCATTCTTTCATCATCATCCAGCCATACAGAGTGATTTTCTTCTGTTGTGAACAGGTGGATGAGACAGTAGATTGGGTGAGTGATTACTTCCTGCGGAGTCGGCTCAGTAAGCCAGACCTCCGCAGCTTTGGTCTCTACTCTGCCTGGATGCCGTACGTCACGGAAGTTGTTTCCTTCTGGGAATATTTGATCAATTGTTTGATCAGCATCCAGTTGAGCGGTTGTGCCAGAGAGTCGGTGGGAAGCAGCAAAACTATGAAAGGTAACTGATCTCAGTAAATGTTGGAGATATGCATACCGAGGATCTGTCATGCAAATCAGCTAAAGTTTGCATTTGCTTTATTTTTATTGTGACTGCACTATCGCAGCTCTGCAGGACCTACACAGTAAGATCGTAAAGATGTTTAAGCCTTGGATCTTCCCTCTGGACACTGATGATGGCGGGTAAGCGTTCCAGCACAGCCTCACTCTCTGTTGAAATCATTTGTTTTACTTTGAAGGTATTTTTTTTGTTAGTGAGGCAGATGTGAGACAGATGTGAACACAGACAGAGCAGACTCAAGAGAGGGCAGCAGATCAAAAAATATTCTCATTCTCGCTTCTTTTATGCAGGTGCAGCACAGATGCTGTGGGGGTTTTAGCTCGAGTGTAAATACTAAGCACTTCAAACAAGTCGACTACAAACATAAAACAAAAGAGATAATGTTTTCTCCTGATTTTGAGATCTGGCACGAGAAGTTGTGAAATAGAAAGTAGTTGTTCATATTTTTGTCTCAGGAACCTGAAGTGCTACCCCTGGCTGGAGACAGATGCAAGTGCAGCAGGAAGTCTTGTCAGCCTGTATGTACAGCTCACAGACACGCTGCATCACAAGTTCAGAGGTGGGTTCCCTGACGTCTTCTGTCTGTACTTTGATGCTACCAATCCTTGTTGACTGTGCTTTAAAGGTTATTTATAACTGTGTGTTTACAGAGCGTCTGCTCCCCGGCCAGAGAGGAGCGCTGTGGCTTTGTATGATGCAGTACTGTGAGAGCTGCAGCGCCCCCTGCACACCTGAGTACCTTCTTTTCCTGTACCACACACACCTCCGCAGCCTTCCCTGGAGTCACCTGTACCCTGACACCCAGCTCATGCAGCAGCTCTTCAATGTGAGATCCTCTGCCCTCAGACTCTGAACCCTGAACCCCAAACTCTGCACTCTGGTCTAGACATGAATGACACTGAGGTGCTTGTTAATTTGAGACCTCAGTCCTTGGCCCCTGGCTCCTATTATTAGCCTGACTTCTTGTAATCATAGTCAAAACACCCTGTCCCAGGGAACATATTGCTGTCTGTCAACAGCTACACGTACCTATAAAGGCCTCTGCGCAGGGTCTATGCATTTTGAAATAGAAATGTATCAATAACCATTTTTTCCTAAATCAAATCTCTGAAACTAAAAAGAATATTTGCGCATCTATAAGTGGTAAACACACGGCAAAAAAGAGGAACATCAGTGAGCAGGAGAGGGCCAGAGTCAGTGTTCTTAAAGAAAAATCATCACAGTTAGTTTTTTTGTGTTGTGTAGATCCTCCTACTTTTTTTATTTCAGTTAACTTCTTCACTTCTTGAATCTCTGTATTTTTTTAACCAATTATCTAATTAGTCATCCAGTCTGTGACATTTTTTTTACCAGTGAGAATATTAATGTTTTTGTTTGACTTAAATGAGGTAGATATTAAAAAATGTCTGATCAGGATATTTGATTACAAATAATTGGATTGTTAATTGATTACATTGAGTTGTCATAAGTTTATATTAGGGAGTAAAGATTATTCTCTAATCAATCCAATCAGCTTTATTTATATAGCACATTTTAAAAGACACTGAAGTTTACCAAAGTGCTGCACAGTAAATTCAAAAGAACAACAATTACTGTAGAGGTTAAAAAAACATCAACAAGAAGAAATAAATAAGAGCAGGTAAAAACATTTAAAATGAGATAAAATAAATCTGTGTTTTTATGGAGTGTTTTTCGAATGTTTTCTCCGTTCTGTGTCTGTAGGTGGAGAGAGGAAGTCCCAAGAGCTGTTTCCTCTTTCTAGGAGAGGTGTTATGTGAAGTTAACTGGGTGAGCGTCCTCAGCGACCACCTTCAAACACCCCCCTCTTCAGCATATCCAAGTCTACCTGATACAGGTGCTAAGAAGGAGTCCCACACCATGTTAGTCTATCTTCTGTACATGCTGGTTTTTCTGGCAAAGGAGGAACAACTTCTGAGCCAACAGGTGAGTCCAGAACTGTCTTGTTTGACATCAGGTTCATCGGGTTTCCCCCCTTTTGTAATCATTTATTGTGCTTCTCCCTCCAGGACTCTCCTCTGCTCAGTCTGTTGGTCCAGTCCACCTCTCTGCCCTGGCACCAGCTGGACCTTTCCTCATACCAGGGCATTCTGGTATATGTTAGCACCCACTACCCTCCCTCATTGCTGCTCAGTGCTGATTCTGCGCTTCAGCTGTTGCTGAAATCACTGCGCAGTGCTGCTGGGCTCAGTCCCCGCCCAAATGAAGTTCCACACGGGGTGAGAAAGGACAGGAATGTGTGTTTTACAAGTTAATTCACTGTTTCATCAAGGGATTGTGGACCTCTAATGAGCTGGATTGAGTTATTGCCAGGGAGTATTTGGACTGGTTTGATCTTTAAGCCGTTGTTTTTTTTATCTAGAGGAACACAGAATATTCATACTTATGAGAAAGTGCACATGCAGCCGAAAACTCAGCTGAGATTTCATGAAAGTCCATGTGAAATGTTAAGTCAGGTCAAATGTATCTATAAAGCAGAAGCTAACCAAAAAACAAAAACAATTAAATAATAGAAAACAGGCGGCCTCAAAACATCAGCAAATACATTTAACTTTGGAGGCAGTTATAATTCTTATGACAACGGACTACGTGATAAAGAGGGGCCTTTGTGTTTGAGAGAACAGGGATTCATGCTTTTCCCTTTAAATCTTTATATATGCATGTGCTCTGCCTGAGGCTGATACATCTGTGAAAGTGGGAGGTTTGGAGCATCTACATCAAATTTAGACTCATACAATCCAGTTACCGTTGCCAGCTTTGTATCACTCAGCCAAATCATTGAAATTATAAACCTTTGAATTTTATGTTGCTGCAGAGGACAGAAGGGATTTTTATATTTAACTTTGTGATGTTCCAAATTTTTGGCAAAATTTGGCTGAATGAACACAGTCCACTTTTAGTTTGTACTGTACGAGCAACTGATTTATGATTGACAGTCTATTTTTTTCTTTCTTTTTACTTTAACCAGCTACATTATCATAAATGACCTGACTGTTATTTACTAGAAGTAAGCATAACTAATTAATGCTTTATTACTGGAAAGTCATTAACAGTAAGTATAACTGGAAATATGTTCCCAAAGCAGAGGTCATTCTGTGCATTCATACTTAAGTGTCATTACTTGGTCAAATTCTGTTGATTTTGGTATTTCCATTTTACATTAACCTGAACAATTAACCAAGAGTGCAATGACTCCCTGTCAGGAGGAGACACTGAAGGCTGGAGTGTACGTGCACTGGTGTGTTCAGTCTTTGGTGACTCTGGAGCAGGGAGGCGGCATCAGCCTCAACAGCCTGGAGGCTCAGCTGGAGATGCTTCTGGAAAGCATCGTAACATTCAACCCACCTGGTGAGTTGTCCTCACAGTCTCCTTTTTTTATCAACAGTCAGTGAGAAACTCTGGTATCACCTTATGTCCTGCTCTTTCCTCCTCAGAGACTGGTTTGGAGCAGAGGCACATGGCGTTCTGTAGTTTGTTCAGTGACGCTCTGGCTCTGCTGAACGGAGTGGGTGTTTCAACAGGCGAAGCACTCGCTGCTCACGTCATCTCCTGGCTGGACAGGAAGGGGAGGGGCTTTCCAATTCTGCCTCTCCTGACTGCCTGTTCCCGATGTCTGGCGTCTGTGCGACACATGACGCGCATCATGGAAGCATGTATCACCGCTTACTTCAATCATGGTCAGCAAAATTGCATTTTCTCCTGTTTTTAAAGGAATTTTATGATATCAAGGACTCATGTTTTAAGGTTTTTTATTTTTGTTTTTCTCTATTTGATTTCAGCTGAGGAGGAGTCCTTAGGTTGGGGTCCTGTGTTGGCATCACTACAGGTGCCTGAGCTAACAGTGGATGACTTCCTCTCTGAGAGCCAATCAGGCGGCAGCTTCTTGACACTCTATGCCTTCGTCCTGCAGCGCCTCAATACTGAATACACAGCAGCCAATGAGAAGAGGACGCTGGCTCTAATTAACACATGGACCTGCCAGGTCTTCCCGAGGTATGAACCCTCGGTTTTTAGTTTGCTTTTGGAAGTCCAGCATACATAACACCCTGTGCTTATAATGAGTGACTGTAAGTGTTTTGTTGTGTTTTGTGTATCCAGTGGTCCAGGCGATGAAGCCAAGCTGTTTCTTTGGTGGCACAAAGCACTCAATCTGTCAGCAGAACAGCTGCAGCCTCAAGCGGGCCAGTCCGAAGTGTTAGGAGTCGTTCTGGGTCTGTTGAGGTTACAAACCAGGCTGCTCCAGCTGGGAGAAGAGAGACTGAACTCTGGCCTGTTAGGAGCTATAGGTCTAGGAAAGAGATCTCCTGTTTCTAATAGGTACGCTTACTCGCATTATACCAACAAATAAAAGAATTCTGGAGTATAAAAGGTTATTTTTCCAGTTGCTGCTAAAGCACTTATCAATCCATCCTTTCTGTTTACTTAGGTTCAGAGTGGTGGTACGCAGTCTTGCAGCATTCCTGTCAGTGCAAGTTCAATCAGAGACAGAGTTGCGACTCCAGCCCACCGCTGAGTTGGAGCTCTCTGCTAAAGCCCAGCAAGTAAGCGAGAACGACTGCAAACACTGTGTTTTAATTTTCCAGTCTGTATTTATCTCCTCAGAATAACTTCTCCTTTCCCTCTGTGGATGCAGACGCTGGGGATACTGGAGGCCATGCCCAGCAATAAGCAGTACGCCGAGTTCGAGGAGTCTGTGAACAAAGCAGTGCAGTTCATCCGCTATCCAGGACACTGCCTCAGAGATGGACCTCGACTGCTGTCTTTGCTGGCTAATCTGTTGTACCCTGACCTCAGATACCTGCACATCATCCGCTAGCCAAGATTTTACTTGACACTTATGCTGGAAATGTGTGACAAACTTGTTTCTGTCACAAGAACCGTGACAGTAAATCTCAGTTCAGCACAGAAAAAGAAAAGTAATCTGGAAGCACAAAGTTTCCAAGAAGTGACCCTGGCACTGAATAGCTTTTTTATCATGTTTTTAAGACAGAAAGTGACTGGTTGTTAAAGCTCGCCATGCAATTATGAACACTATCATTTGGTCATGTTTGGTGAAGGGTCATGAAATCAATCAGAAGCATAAGAAGTGTCATGAGCCCTTCTCATACCTTTACTCGCACTTTGTTTTCTCCTCTTTTCTTAACGCCTTTTATGCTTTTATATAGCTCGCCTGTTGGTTTTCAACACTGCTGGTCTGATCATGATTCGCTAGGAAGTTGCACATATTTATTGAAGCAGAATTCTCTATCAGAACTCGTCTTTAGGTGTCAGTTTCACAACCGTATGTGGAATCTAACAGAAGAAAAGATGAAGGGTCCGTAGATTATATGGAGAACTTTGAAGGACAGATCTAATAGAGCTATACATTTTGTAGTCCCCTCACAAAACAGGGTGGGGGACATACCAGGGAAGCTTGAAGGCGGGGTTTAGTGCCTCATATCAATCATATCTGGATTCTAGCATTTATCTACAAGCTAAAATCTTAACACATACATATGAACACAGTGTCTGCCTGTATGAAACAACAAAACATCTACCAGTATTATGTTTATGTCCAGCCAAAAGTGCTTTTATTTTTTCTGCCAAAGAAATGTTATTTTGGTTTTCTGAGCCATTTAAATCTTCTTGACCATGTACCCTGATTCTTTCATCTGTCTCTGTAAGGTACTTAAGACTGCGGCCCAAAAAAAAATAACACACTAAAAGAAACACTTGATAGAAGTACTACTTACACTGTGCTTCACCACTCGGCTTCCTTATAAAGTAGTGTGTGCTCTGACACATGCTGCAGAAGCTGTTAGCAGCATTAAAACAGCAGGTATTTACAGCAATGTCACAGGAGTTGAGTAATAGCTGTATTTATCCATACAGTCTGTGATTTGAGGACAAAAGCACATTGTTATTCAGATTTACAGGCCGTACTGTACATCTCTGTTTTAATTACCCTTGGCGGTTCACCCCTTCTGTTGCTCTGTGCCATCTCAATAATAATCGCACTGCACTTCTGCAGCCTGAAGCCCCCCTTTATTGCCTGTGTCCTGTGGTGACTGGTAATGTCAGAAGTGCTGCTTTTTCATGAGTCAGTGATCAGGAATGGGTCTTTGGGGCTGCTGGGGGGAGGGAGAAACAGAGCCGGTCTGCTCAGAGGAAAACATGCTCAATATAGGGAACAAAGTGTCTCAGTGGGTGTTTACCAATTTTACACAATAATCCAGGATTTTGGGAAGTACTTCGAGAACCTGGGAGAGGGAGGAACAATGGATATTTCTGAAAAAGTCACATGAGGACACATGAGAGGACAGTGCTTTGAATGAATCAAGCTGTAGAGAACCAGCAGGAGAGCCAAAATAGACACAAGCAGCAATACAGAATACATTGTGCAGTATAACTGGTCTGCCATCCACATCCTTCGTGCATAACAATGCAGATGGTCAAGCTGAAATTAAAGCCTCATTGTCCAAGACAAGTGTTTTGACAAGCCTGTAATTTGATTGGCATCCTGTTGTTTTTTGCATCCGATCAAAGGTACAATACATGTCCCCAGCTTAGAGCGGCTTGTACAAAGACTGTTTGACGGGAGGAGGGAGGGGCTTTAAATTGAGCTGTGTGCTAACTTAGCACACAGCATCCTCATTTGACACCTCGTCTGTCTGGGAGAAAACCTCTCTTCAGGCAACTGTGGTCTCTATGGTTACAAGAAGGGTATAAGTGAGAGAGGAGGTGGAAAGGACGGGGTGTTCTGAGGAGAGAGGAGGTGGGAGATGCGTACAGGCTCACATTTCTGCCTCTTCTTTGCACCAGAAAACAGCCACGGGTATTTTTCTGTGAGCCCCTTGTCTGCGGTCTCTCACCAACTAATTGGCCTGCTGTTCTCCTGTCTCTTAGATAAGGCTGTGTGAACCAGTCCGAATTTATGGGACAGTCTGGCCTCTCCTAATATGTCTCATACACAATTATACATATCCACGTGCTCAGAGGACCCACTGCTGAGACAGAGTAGTCCTGGCAGACACATCACTGTCTGGCAGATTCTTGTGTCACCATGGAAACCTAGCATCAGGTTGGGAGTAGTTGTCCCTAGACTGTTTTTGGTGCACACTCAGCAGCCGGGATCAGCTCCCCTCAGTCATCATTGGCAATTAAGACAGACATAAAACAAGCAGTACAATCGCACAAATGTGTCCAATTACGCAACAACCTCTGAGGGTAACCAGGAAGAAAAAAAATGATGTAAACTTTGTGTACACAGGAGAGAGGCAAAATATTTGATGTACAAATTTAACCAAGATTTTTGTTGATTTAAATATATGCCAGTCTAGCACCCTATTGATGACCAGTTGCTCTTTTTTGGACAGCTGCACCGGCCAGACGTCCCTCAAACACAGTCTCAGCTGGTCACACAGGAATGTCTCTGCGCTGTCCTCCACTGACTTCTCTACATGCTTGCATTGCTCTTTCGTACTTTTGTATTTTTCTTGTCTGTGAATGTCATCCTAACAAGAGCTGAATGATTATGTTACTGCTAGAAAAGAACAAGCACTGGAACAGAACATCCTGAAGAGTGGAAGTCACATACTGAAAATCAGGCTGGTGACAAAGAGTTAAAGAACAGGAACCACGTTGCTGAAACCTTCAGTAATATTTCAAAGAGGTATCACCTCAATCAGACAGATTGATTTACAGCCAGCTGTATACAACCATCTTCAAACAACAGACAGACACAGTAAAAACAAAAAATCTATGTTGACAAAAGCACACTGAATTGATTTAAAGTGTAGCTGTAATGAATAAACAAATATCACACTGAGCAGGTAAAAAGGCTGATGGCAGTCAGGAGAACAATATGTTTAGGAGTCTGTTTGTCCTGCATGCTGATAAAATATATCTGCTGCCAGACAGGAGCATCAAAAACTCTTCAAACAGCATGTGCTTTGAGCCCTTTTTGTGGAGTCTGACTTTGAGTATGGCAGTCATATTGTTCAGAGCAGTGCCTGTGTTTTTGCAGCACGTGTTGACAATGCCCTCAATGACCCGTATAAGCTGATCTGAAAAGGAAAACCAGACCTCAGGTCAAGGGTGTCTGAGATTAAATAGCCTTTGTCTTTACAAAAATGCCAGATGTATGGATAACTAAAATATATTTGGACATGGTATGCCTTTGAAACACAAAATCAGGACTTGAGGTTGTGAGTCAATCAGATTAGATCCAAAAAAAGTTATTTGTAAAGGTTAACTTAGTTGTTTCTTATCTACAGCCATGTTTCCTCTGATATTAATGGGTTAGATGAGTTAGATTTTTTTTAAGTTACAGTTTGCTCATGATGTATTTTGTGTTTTTTGATTTCTAAGCATTTGTAAATAATGCTCGCATCGTTTTGAATGTGTCTGCTGTGTGTGTGTGTATACAGAGTGTACATGTAGATGAGAGTACATACATGTGTGTCAGACGGGCTCTTCATTGATAACACCCACTTTTCTCACACCTCCTCTCTGATCCAATCCAAAGGGGAACGATGACTCAAAGCTCTAATGAGTCTTTATATCTCACTCACTTTCCTTCCCCCTCATGAACAGCCCTGCAGAACAGAGGCACCTCGCCCCGCTGAGTGTACCTTTCTGGGTACTTAATGGTTAAAGTCAACAATAATGACTCAGACCTCTACTGTTAGTGGAGCTTTAGAAAGAGGTTTTTAGAAGGATGGGTAAGCTGCTTGTTGATCTCATCCAGACTTAAAACAGCAGACATGTCAGTAAGTAGTGTTTGGCCTTGAGAAAACACTGAATGCTGAAGCAGAGCTAGTGAATATTTATGGTACTTCCATCAAGAGCAAACAAGATTTGCTGGTTCATGGTGCAAAGATTGATTGGTTCCAGTTAAAGGAGTGATTAAAAGAGGAAATTCAGACTCCATTACCAACAAGTCCAAGGGTCTTAACATAGGTCTGTCTTTAATGGCCCTTGAACCCTTATTTTATCATCCTCAAGGTTCAAGACTTGTGTTGTTTTTCCTTTTTGTGCATTTTTGTCAAAGATTCCTAATTTGCAACACAACAAACTTAGTGTAAGGAAGCACTGCAACCCATACGAGTCTGCATAAGAATGGAGGAAAGCCCCTGATTCAAGCAAATGTTCATGGGTTACACAAGTCCAGGGTTATATGGGACATTTAAGGGTAAAGGGGGTCACGGTTGCATTTAATCCTCATTTTCCTGGAGGTTGGTTCTGTCATTAGACTTTAGTAGCAGGAGTCTAAGTTAGGTCAGGATGAGGACAATTCCTGAAACTTAAGGTCAGAGTGTCATATTTTTGAGCACAGTGTAGGTTTAAGGTTCAGTTTGGGTTAAATTTAAGTTTTAGTGATTGGAAAGTTGGTTGCCGCACTGAAAAACTCCTTGATCTTTGCAAAGATAGAAGAAGATAAAAATGCGTGTGTGTATGGAGTCATTTTATGACTCAGAGGTGTTTATACCATCTCAAAGCAGGCACGACTGCACGAATACACGCACCAGCACACACACACACATTTTCTATCAGGTGATTGTTCTCCTGTCAGCTCCCAGGACTCTCTCTCTCTCTCTCTAATTCGCCCTTTCTTTCTTTCTATCTCTCTCCAAATATGACTTTGTTTCCCCGCACAGTGAACCGCAGCCCCTCATACATGCCTGCATGCTTACACCACAGTAGAATCCTGCAGGAGGGGAGAATTAAAGACATGGATCTGTGGCCAGTTTCCACTTTACAAAATCTCAGTAAAAACTTCCACCTACATACTACTCTAGAAGTCTGAGTGTGATTCAGGACACAGACCTTGAACAAAGAGCCCTGCTTGCTGGCTCCTGCTGCTGGTGGTGGTGTTGGTGGTGGTGGAGGAGAGGGCTGGGTTGGCTCTCTAGACAGATTTTTTAGACGACGAAAGGAGGAGCAGGATCGGACAAAAGCTGTGGGTTCGGTAAGAAAAATACATGTTTTATACAATGGGATCAGATATTGGTGCAGAATTTTAAAAATGCAGGTGATGGACAGAATCAGGATCAGGGATAGGGTGAGGATTGGATTCAGGCTACCAACCACGGCAGCCCGATGGGAATTAGGGATGACAACCTCGGATCAGCCTCTTGTCAATTTTAAAGAATTCAACCTGATTTTTAATCGATACACAAGGTGATATCGCACAAACCTATTTTAACTTTTTCTTTTTTCAGCTTTATTTCCCTTACAAACGGGCCAAGCTGTGATTCTCATTCGAATACATTTACAGCCACGGTAATGTGCTGGATATGTAGGTTATAGGCTTTACGGCTGCCTGTATGGACAGTTGTCCGAGGTTTTCCACTCAAACGTCAGATGCTCAGTCTCAGTGTTTGGTCACCGGTTATTTCAGAGCCTGCTGTGATCCTCCCGGCGTCCTGACGTCAATTTATAAGGACCCAGCAGTGCCGGGGAGCAGGCAGGCACAGAACAAGAGCGAGAGAAGCCGGACCATGTTGGTGTAATATCCCCCTGACACTGCTGGGCTTTCTGGTAGGAGTTTATCCATTGCCATTTTTTCTGTTCTTTCTCATTTCATGTAGTCTCTAACGCGTTCACAGTTTGAACCCGGCTTTCTTTCGCGGACGTTTCGTTTCATATCCGTGTAGATGGAAAATTTGAGTTATTGGTCGGTATTGCTTGTGTATTTTGTCTTAGTGCTTAAAAATTGAGGTTGTCATACTGATAATATTAGCAGCATACAGAATGTCAGTAGGTTTCACAGTCAAACAAAAGGTTTTCTTAGTCCTGGTAGAGGCACCGCGGTGTTTCAGTGGAGGGTCTCTGCTGTGTGTCCCTCCTCCGGCTAAACACAACACATCATCGAGGAAAGTCAGTTCTTTTAAATGAGCGCAAAATGCCAAGCTTCTGAAAACAGACACATGAGGAATAAGCTGTTTGAAGTCAAATTAGATGTCAGGCTGAATTAATAAGCAATAAAAAAGGGGATTCCTTTACATCACCAGAGCATCGCCATAGCAACAGATAGTAAAAGCAGCACTCTCTCCTGTTTTATCTCCATCTATCACTAATAGGATTCATCCTTTCAGGGAGCATTGGGTGCACCATACAACTCTGCCAGGGTAGAAATAGACTGTTGCTCTAGTCAGCATCTGTCTAAGAAGGGTGTTATAAAATATATAAATACACGCTTAATTTTGCCCACCAGTGACTGTCCACTGAGCCAAACACCAGGGGGGTCCCTATCCTGAGATTGTATGTGTGTGTGTAGCCATGGGGAAGGACTACTACAAGACCCTAGGGATCCCCAAGGGTTCCAATGAGGAGGAGATAAAGAAGGCATACCGGCGCATGGCCCTGCGCTTCCACCCTGACAAGAACAAGGACGCCAACGCCGAGGAGAAGTTCAAGGAGATCGCAGAGGCCTATGAGGTGCTCAGTGACCCCAAGAAGAGGGTGGTCTATGATCAGCTGGGAGAGGAAGGTGAGGAGGGGGGAGAGTCATTATGTGTCTGAGTTTGATCCTGTCTGTGAGTCTGAGTGTGTCACAGATACTCTGTCAGTGAGGCCTTGTCAAACAGGCTTTATGATGTATTAAGTTATTATTGAAATGGACCTGGCTCTGAACTGACTGAACATCTAATATCATAGTGGTGGTCTGCAGTCACTGAGGTAATAAAACTGTGTCTCTTTTGTGCCTTCATGTTTGTGGTCATGTGCAGAAGTGTGGGGATTGTCCATTGTTATCATCAGTGTCAACAAGCTCTAATGCCTTACAGTCTTCTTCAGCTGCTACTGTAGTATTTTTGCAACGGTGTCTGTGTGTGTGTGCGCGCGTGTGTGTGTGAGCTGACAGACAGATGGCTTAAGATCATTACGTGGTTGAGTTATGAATAGCTGCGACTGCTGTAGTTTGCATGTGTGGGTGTTTTGTGCATGTGTCTCTGTTGAAAGGTGTGTTTTGTGTGTGTACTCGTGAGTGTGTGTTGGACAGAGTGACCTGGTATTTTATGAGTTCCTCCTCTGGCAGAGCTGTTTGAAGAACGGTGATGCTGTGGGATTTTTCCCACCCACGTGGGCTCCACTCTTCCCTGTGCTGTTACCAACATGCAGTCTCTTCTGAACAGAGTCCATTGCTTGCTTTCTGAGTCCATAATTCTGTGTGTTTTTCAGATGGTGGGTGTTTGAGTTTGCATGTGCTTCAAAGGTCTCACGTTCTCTCTCTCTCTCTCTCTTTCTCTCTCTCTCTCTTCTCTTCTCTTATTTAGGTTTGAAGACAGGTGGAAGCAGCTCCTCAGGTACTCCTGGCAGCTCAACATACCACTACACCTTCCATGGAGACCCCCACGCCACCTTCGCCTCCTTCTTTGGTGGCTCCAACCCATTCGACATGTTCTTTGGTTCCAACCGCAGCCACAGTCGCTCCAACGGGTTCTCCTTCCACAATGACCATGATAATGAGCAGGACATGGACGTGGATGAGGATGACCCCTTCTCTCATTTTGGTAGACAGTTTGGCTTTCCAGGGGGGATGAACAACGGCTTCCCTGGGGAGGGGCGCAGAAGGAGAGGGGCACCATCAGAGCGCCTGAGCGCCGGGCGGAAGCAGCAGGATCCTCCAGTGGTTCATGAGTTGAAGGTCTCCCTGGAGGAGATCTTCCATGGCTGCACCAAGCGCATGAAGATCACTCGCCGGAGGCTGAACCCAGATGGGCGGAGCATGAGGACAGAGGACAAGATCCTCAACATTATCATCAAGAAGGGCTGGAAGGAGGGGACCAAGATCACCTTCCCAAAGGAGGGGGATGAGACCCCTGAGAACATTCCTGCTGACATAGCCTTTGTGCTTAAAGACAAAGGACATGCCCACTTCAAAAGAGACGGTTCCAATATCATTTATAACTGCAAGATCAGTCTGAAAGAGGTGAGTCAGTCTTTGTTCTTTTTTCTATTGTCTTCTCTCATTGTTACATCTCCATATTTTGATGAATTCACAATGCTGCTGAGGTTGTGTGTTGAATTCCCTGTGAAAAACAGCGGAGAGAAATCTAATTCGGTCAGAGAGCTGCAAAATTATGCATGAATATCTAAACAGTGGCACATTTTCTTCTCCCTCCTTCGTCATTTTTGTCACTAAGACTAGTCAAACAGTTGATGAGTTGGAGAGGTGTGACTGTAATGTAAGGGTAGGATTATATTCTGGGTGTGTGGTCTTATTAATCTTTCTTGATGAGTGAGTGTGTGTATGTGTGTGTTTTGCCAGAGGGTAAGATCAGTGAACAGCAGCGTCTCTGCCACTGCAGTGTGAGAGAGGGAACAGGAATGTCTTGTCCTTGTGTGACCGGTATGGGGCCATCGTCCTCACTTGTTTTGCACTGCTGTCTGAATAAATATACAGAAACACACATCAAGGAAGACACACAGAAAGCTACACACAGGCATAGACATTGACGCAGGCTTTCACACTTGTGCATCTTTCTAGTGTATTTGCAAACACACCCACATTTAAAGATGGATTGTAGTGAGGCAGTGGTGACAATCCAGGCCGCTATTACTGTGACTGGCAGGACATTTAATTAGCCGCTCCTATGAGGGCAACGGGTCCGGCACAGCTCTGCTCTGTCTGTGAATTACACAAGCTTTAATGTGTGTCTAATAGCACTTCCACTCTGCGGCCTGCACTCCACATGGCTGGCTTAATGGTGGGTGTTCTTTAAGAGTCGGAGATGTCAGGTGAATCGTTTGTACTCCAATCAGTCCAATTTCGAACAATTTTCTCTCTAAAAGCTGCACCGACTCTTGGCTGAAATTCCTTTCAAAGAAATTTACCAGGAAACCGGGAAACCTGCGCACAGCACAACTAAGAAGACAGCCTAGTTATAATGAGAGAACATTAGGTTTTGTGGAGCAGGAGATGGTACTCAATCAAACCTGCACAGTGATTAAGTTTGCACTGCAGAACTCCCACAGCTAAGTCCTCTGCTCCTACAGCAGCAGATAAGAGACTTAAGTGTGATGCAGCTAAAGACGTTGTGGGGGAGAGATGGGGAAATGTGGATGGGGATGGGGGCTATCTGGGGAATATTAGGGAAGTGGGTCAGATGATTTAGTATCCAAAGCAAATAAGAGCTCATATTCCTCTGCATGCTTTACCTGAGGATATGATGCTGCACTAAAAACACAGCACTGGTTACATGCTGCACACCAGACAGCCTGCAACATTTGATATGGCAAATGTTATGCAATGCACCAGAAGATGATATGATGCAGTCCACAAGATGAGTGTCCCCATTAGCAAAGAGACTACAGAAGTATTAGTTTTAAGAGCAAATTGAAAAGGGGAAAGAGGAACTTACAAGTCTTAAACAACAGTATGATCCCCTTGTTATGCAGTTACTCCATTTTTGTTTCTGCCCAAAGCCCTTTCTGTTTGACCAAGCTTTGAACTCGAAAGTGTCACGTCTAGATTTAACTTCCAGTTTTGCAGTGTCTTCACTGTGACAGCGGTCGTGAGCAGTTAGGGAGCGCAGCGCAAACTTGACACATTGATTCCACTGAAACTGACCTACACCTGGATTTATATGCTGCTCATTCAGGCGTTAATGATTCGTCTGCAGTGTGCTGGTATCTTCTGTGCCAGTGCATTTCCAACTCCTGCACACCAAATTGCAAAATGTAGCTGTTAAAATCTAAGAGGAAAGTGTGCAGCTGTATCTGTGTTGTTATAAAGAGGGCAAAGACTGTTTCTAAGTAGTTTGAATCACCAGATTTGACAGTTTTTAGTCCAGTCCAGTGATAGGCAGCTTAAAGCACAATGACAATGGTTTTCAGTATTTGGATTAGGGATGCACCGATCTGCTTTTTCACCTCCGATACTGATACAGACATCTACAGTTTAATATCAGCCGATACCGATTCAATTCTGATACAGAAAAGCCGTGCTGAATTACCTTTTGTTGTGACCTGAAGTTTTACCACCGCCCCTCAGAACGTTTACTGCGCAGGTATTGCAAGTGGCCATCAAGCTTGTAGGCTGAGGTAGTGTGATAACGTTCAAGATAACAGACCCCTTTGCTCACTCCATTTTGAAAACAATGTGGGCATCTGCTCAGCGTGTTTACTTGTGAATGCCACTCACAGCACATAGCATAGAGTTAGACTGAATAGATGCATCAGGCCCATTGTCACGATACCCAATCTAGAATTTTCTTCAGTATTGGGACCGATACTGATATCAATTATCGGATCGGTGCATCCCCAATTTGGATGTGGTAAGGAAATTCACAATCAAAGCAATATTGTTTCTTTGGCGCTACATTGTGTGACATGAGAGTTGTGCAATAAGTAAATCACGGCAACCTGTCTGTCTGTGTGTGTGTGTGACTTTGAAAGGTGAATGAGGCCACTCTTAACATGAGGATGAGCCCTAGTCTCATTCACAGTCACTTGCCTAATGTAAGTAGCTTGATGTCATAGCTGAAAATCCCTGTCTGTACTCAAAAGCAGCTGCTCCACTCTAATGATCTTCAACTTTCCACATGGCCAGTCTTGTTCGTTAAAAAGATATCACCAGACCAGACAAGAAAATCCTGCAGCAGTCCTAAGTCAAAATTAGCCACATTATGAAATTGGCTGGGTGTTAGAGGTTAAGCACGTGCCGGTACGTGGCTTTATAACTGTTACATCATGACAGTCTGGTTGAGTTGAGATGGTTTGAGATAAGAGTTGGTATGTTTTGGAAAAATCTCAGGAGGGAAACCCAAACAGCAAGAATTCTCCTTTCTGTCCAAACATGAGCCTCAAAAGCCCCAAAGCTGAATGAATAGATCTTTTCTTGGCATAGATTCTCTGGTCACCACAAGAATAAGAACAACTTGATAATACAGAGAGACCAGACTTGCAGTAACCTCTACGTTCAAGTGTATCATTTGAAACGGTCGTCTTCAAGGTCTTCTTCAGCTGCATTTTTCTTTCTTTTTTTTTCCTTTATCAGCTGTCGGGCCAGCTAATATTGCACTTGTGAAGTGCTGCAAAGTGCTCTGCTCATAATGGATCATAATAAAACCTTTTCTCACAACATGAGACTCCATCTCATCTTGATGTTGGGTCTCCTAGGTAATACATGAAGCTCATGGTATTGAAGTGGTATTGACAGAAATGTCACATTCATGATCTCCGTGTATTGATGTAGTTTTCCAGATACTGTAATGCCAAGGTTTTCTTTTCCAAATAGCCCACTAAGTTGTACATTATCTCTACCAGCCATAGGCCTGCCTACTAATTTCAATCGTTAGTGTACACTGTTACTGGTAAATGTTCAAGGTACAACAACTCTTGTGGAAGTCATTCCCAGTTGTTGGAAAACAGTGTTGGAAGAAGTCAAGGTAGCTGCAGTATTTCGGCGTTATCCGCTTATTGTGAGTCAAAATCATAAGGGAGTTTTAGGAGAACAAGAGAGAACAGCCCCCCTTCCCTTCCCCTCTCTTGAGATCTGATCAGCTCACCCCAAATCCTCAACTGTGATTGTCTATTTGTGTTGTCAGAGTTACTGGGGATGCTGGTGGCTTTCTTTGTTTGGTATTTCAGTGTGGCACATATTCTTTTATCATTTTGACTCTGGACACACTTATTCTTGACAAAAATATAATCAAGAATTTATGCAAGGAAGATTGTACAAGTGCATTTTTAGTACCTTTTTATGCCATCTAAAAAAGGAAGTTTCTATTTTCTAAAGGGATTTTATACAGAAGATGGTGTTTGGAAAGTAAGCAAGGTAGACCAGTCTAGCCGTGTCACTGAGTGAATTTGGCAGTGGGTCTGTCCACACTATACAACTATCAGTGCTACCTTATTCCAACTACCATATGGATAGCTGGCAGCACAAGGCTAAGAACCACACATGCATAGAAACTGCACCTAGCTAAACACAATGAAAGTCTTCATGCAGGAGAACACTCAGTTAGAATAATATACACAGGATAAGGACATCTTCTAAATACTCTAGTTTTAAAAAAGTCAGGATGTGCCCCTGTCTGCACATCACATCTCCATCTACCACATCTCCCACCACATCTTTACAGTGTTTATTTATTACTTCCTTTTGTAACAGTTGCTTACTAATGTATTATATAAAAAGTTTTTTTTATTGGTCAGGATGTTCATTCACAGGGTTGTGGATTTAAATAGTTCTTTTTATTCAGCGTAAATCTGGCAAGTGATGCTCACTGGAAAGCCTGTGGAGTCGTGATAACCGCAGGTCTCTATGTTTAGTTTAGCGCTCTCTATACACTGACTGGATTCATCAGGCAGTATGATAAGGAGGTGAGGCTTAGTGTGTGTTTCTGTTTTTGTATGTGTGTGTGTTCCCTCTTTCTTTCTTGCCAGCCCATCTGACAAGCCCTCCAACTATTTACGAGCTCAGCCGATTCCTGCCTCACTTCATTAGCCCCCGCTATGAGACTGTTGCTAAAATTAGCCCCCTGTGCAATGTGTAGCCCCTCCAACACTAACACACACACCCCATCCACCTACACTAACACACACAAACACACACACACACACACTGGAAAACTTATCACTGCCAAGTCATGTTTTCCGACTGGTCCTGTTCCAATGCTTTTCAGTAGACCCCACAGAGCTGTAGCTAATACCATAACAACACGCCAGGATAGTTTACTTCCTGTCTCTTTCTATCTTACACAAACACGATGAACACACACAGAAAGCATGTGTAGGTTTGACTTGTTCGAATGACGTCCAGAGGCAAGATAAACTTCTTAATGGAAACATGAGGTCATCGAGATATTCATGTCTTTGGCACTTCATTCCCACTAAAAATATTAACCCCCTTCATTTCCTCTCTTCTGTAGGCGTTGTGTGGCTGCACAGTTAGCATTCCCACGCTGGACAACCGCATCATCTCGCTACCCTGTCATGATATCATCAAGCCAGGGACGGTGAAGCGAGTCAGAGGGGAAGGCCTGCCTTTCCCAAAGAACCCATCACAGCGGGGTGACCTCATTGTGGAATTTTCCGTACGTTTTCCGGACAGGATCCCCCCTCAGTCGAGAGAGATCATTAGACAACATCTCCCACAGTCATAAGGAGACTCACTGGTCCCATTACACACAACAGACTAAAAGGCTGTAACCAAGAAAACCAACCCCCTTCTTCATCTGACACATTTTGACAGTATTATTGACTTTCCACCTCAAGTTGACATGCTCTGTATTAATGCACACCGCATTAAACAGGAACTGGTGTTTTTAGGGCCCTAAAGATGGTAGAGGAATCCCAACATGAATGGTAGATTCAGGATGTTCTTTTTTGTGTTTGATGGGCCCCCAACACACACGAACACACTCAAAAAGCATCCGAGCAACGGAGCAGTGCAGAGGATGGTCTTTTCTTAATTCTGTTTTTTACAGATTTATCTGTGGTTTTATATGCTGTCCAACTCTCTGATCCTCGTCTTTTTGTGATAGGATACAGCCTGAGGTATTTTTTAAGATTTTTTTTTTTCATTTTTTCTTTTTCAAAGGAAGTTTCAAATAGGATTATTTATTTTATCCCTGAGTGTACCAGCAGCTTCAGTATGTTAAGAGTAAACCCCAGTTTTAAGATTACTCCCCCACCCCCAACTGCTGTTCTCATGCTTTCAGTCTGACTGTGAGGTTTGCAGGTTGTTCACTCTTTAATAAGATCTGTATCCCCGAAAAATCAGTGGTTGTCTGATGTGTGCATTGCCATACCACACTTAAGAGTCCTGCATTACTCCAAATAATGTCTCAGCTACATTTGGGAAATCTGGGAATGACAATCACACACTTACAGCAGTGTAAGCTTGGATATTACAATCTGCACATTATATGGGTGCTTTTCCTTCTGAGCTGTGTGGCTGCTTTACACTGAACAGCCTAACCTGCCATATGAGGGACATTACGGTGCCTTAGCCCGGTGTCATACCACACATGTGAACATACACACAGGTCACACTGTTATATATAAAACCAGCCATAAAAAGTGCACAACTAATGATGCCCTATGCTGTGTTAAACATTACCTTTGGGATCTAGTGAAAAAAAAACACAAAGTAAGTAAGCAATACAACTTTGAAAGTTGTACTTCATGTAAGCAGACATTTTTAACAAAACTGATGAACTTTGCTGGTTTATCTCTGTAAAGTGCCGTACAAGTACAGGCTGGATTTCCACGAGGAACTCAAGTTAACCTTCATTTCAAAGTTAAAGTAAAAACTTGAGATTTTTCGGGGAAATCCAGCTCTGGTGTATCTTCTGCTTTCTCCTGTGCCATGTGAAGGCAATGTCTCGGTGCTACTGTGAACAGTGCCAAAAAAACGGACCCTCTAAGGATCTACTTTTTGGTTTCATGAGTCCTCAGCTTGCGATTTGATAACTGCTTCTGTCATAGGTAACATCTGTACATCCAACTACCCATCAGTTTTTCAAGTCCGAACCCCTGTTTAAGCAGGTTTTATATTATTACAGCTGCTCTTCTGTGTGTCAGCTGCAGGGGGCTGTAAAGCTCTCTTCAGCTCTTCCAACTGTAGTTTACAGTGATGATAAGATGTATGTATGAGTGTGGTTTTTTGCAGACAGCCCGAGAGGCTCATATAAACTGTGTATGGATAAATGTTTGAATGCAAATGTTGATAAAAGCACTTTTACATCACAAAAGATGAGACAATGGGACAGATTTGAATGACTGTTCTCTGAGTGAGGGAGCGTCCTGCCTCTCAGAGGTTTAAGGGGGACACTGGACCGTGGTTCAAACCAAGAATGCACATGTGCTGCTGCTGAAAGACTGACACTGCTTCTGTGCATTTTAACATATTTATGATATTTTGGAAATGAAAATAAATAAACCAAATGTGTGAACTCGATGCTTCGTCTCATGAGGATTGATCTTTCATGAATTATCAGATGGCTCTGAATGACTCTGAAGTGCAACCAAATTTTTCATGGCAATAAATGAGGTTTCAGGATGAAGTATGAAGGCACCAGCAGGGAATATGCTGACAAGTAATCAACTAAATAGGACTAAACACAAACCTAATGAGTCTGTGGTATTAAAAGCAAAAATTTCAGACTCTCCCCATCCACTTTTCCCAACCCTTGAAGTATTTGTGAGGAACTTTGGTTTGTTTTAAGTTTGGCACCATCTGTGGACAAAGCAGTCTTTAGTTATCTTGTCTTCAACAGTGTTCTCTGACAAAAAAAGTCAAACTGTCAAATATTGTTAATAATTCAGCTTTAATTTAGCTTTTTGGTTGTTTAGAGAAACAGTTTGAAACAAGTACACCATTGTTTTTTGATTCCTCATGGAGGGCAACCCTTAAATTTATGGTGGCAGGCCTGAGGAGAAGTCTTTGTTTTCATTTTTACAGGCAAAAAATTTTAATTATTATACATCGCCAAGCTGAAGGTAAGCAAAGAGATAATTACATGCAATAATTTGGTTACGTCTAACTTTGTACGCAATGATAAAATTCATTGGAAGTGAATGTTACATATGGCATTTTAGCATATTTCAGATGTTGTGCTACTTTACAGAAGACCCCAAAGAGTATAATATTTAAGATTCAGTTGTCTGGGTGGCAGGGTCACCAGAAAACTGCTGAGGAGTTTGTAGAAAGCACTACACAAAAAAAGAGTTGAACTAAAAATGTCATATCTGTTAAAATGATCAACCTGTCACATCATGTCATTTGCTGCATAAAAGTACTTTTACATTTGGTATTTAAAGCAACTGTAAGGAGCCTTTTTAACAGTTTTTGTCTATTATAGCACCCCCTTGTGGACACATCAATGGTTGCTCTGATTTCCGGGCATGTGTAAATAGTGTTTTTTGACAAACCTCTCCATGCTTTCTTTGAATAACCAAATCCATCACCCATCAGAATCTTTGTTGCAGTTTACAGTTAGAGTTTTGGAGCATGCTTTTGATAGACTGATATCTATATGTACTTGACTGCAGTGGTTGCAGGCATTCATGATCAATACCCTCTTTTGCCTCATATGTAAAGCGCATTGAGTCTCATTAGATTAGACATTAGACTTCTGAAGGTATACTGTGATATCTGACAAAATGTTTAAATGTCTTCTGTCTTGTTGAGTTCACGTGGTTTGGATGTTTTCCAGCACTGTGAGGTGCAGTTAAATAAATGAAGACAGACTTTGACCTCAACCAGACAAAATGCAGATGGACCCTTGACTTACCGCCGGTTAATCTACCAGAGCGATCCAAGGTAGGAACAAAAGAGTAAAAAAGTAAGAAAACTTGAAGTCACTCTGTGTTTACTGCCTGAACACTTCTGGCTATTTTACCATTACACACGATTCTGCTGCTGCTGGGTCAGGAGGCTGTCAGAGCAGGTGATCTGTGTTAACAGGTCGGTCATGAGAAACCACTCCAGCAGTTGATGAATTTAGTTAGTGAACGTATAAGTGTGTGTGTCACATGTCGGGGATAAAGCAGACAATTAATGAAGCATGGAGAAGCTGTGAGATGACCTGCAGTAAAACCAAACTGTGACTAATGTAATATACCTGCATCAGCTATTTCTGGCTGTACGGCGAGGTTCACAGAAGGTTTATGCCTCCACTGAAACACTTTCTGCTCAGAGGGTGAGGGAATAAAGAAAAGAAAAAGCAGGTCACCTGATAAGTGTAGTTTGTTTGCTTGGAGGCAGAATTGCACTGAAAAAAAGATAACAACTTAAATCAGCTTTTTTTTTCCTGACAATATTTTCATCCTTACAAAGTAGCTGGCATGTTAATTTTTTTTTAGTTCTTCGGGAAAGACCAAACTAATTTATTGGCCAAGTACAGAATAAGCCAGCAGTACTTTTCAAAGCGAAATCTGCACTTTTTTAAAAGATTTTCAGGGTATGAAGCCCTTCTTCAGCACCACTGCATGCTGAATAGAAGCACATTTCCCTTTCACAGAAAGTCATTTACGAATTCTCTTTATTCAGCAACATTATCTATTATCAGCCGTTTTTAATGTCTGCTCATTCCTTAGAAATAATTTCACAAGATGATTTTGATTTTAAGGTTATTCTTTCTATTCATTGCTTTCCTCCTTTTCTTTTTAAAACTAGATTCTTTGCAGTGCATGGGTGATAGTTACTTCTTTGTGAGCAGTATATGTAAACTCACAACTGCTGTGGTGGAGCAGGGGTTAATGAATTCAGAAGTGAGTGTGAATCAGTAACAAGACAGTATTAGGACTTAGTCATGATGACTGGGTCTAGTTCTCGAGAGTCTGCATGTGAACACCTGACACATTCCCCTGCTGCTGTCTTTCACTCCTACACAGCCTCCAACATGAGCGCCTTTGTAACTCTCTCGACGGGGCAGAGGATGCCTGTGGTCGGACTGGGCACATGGAAGAGCTCTCCAGGACAGGTAGAAATATTAACCAGCACTCAGGAATCATTTGATAAGACAAGCAACATTTCTGGAGATGTTACGGTATGAATACTTTCTGTGTCTGACCCATGTGTTGTCAGGTGAAACAGGCTGTGCTGGCAGCATTAGACTGTGGGTACAGACATATTGACTGTGCTGCTGCATACAGCAATGAACAGGAGGTGGGAGAAGCTCTGAGTCTCAGAGTCGGTCCTGGAAAGGTGAGAGGCAGGCGGCTCAGATTGAATGAAACATCTATTTTAGTTTTGACATTTGAGTTTATCTTTAAAAAAGAGGTTGAAGAAAATCCTAAGATCAACAGACTTGCTTGTACTGATGCAAGTACATCAATGGTTGTTTTAAGGATCTTTTTAAACTTTTGTTAAATGTTCAAACAGATGTACAGTCTGAACATCCTTTATCCTTCCCCCCCTCCAGGCTCTGAGTCGTGAGGAGGTGTTTGTCACATCCAAACTGTGGAACACCAAACATGAGCCTGAGGATGTGGAAGAAGCCTGCAGGACCAGCCTGGCCCACTTAGGTCTCTCATACCTGGACCTGTACCTCATGCACTGGCCCATGGCTTTTCAGTGAGCAGCTGCACTCTCTAAGTTATCCTCAAATAATGATCAGTGGGTAATAAATAACATGCATCATGAGTGTGTGTGGATGTTCCAGGCGAGGGAAGGAGCTGATGCCTCGGCGAGAAGATGGTAGTATCTGTTACTCGAATACGCACTACAGAGACACCTGGGCAGCCATGGAGAACCTGGTGGACATGGGTCTTGTTAGAGCTATAGGACTGTCCAACTTTAACGCCAGGCAGACTGATGACATTAAAAGCATGGCCAGACACAAGCCTGTGGTCAACCAGGTACAATTTGACTAAATTTGCTTATTTGGTGTCAGAAATAGGTTTTAAAAAAATGTCCAATTGAAATCCTTTCTGTACTGCAGGTGGAGTGTCATCCTTACATGTCTCAGGCAGACTTGCTGACTCACTGTCGGTCAGTTTAAAAGCATTTTTACACATTTTAAAACAGTCACTGTATTCGGGGTCTTCCTTATTCTTCATCTTCACCTCCTCTTCAGCTCAGTGGGGGTTTGTGTGACGGCCTACAGCCCTCTGGGGAGTGGAGACAGACCCTGGGCCTCTCCTGGTGAACCAACTCTGCTGCAGGATCCTCGACTTGGTGCCCTTGCCCAGAAATATGAGAAGACACCTGCCCAGGTTATACTCAGGTGAGGCACAAAACCTTTGTCTAGCACAAGGTAAATGTCAAAAATCAGAGCCAAGGACCTCTAACCTCAAAACTTTGGTTTTCCTTTCGGCAGGTGGCACGTTCAGAGGGGTGTTGTTTGTATCCCTAAAAGTGTAACACCTTCCAGGATCCAGCAAAACCTGCAAGTGTTTGACTTTTCTCTGTTAGAGGATGACATAAAACTGATCGAAACCTTCAATAGAAACGAGCGCTTCATCGTCCCAGCAGTCGAGGTGAGTCACTCATTTTGTGACCTTTGCTTATAAAGAGATCATACAACAGCCTCCCTGTCCAGACTGAGACTCACTGATGACACCACATGGTTGAGACATCAGCCCACTTTAGTTCTCCATAAATCTCTGATATGCTCATCGGTTATTCACTCTTTAAGAACTGAACAGCAGGAATCTAGGTCAAACCTCATATTTCATAAACAAATCCTGAAATTCAGTTATAAGCGTCCCAATTTTTTTTTCTTACAGAGAGACGGCAAGAGAGTGTGGAGAGACGCTGAACATCCTCATTTCCCCTTCCATGATTCTTACTGAGTCTAAACAAAAGAATTCAAAGTTCTGTTTTCAAAGATGATTGAAGAGATCTCTGTCTTAGATGTTGCCGTCATTTACCTATTTTAATCTATTCTGATTGTCCTGTATGAAATGAACAACAATATTTGTGATTTGAAGGGACTGATTTGTCCAGAAAAATGCTAGAGGCTTGAATTACTTTTCAGTCGATTCTAAACTGAGTTTGCTGTAAAAACAGAGAGACTTTTAGTGACATCCTGTGGTCAATAACAGAACTGTCTCTGCTCAGGAATGCTGGCTGTAATCAAATGGCGTCTGAGATAACATTTAAGGGATATTTACTAAGGCTCCATCTTTAAGTTCCCTTTCAGTACACATGCCAATCAACATTAGGGCGACAAGTAACAATCTATAACTGTATAAATTCTGTTTTCTTCCTTGTCACTGTAAAGTTGCAAAAATAAATAAATAAAAAACAGAAAAAAAGTCAAAATTTCTGAATCACTATCAAATGTTTTCCATGTTTATTTGATTAAAATGACCCAAAATGAACTTGATGGATATGATGAGAATTATGAATGAAAAAAAAAACAACACTAGAGTTAACTGACTGTACAATAACATAGTGTCAATAAAGAACTTTTAATCAAACACCAAATGTCACTTCCATTTTGTGAGATTTTATTTTCAACAACATAACCTTGACAAATTTGTAATACATTATATGCTACTGTTTATTTAAAAAAAAAAAAGAGGAAGTCATTAGCAATATGTTTTTTTTTCTTTTCTTTCTTATAGTCTAGCATAGAATCCCATCACTAAAGCCATTCAGGTTGGTTGTGATATACTGAGAATGAGGCCACTCAACGATGCCCACCCCGCCCACCCCAACACCCTCCCCCTCCCCCTCCCGGCATCAGTCACTCACCTTCCAGTTCCAACATCCCCTTACCCCCACCCACAACAAAGCCAGGGCAAACCAAGCGGCTACATGCTTTCTCCAAGGGAAGTCATACAAAAAAAAGGAACACATGAAAGAAGCACAAAGTCCTAAAAATGTGGAATCTGGTGAGAATTTGTACAGGTGTGATCCCAGTACTGACCACTGTGGGGCAGTGTATGTTTATCCGTAAAGGTCATCGTCGTTGTCTTCGTTGAACACTGGACCGCTGCCGGTTCCTCCTGACCCATGACTGGGACCACTGCCTCCTGTAGCGCTGGAGGGAAACCTGAAACATGGAGAGTGTGTTGGTTTCAAGTCATCAAAACACCCGTGTCAATTTCAACCCTGCACCTGCACCTAACCAGGACAGATGTTTGAGTGAATAGTAAGGAGAAAATACAAGCAGAGGTAACACTTCCTATTCGTGCCATCACACCACAAGGCTCAACATCACAGATACCAACTCTTTGTTTATATATGATCTAAGTAAAATGTACCTGAAGCTTCCAAAGCCACGGCTCTGTTGCAGTGTCTGAGCAAACATCTCATATTTGCGAATGTCATTATCACTGACAGAGCGACGAGCGAATCGCATAGCTTCCTCAAAGTGGTCCTTCCTGATCTCGGGAACAGGATCATCCTCCTCCACCTCCTACAGAAGAAAAAACCCAGATGGGTGTTACTTAGAGTCAAACATTTGAAGCAGTCACAGCAAGTCACCAAGGGGACAGAGGCAGAACTGACCATGGCTGATGGGTTGGTCTGCCTCTCCCTCTCCCTGCGGATCTCGTTCTCGATGCTCTCCCTGATGGCCAGCTTACACGCCCGCTGGCAGATTTCTGTAAGATCTGCTCCAGAGAAACCGTTGGTCATCTTTGCAAGGAAGTCCAGGTCCACATCCTTTAAAACAAAATAAAGAAACTTTTTAAAATAAGTATAAGGCTTGGAAACGTTTTGATTATTTCTTGGTTCAGATCCGATTTTAAAATCAAATTTATGTTTTTCTCTGTTGACTCCAAAAGTGAATTATTACATTTCAAAAAGCAAACCCAGACTCTTTTACATCAGTTGGGAGATGTTGACAGTTTATGTAAGAAGCATTGTGGAATCCTACAACTGACAACAGTAATGGCAAAGTCTGCTTCGACAAAAATATCTATTGAAGATCTAAACTAATCTGACAAACACTCAGACGCCTTTCTGTTTCTGTCAAACTGGATTGTGGCACTGTCACCTTGCTGATGGGACTCTTGCGGAGGTTGGCTTTAAGGATGCTCATCCTGCTCTTTTCATCGGGCAGCGGGATGTAGATGAGCTGATCCAAACGCCCGGGTCTCAGGATGGCAGGATCAATGATGTCTGGTCTGTTTGTAGCTCCAATGATGAAGACGTTCTTCTTGCTTGACATACCGTCCATTTCAGTGAGGATCTGGTTAATGACCCTGTCAGCTGCTCCGCCGCCATCTCCAACGTTACCTCCACGGGCCTTCGCTATGGAGTCCAGCTCATCAAAGAAGAGGACGCAGGGGGCTGCTTGACGAGCCTGAAAGTATCAGTTCATGTCCAGTTGATTTAGTTGCAATAACTCAGTAGAGATTAATTAATAAATCAACATATTTTCTCTGCACCAAAGTTCCATGAAAGACACAAACAACTTTCTTACTTTGTCAAAGATTTCTCTGACGTTGGCCTCAGACTCTCCAAACCACATGGTGAGCAGCTCAGGTCCTTTGATGGAGATGAAATTTGCCTGGCACTCATTGGCGATAGCTTTGGCCAGCAGTGTCTTACCACAACCAGGGGGACCGTAGAAAAGGACACCCTTGGAGGGGGTCATACCAAACTTGAGGAACTTGTCTGGGTGCTCCACTGGGTACTGAACAGAGGGGTCAAAATAAATAATGTAAGAAAAGAAGTCACATTTTCAGGAAATCATGCTCTTCGTGGCATTACTTTTGGTAAAGGTTCATACCTGCACCAACTCCTGCAGCTCCCTCTTGACATCATCCAGACCTCCAATGTCCTCCCAGGTGATGTTGGGAACCTCGACAACTGTCTCCCTGAGTGCGGATGGGTTGCTCTGACTCAGGGCCCACTGAAGGACAGTGTCAAACATGTTAAAGGCTTAGAAAACCTGACAGTATAAAAATCACCCCCCGAAAAATTCCAGTTGTTACTAGGCACGATATTGGTGGCCCAAAATATCGAAATATGCAAAATCACCTTTCTGTGCACAGCATGACACGCACAAACAATATGAGCAAGAGGCAGCTAACGCGACGTTGGGAGCATTAGCTTTTTGGAGCTAAAGTTAGCAGAAACGTCACAAACGTCAATAATAAGCTGTAGAGTAGACCAAACTTGTTGCGGTCGTGTTTTTTACCTTGATTTGGGCGAACGATGCTGGATGGTGTTCACCGAGGTGGGCACGTAGGTTTGAAGTGTTAGACAACGGCGCTGACACTTCCTTACCGCATTATCTGCAGATTGGTGTCAAGTTTACCTGCTCCCTCTGTTTTGTGAAGCCGTAAATCGCCATACTGCCGACGAAACCTTTCCGACTGTTCTTGGTCCGGTGTTATACCGTAGAATGCACCCCTGCCGTTGAATGCCCCCCTGACGGCAGCGCAGTTGAAAGTACATAACAAGGCGAAATAATCAAAGTTTTCCTCACCGTTGGGTGGATTCAAAAGCGTGTGCCTTTAATTATTTCATTCAGACTATTCAGATAAGCCGAAAACAAAAGCCCTCTGATTCGGAATATTTGCGGTCCCGAAAATATAATGTTCTCTACCATGACAGCTAACTGTCCAGTTTATGTACCCAAGTACACCTCTATATGTGCATTTTTGGGACACATAAAAACAGAACAAAAGTTTCCTGCTCCATTTGACATGTTGTCATGATCTAATATTTGTTTTATTAAATATTAGATCATATCTCCTCCACTTTAAGAAGCTAATGAGCGGATGGGATGCATTGTGGACACACTCCAACAGTGCTTTGGGTGGCCGCACGCATTGTGGGTGGATTCGGATTTTTTGGATTCGGGACTACTTCTGTGGTGGTTTGTACATTTTGCTACCGACGCTTTGACACCATGGGTAAGACTACAAGCGGGTTACGTTGGTAAGTACTCAGCTTCGCTCGCCTCCACTAAGTCGCGCTACCACTCGTCGCACATCGCAATTAAATCTTATATAGGCACATCCCTAGTTGTCACCTTGAAGTCATCCATTGTGACTGCAAGCGAGTTCATGACTTCAGCATCAATGGTCTCGTCCTCAAGGTCAATCAGGTCCATCTTCTTCCTGATGGCCTGCAGAGCGGCCTCAGAGCAAAGAGCAGCCAGATCTGCACCCACGTGGCCATGAGTCTCATTGGCGACCTATGGAAGCATTTTGAAGAAACAAAGAAATAAATTCCTGCCCTGTATTACCCACAATGCACACCTTCAATGGAATTACAATGCCCATAACACTGATGAACTAACTCTACACATGAAATGTCACTTGCTGTGTTAGTTTACATTGACAGGCTGACATAATAATCATGTGACTTTCTCTCTCTCTTCAGGGCAAATGTGCGTCAGTTGTGGTGTAGCTCAACAGCAGGTAAACAATTATGTGCACAGACCTGTTCCAAGTCAACATCATCAGCCAGTTTCATGTTCTTGGTGTGAATCTGGAGGATCTCCAGTCTGCCTGTAGCGTCGGGAATGCCAATGTCCACTTCCCTATCGAAACGTCCTGGAGAAGGTGTTTGAAGAAACGAGTGAGGAGTCACAATACACATGGTAGACACACCTTAAGATAATTTAAGCACTCAATCTGCAGGAGACAAGCTTTCTCTACTCGTCTAGTCAGTCAAAAGGTAGCAACCAAAAGTTTGAGCATCAGTATTTGATGAATAAGACAAATCCAACTCCAACCCTTTGTCGAGGCTGTCAAAAACGTTCTCATCACCTAAATGCTGTTAAAAATGGGGAACTACAAAGCAGTGAACTGACCCAGCGGTGAACTGCAGAGTCCACAGATAAAAAAGCAGCCAGCAGTTTTGATCAGTGATATAACAACATGGTCTAGTGAGCCACATTAGTAGAGCAGCTTCAAATTATACAGCACAAGACGAAGTATCTTCAGCTCCTCTTTAGAAATGTTTATCTGGTATATAAATCCACCAAAGTAAAGCTGATGGTACCATTGTAGACCTCTTTGAGATGAAGAGTCTCTGTCTTCATTAACCTCTGTCTCTGTGTACTCCGTTTCACTAATTGTAAGTTAAGATAATTTTAATGAAAACCAGCTCATATCTAATTGCAAAGCTGCTCTTTCACATGATATTACATACTAGCCTTGTAAGTACTGTAGTGTTGATAAAACTGAATTAAACTGTATGTCAATTACTTGCGACTCACAGTGATGAGTCAAATAAATCGATAAAAAAGCACCAAGTAATGAGGCCAGGCTTACAGACATGAAGTCATATCACATCTGTCAGTGCATTTCTTATACCATTTTGCTCTTTAATACCTGGATGGGCATTGGATGATTCCAATTACTACTGCCAAACAACTTACCAAATCTCCTGAGAGCTGGGTCGATGCTATTGGGTCTGTTGGTGGCGGCCATGACAATGACGTGAGCTCTCTGTTTCAGGCCATCCATGAGAGTCAGCAGCTGGGAAACAATGCGCCGCTCCACCTCCCCATGTGTCTGCAAAGGGCAAAACAAGGGTTGTTGAACATAATTCACTCTGAAACTGTCTAGACATGACTATCTTGTCCAGGTCTGGTAAACAATAGCCATTCTAAATTTCATTCAAAATAGACACTGTATTCAGTTTTCTTCTCTTCCAGCTCACCTTCTCTCTCTTAGGAGCGATTGCGTCAAGCTCATCGATAAAGATGATGGCAGGAGCATTCTTCTCTGCCTCCTCGAAGGCCTTTCTCAAGTTACTCTCGCTTTCTCCTGCCAACTTACTCATGATCTCAGGACCTGAAATGGAGATAGGAACATTTAGTTTCCAAAAGGAAACACTTTGACCAAGTTAAGAAATATGTGCAAATAACAAAGTAAGGCCCCTACTAATAGAAAAAATAATAGAGCAGGATTGGGAAAAATACATTATACAATACAAAACAATCATATCTGAATTATATCTGTAAAAGCATGAAATGACCAAAAAGTGTTTAAAAAAAATTCTTATATATTCTGGTGCAAATACCATTAATAAGGAAGAAGAATGCCCCAGTTTCATTGGCTACAGCCCTGGCAATCAAAGTCTTTCCAGTTCCGGGGGGTCCATACAGCAGGATTCCACGGGGAGGCTGAAGACGGCACAAAAAAAGATTAAATCAAAAAACTTATTCATACCAAATGTTTCAACTATACCACCAACGACAATCTGAGTATCTCTGCATGTCAGTCAGTCTTCAATGTCAACTCTATTATGCAAACTTATAGTCAGAAGAAAAAAATCAAAACCAAAATGATAAGAATGCAGCAAACTCTCTGACAGAGTCCTTACTTCTTGATTTACATTTGCTTACTTTGCTGTGTCTCAAACATAAAATATAGGACGATCAACTACATCTGAAAAGCTAGTGTTTAGGTCATGTTATGCAAAAGCATGTTTGCAATACAATTTCTTTACTTTTAAAAATACTAAATTTCTTTTACTTTCTTATCCCACGCTCCTTAGAGTTACATAGTAGCACTTTAAATCTTACAATTGAGGCTGAATCATGCTTATTCCTTTACCTTGACTCCTATGGCCTTGAAGAGTGCAGGGTGTCTCAGAGGCAGCTCCACCATCTCTTTAATCTGGGCCAGCTGCTTCCTCACTCCGCCAATGTCATCATAGCCCACCTCATTCAGGGACTCTTCCTCATCCTGTATGTTGACAAATTACAAGTTAAATGTAAAGTTGTTGGTTTTTGGTGTATGTTATGTGTGTTTCAGCCAATAACCAACCTCTCTCCTGATTGGCTCTCCCTCGCAATGGATGACTGTATCAGGAGCGACAATGCAGTAAGGAGAAGGATCTGTCTCTACCACCTTGAACTCCACAGCACGCATGCCTCCTCTGACCAGGAAAATATCACCTTTTCAAAGCAAAAAGGAAACCAATTTTCATTACACATTGATAAAAAAGAATTCATATAGCGAGGAAAATAAAACCTTTTGACAGGAAAACTTCACTTACCTTTACGGATTGGCCTGTAAGCCTCAAGAAAGTATGGCTTAAGGTAAACCTCAAACAGGTTGCCAGTAATTCCTTCTACTGTGTCATCGATTGGAAGGACGTGGATCCTCTTTCCGTACTTCACATCAGGACATGGCTGAATGCTGTAGGACAATTAAGTTAAAACCATTTCTTTTTTTGAAAGGTAAGTACTGAAGAGAGCATAATAGTCAACTTTTCTCACCTGATGACATCACCAAGGCGGACCCTGAGGTTGTTGCGGACCACCCTGTTCATGCGAACCTTTTCGTCAGAACAGGTGTCGTCAGACAGCACAATGCACACAGTCTCCCTCCTCTTCTTTCCCTTCATCAGCACTGTGTCTCCACGGAAGAGCTGCAGCTCATCCATCTTAGTCTTAAGATACATAGTGAACCTCAGTGTTATTACACAGAAATTATTCAAGGGAAAAAATGCATTTCAAATGTCTGATATGTCAATGTCAGCTTTATTTATATAGCAAATTTAAAAACAGCCAGTGGCCTACCAAAGTGCTTTAAAGTAAAAACAATAAAAACTATAAAACCAATAAAAGCACAAAACAGAAAAACAACAATATAGATAAACATAGCTCAAAAATAAAATACCTAATAAAAGTAGCTATACTTCCACAAAAGCTAAAGTGAACAGGTGTGTCTTTGGAAGTGTTTTAAAAGTGGAAAGGCTGTTAGCAGTGCGACAAAGACAAATGTCTGGCATAAGCTGTGAAAAGTGGACATGCAGAAATATTGTTAAACTCTACCTGAGAAAGGGAGACCACACTGTTGTCTTCATTGATGGATTCATCAACAATCAGTCTGTTGGGTCTGTTCTTCTGTTTCAGAATTGCAGTAGCTAAGTCATCATTTTTGGATCTACAATGAAAAATAGAAGAAATTGGGCCATAGGTCAAACATTTAACTTCGTGCACCCTCAAGAAGTTATACAAGTCCCAAAAATGTGTGCAATACATGAATTTCATTCGAAAAATCACTGAGGTCTTACAAGTCAAATTGGGATGCAAATTTCTAGTTTCTAAAGTTCATTATACAGCATTTAACTGAACAGATAGTGTGCTTAAATTAACCATTGGAAAAACTCAAGAGTGTCGGGTGAGTTTATCGAAACACGGTTTTACTTGACACCGCGGTGTCAGTTTTTACAGTTGTGCGGGGGTCAGTAACAAGAACTTCTCAACCCCAAATCCCATCAGTGTAAAGATCCTAACAAATTTATGAAAACTACTTTTGTTTGTAGCATCAGTTCAAAGCTCAAAAACGAATAGTCTCCCCTGTGTGTAAACAGGTCGTCAACATAGCTGACTAAATGATATTAGCTGCAGAGGCTGTCTGTTTCAACGCTGCCTCTGGGTAATTTCCATTTTAATGTATTCTAAATGAAGGTCAAAAGATAGAACAAACGAAAAATTAATTGTGCGTATTCCCATCAGGAAATACCAGAAGTTTCCAGAAAACACTTGGATTGTAGTTTCCCTTTCATATTGTTAGCGTGCTACTGCTAGCCTTTCAGCTAACTGACTGGAGACCTGGCGAGCCCCGTAGATGACACAGCAAAAGAAATAGAAAAAACTTTGGTAGCTTGCTGGGTTTCCTAAAAGAAGGGCTGGCGATCCGGTTATGTCCACTGAATATACATTTACTATCAATGTAAATCAAAAAGCATAACCTATACTGTAACCCGATGGGGAAATGTGTATTTTCGCTATTTAGCTTGTAGCAAAGGAGCTCGAGTAAAGTGTCTATCACTTACAATGAATAGCTGGATCCTGTTAGCATGCTAGCTTCACTGCACTGTGTATAGGACCATGAAGTTAGCAGTCTGGATGACTGACGTTTTCTGCCCTGCTGCTACATTTCCATTATAACTTAAGTTCGTACCGTATGTGTGTGTTAGCAGCTTCATGTATCATTTTTAAACATATTATATATGACACGCTATCAGTCAGAAGCTAGGCCAACTTGTCGGTGCGACGGTGGATGGCTGTGGCCTTGACACCGATGCTAGGCTAACATTAGCATCCAAACACGACAGCAATGACTGTGCTTTGTCAAGTTGCTGTCACACAGCTGGCTAACCCCCATACCGGTAAACGACAACCGTGTGGATGACAACGCTTTAATGAAAGGCCATGCGTAATGATAATAACACTCAACTCTCAGTGTATTTAATGGGTAATGTGCCGAAACGACAAACGAATACTGCGGAGGCTGAACTAACTGACCCCATTAGCTCTCTTTGCTAGCTGACTCGCCGACGTATTAGCAATCAAGCTAACTTTATAAACTAACACACACTGAGCCGACGTTGGCCATTTAAAACACACATAACTTCATGGACACAATAAAGAAAAAAGGGACTGTAATGAGGCTAAATTTTATTTTTACTTACTCCCCTCCCGAAGCCATGGTCGTCCACCTGGATTGCTATCAATAAATAGTTATTCTACCTAAATGTTTAAGAGGCTTAACCGGTTCTTGTTAGCCAAGCTTCTCTGTGATTTCACACGAAAATGCAGCCGTTTCCGTGCTCCTCTGTACTGTTATACCATGAGTCGGACGCATCCGTTACCCTGATTGGCCGGAGGCTGCCCATCAAACATGCTAACCAATCAAAAGACATATAATGTGACGTCAAAGACAAAATTGTGAAAAATTGGCCAGTTACGAGCGAGTAGGATGGTCCTAATTTCATGTACTTTTCTCCTATAGGACAGTACAGTCCGTCACCAACTCTTGTCATCCAATCGATGGGTACCGCGTTGGTACCGAAAAACTGAACACAAGTCGATTCAGTAGTTATGACATGGGACAAACAGTGCACGTTACAGCACAGAACTTCTTCCTAAAATATGCCACGTATTTACGGTCAATACTTTTAAAATGAGGCACGGATAAACAATTTTATGTCAATTTCTCTGAGTACTATGTATGATACAATTAAAGTGTAAAAAGGCTCACTATGATGTACTGAAGTAACAGTCGTGGTTCATCTTGTCAAGCAGATAAACGTTTTATTTCCTAAAAGCAAGTTTCTTTTGCACCCAAATACTAAGTATCTCTACAGCTAATCATATATTATGTCATCTGTAAGCTGACTGCAAGGTTTGCAACCCATCCTTTGGTAATTTCAAAACACTGGAAATCTTTCTTTAAAATGTTTTATTTTAGCGTCCCAGTATAAACATGGTTGTTATGGGTATTGGTTTCAGGTCACAAGCCAGAGAAAGTTGATCCTGGTCAGTAAGTGATAGGGTATCCTCCTTTTGTCTATTCCTGGGCAGGCGATGGATGACCAAGTTCCTGTATTCGGCGTCGCAGCTCTGATGAGTCCAACAGAGGGCCGGTCTGAGGTTCATGAAGGTAAATAGAAAGACTCCTGCAACACATAGGGCATACGGACTAATGGTTGAGCTGCATGAAAACACAACATTAGGAAAACTAGAGAATGGCTTTTAAACAACCTGGGGTGTTTAAAGGGTATCCACTAGATAATAACTATACATCTTTTGCAACTGCGACATACTGCAATTCATACTGGGTATCAGAATGCATCTCAAATGTATTTTCACTTGGTGCTTTGAATCAATTTTACGTTCCTTGAATAAATTTGAGCTAATGAGCAAACGAAGGAGGAATACACCCTTTAAAGAAGTGGAATAAAAGATTACAGGAAAGGGCGGATACTTTTAAAGGTACTGACCTGAATAACAAGACTCAAATATCCTAATCAAACAATATCTGTATTTGATTAAAGTTCTAGCTACATGAAGAAAAAAATGTCCAAGGTTTGTTTTTACCAACATGATTACCTTCAGGAAACAAGAGTGAACTTTGCACATACTGAATGACAAAATGCAAAGTATAAATGACAGGCTTAGCTGAGATGGTGAATGCATTTTAAGAATGAAACTGCTTACTCCTCTGAGGACTGTGTGGTACGGCTCCAGGTTTTTTCCCAACAAGCTGCCGCCTCCAGTCTTCTGCCAAGCCTCCATAGCACCTCACCACACCACAGCCCTGCACCTACACACTCTGAGACAGGATACACAGGATCATAGCATATTATTACAAATTTAACATTTTGCTATGCTGTGTTTTTTTGGCCCAAACATGAAGTAGCTGCAAGGTAAAACAAAGAGATGTCAAGTTACCTGGAAGTGCTTGCAGGCTGAGCTGAAGGTCTCTCAGTGCCTCTCTCAGCTGACTTGTCTGGGTGAAACTTATGCCTCTTCCAGCAAGTGAAAGACCCTTCAACCTCTGGAGAGTACACAAATGTGTCCCCTTTTTGGTAACCATATCTGCATTTGGGATCTGTGGTGGGAAACCTGTCAAAGAATAAACAGAGTGAAATGTACAAAATAAAAGCTTGAAGAGGAATAAGAAAGCGACCAAAAGACAAAAAAAAATTACATACCAGTCTTTTTAAAGCGGACCATCACCAGCAGGTTGATACACCTGTAATGCAGATAATAATTTTAACTTTGTTTGTGAGAGAGTGACTTTTAAAAAGAATCATCTGACATACCTTGTGTAGTGAGTGATGGCTTGTTTCCAGTCCCTCATGTGTGTGTAGCAATGACCCTGCAGCAGATAGGCAGCAGTGGCCCACAGCAGTATTTGCACCCTGTCCTCATCCTCTGCACACGCCCCAGTCTCAGCCTCACACCTATCCTCCTGTTCTTCCAACACCACCATCTCTGGCAGCAGCTCCACTGTTGAGCTACTGACCTCATCACACAGTGCCATGCAGTCAGCAGGTAGCCGGGCCATGAGCAAGGCAGCACCAGCCTCCAGGTAAAGCTTGGGCAACCTAGGGAGGGGAGGGACCTCAACATGCACCTGGGAAAAACAAACAATAAAAAAGCTGTCATCAGCATATGGTGTGAAAGGTTCTGACAGAAAAAGATGTGGCATGGTAAAAAATAAAAATCCAAATTGTTGTGTAAATTAGCCTGAATGTCTGTCTGTTTTTTTCAGTCTTACAGCATGTTGGTTTTCTGAGTGGAGAGCAGCCAACAGGTCCAAATAATATTCCACACCCTCCGATAGCCTAGAGAAATAGCAACCACACCCATCAAACAACCACACAATGAGTCAATTTTTCTAGTCTTCTGTCTTTCTGCTTGGCAAGGTACCAGTAAATAAAAGAAAAGAGACTTTGGCCTACACACTGGTCTCCTCACCTCCCGTGCAGCACACACTTCAGGGCCAGACTGTGAAGGACAGAGAGGGCAGAGGGAACCGAGAGCAAGCTGCTCAGTGATTGGCTACAGAGGAGGAAGGCTGGCGAGAGGAGATGAGTACCAGGTAGAGTAGGCTCAGTGGTGTGGGGAAACATCAAAGTCTGTGGGACAGAAGAGGTTTCATGTTTCAGTTCACAGGCATAATGAAGTGTAAACTGTCTGACTCACCTGCTAAAGGATAAGCTTACCAGAAAAAAAGGAAAAGAAGATCTACATCAATATGAGATAATTCAAACAGCCTACTTTGTATTTGTGACACTCACTGAGTGTAGCAAACGGAGAGCCTGTATCTCAGCCTGTGTGTTGCCCATCTGTCTGTAGATGAGTGTACTCTGGTACAGGGCACTCACGCACTGCGAGTCTGTCTCCAATGCCTTCCTGTAACACTGCAAAGCCATCTGTGGACGGCTCTGAGGACAAATACAAACACAGGCACACTCTCACTATTTGAAAACACTCAAACCTTCTCTTATGCATGCACAATACATGCTAATTCTCTTTTGAATGTGTTGACTCTGTCTGTGTTTTTTACCATTTGGGCGAGGCAGGAGCCTGACAGGAGGTGTGTGTATGCAAGTAAAGTTCTGGGAGCAGACAGGCTGGAAGCTGTCTGCAGATCAGACAGTGCCTCTGAACTCCACCCTTCACTTAACCTCTCTGCACCTAAATGAAACAGAGCAAGAGTCAGATTAATCGATAATACAAACACAGGAGGAGCATTTATACTTTGAATCAGACATTAAGTGCTACCCCCTAGAAACTTTCTATTGGCAAAGTTCCTCGTGAGTACCAGTGATTCTCGGCTGAGGTATTGTGATTTTGGGAACATTTGATACTATAATGTAACTTCAGTAAAGTCACAAAATGAAATAGCACAGTTACAGTTGGTCAGACTGTAAACCTCACTGCACACGAGCCTGTGCATCTGGTTAGTTAAGACCCTCGAGAAGAAGGATAGAGAAGGATAGCAGCACTGATTTAAAGAGATATTTTTCAAGCTTGGTTGTAATACCCTGCCAAGTCAGTTTTACTTGGCTTGTTTTGCAGCAAAAAGCAAAGCTAAGTCTAAATATACAGTAGGCATCTACTACAGATTAAATCAAATCAAAAACTGAAAATTCTTACTCAGGCAAATACTCAAGTAACTTCCACATTTTTTTTTCCATGAATTGACAGTAATAGCAATTTTCTGACTGTCCAACTTAGCTCATGTGTATTATTGTTAAATTTTAGTGTACTACTGTTTGTTTTTGGCATTATGGGAGTAAACAAAAAGATGCTAAGAGTGCACTGTGCAGTAAAATCAGTATTATTTTTCTAAGTTCCTCTTCTGTCCGCCTCTTCATAAATGCCTCGCAGGCACATATCGCAATATGGGGAAATTGGGATGTGCCATAGCTGAATTGATTTCTACAGAGAAAAAGAGAGAAATATAGAAGGGAAAGAAGAGAAAAGAAAGAAATGCCTTAATCTAAGGGCTCTGGGAGCATCACCACTTAGGTGTGAGTTTCCTGCCAGTGAGGTCCTGGACCAGAACCCCTGCAAGCAGATGGCCATGCTGCAGCTACAACAGGGCACCGACAGGAAGTGTGCTACGCTATCTGAGCACCCATGCTCAGGTGCAGCCTAGCACAACTGAGGCAATCAACCTCTTCCAAGGCCCTGGCCCCCTACCACTCACCAAAGAAAGGGTGGACTGACTCTGGTATCTGAGTTGAAAACAGCTTCACTGTTTTACCTGTTTTCTTAAACCAAGGCTTCAGGCTTTGTCACGCCAGCTTCCACAAAAAAAGTAAAAAAAAGTCCTGGGTATGTTAAACTGGTTTAAAGAACAGCCCTCTGGGATATAACATGACATTACCATCCATGCGAAACTCACATAGTTTGATTGAAACAGTCAACCCTTACTTTCAGCACTAAAAGACATGATCTAACACATCAGTTTGAACTGATATATATTTCTGAACTCACATGTAGTTTTAACTGCTCTTTTTTGACACTAAGGTAAAACACCTGTGTGGAAAGCACAGCAATCAATACCACAAACCCCACAATGTCGCTGCTCCTGATATTTTTCTGTTAGGTTTCCATAGACTTTACATGTTTCACATCTGCACTGACCTTGTGCAATGGCAGTGCAGATCCGCAGATGTTCAGAAAGCCATCTTGGGTCTAATAGCAGTAGTGGAGAGTCAGAAGACCCCGCCTCACTTCTCCTGTCACCCCCAATTGCAGAAGAAAATGTCTCAACCAGAGAGAACAGCTCATCCTGCATCACATAGAGAAAAAAATAACACAGTATAATTTTACACTGTTCATTTATTTTCTGAAAAACAATAAAAAACAATAAAGATTTTTCCCACACTTTAGTATGCTCTCAGCATGCATGTAGGCATGTGTCTTTGCAATTTGAAAGAGGAAAGGGATTATCTCTTTGAGAGACTTGTATAGCAATGACAACCGTGCCACATTTCAGCAACTGCAGCCAAAGTTTCAGTTACTGATTTGACATTTTTCCACTTTCTACAATTAAACCTCTTTTTAGGGCTTGTGTCCCACATCATGAACAGAAACCTCATCATGCTGTTTTGGATAGTCTCGGTTCAGCCATGTTCTTAAGGTTCAGTGTCTCGTTTTGCCCACAAAGCTTGTCCATCAATCATCTAATGCATTCAGGGATGGCTGGCAGAGGGAATCAAGACTAGTAGCCTTGGCATACTCAACTGTATGGATTGATGTTTCTCACACGATCTACTAACTGCTCTGGCGGGAATCAAGTCTACCAGTATCATCTCACCTTGAATTCTTGTATAGTTTTCAGTTGGCAGGTGGCCAGCCATATTGCCCACTGCAGACACAGAAGAAACAGCACATATTCTTTCAAAGGTACACTTCCTGCTGACTCCAAAACTTTTCTCCACAAAACAAGAGGGTTTGAAGCATCATGATCATCCACTGTCATGTGTAGAACTGAGGAGAACAAGAGCATGCTGTCAAAATTCAGTCAGTGCTTCAGTATCAATAAGCCTGAATGTATTGTTTTGCTCGGGTATTTTCTGCTTCAACAGTTTTGATTAAATTTACCTCTTTCTGTGGCTTGTTTGAGAAGCAGTTCAGCTTCTGAAAAATGAGACTGAGCAGTGAAGCACACACAGGTGTTGTATGTTACTGTCAGCTCCAACTGCATGTGATCGGCAAGAGGAGGGATACCTGCAGGAAGTGACATGAAGAGAAGCAGGCAGAGGTAGATTTGATATAAGAGTAAAACTGCCTACAGAAAAAAAATACATTTGAAACATGAATAAACACACCTTGTATTTTCAGCAAAAGTTTGTGGAAATCAGCTGAGCATGGCCCTGTGTGCTGGTCTCTGGTCGGGACATGGTCTTCTCTGCCCTGGTAATCAAACAATGATGGATCTGAATTGTTATTATTATTGTTGAAGTCATTACTGAACAGGTAAACAGCTTTAAAACTTTATATGATTTGGTTACTTTCACCCGTTTTCCAGGCAGGATCATAAATAAGTGAAGCTTTTTGAATGTATTTTAGTTGTTACATATTTCTCAGTCGCTTCGGTGCATTTCTCACATCACTATTAACATTTGCACAACAGTTGGTGCATTTCTCAGAACAATTAGTACAAACTGCAATACCTAGTGGATAACCTGCAAAAGCGCATCACTTGCTCAAAATGGGTAGTTGATTCCTCAAAAGCAAGTATTCATGTCAATGAAAGTGTCTGTGTCATCAAAATAATTAGTCCCAACATCATTGTTTATGAACAGGACAGTCAAATGGCTTTGTCATGTTTTCATTATGACACTTTACTCTCTCCGTGTTTTCAAATGCAAAAAAGTCAAATCCTGGTGACACACCTTAAAAGTGTTTAAGACAGCACTATACACTACCTGTATAGCCATTTGAAAACTACAGTAAAGCTACACATTACTGTATTTAGTGAGGTAACTGAGTACAAGACACATGTATGTTTCACATATTTACTGCATTTGCTCTATGCAATTCTACGGCATTGTGCAAAAAATAAAAAAATAAATTCACAGTGACTTATTTAGAACAAACATAAGAAATACCATTTTGGTAGAACTGTGCACAAATATAAACAATATAACAGTACATATTACTGTAAACTGAACAGAAATTATTCCTGGACGTTCACAGTGGTTCTCCCTACATTTGGTTTCACCCGTCGACCATCCTCAACCATAGTGAGGCCATGATTGACAACATGGTCCACAAGTGTAGCCCTAACTTCATCAGGGATTTGCCTATGTACTTCACCTCTTCTTCCTCTGCCTCTGTTTTGTCCCCTTCCCTTTCCCCTTCCTCCCCACATTCTCACCCCTCCTCCATGACGCTGACCTTCCATTTTTGTGTCACAGAATTGTAGAAATGATACACACTCTGTCCTGCTGGTTTACGCTTGCCAAATGAGGGTTCATGGGATTCAGCTCTGAATGACTGTGGACAAGTGGGTTGTCATTGGTTACAACTAATGCTTCACACAACTCCTCATGAGTTAAAGCTAAGGTTCACCTGATAGCAATTGTTCAATTTAGGAGACATTTACACGAAAAAAAAAAGATAAAGGAATGTATGAAATCAGCTTGACAGATTTTGACAACTAGTTCAACAATTTTGTATGTAATGACTAAAGCAATGAAATGAGGACTATTAGTTTTATAGGGGATGACTATTCAGCATTCAAAAGTATAGTTCATTTTGACTGACATGACATAAGCAAATGATAAAGTTATAAAACAGCAGAGAATTGTATGAAAGTAACTGATACATGTCCAAGAGCATTTGCAATTTGTCCAGAGGAATGAGAAACTGCTACAATGATGTGCACAAATGACTCAGTGTTGTGGAGGTTGAACTAATAGTTATGAGAACTTTCATTCTGATCTGAGTAATGCACCAAAGCGACTGGGAGAAACTGTAATACTAACTTTACCGATACGAAGACAGACCTGCCAGCTCCAAAATACCTACCTTGCTCCTGTTTACCAGCTTGTTGTTTTCCTGGATCCATCCATCTAATAAGGATGTAGGCTGGTTCATTATATTGATTATTAATAAATAACTCTTTACTGAATATGTAAAGAGTATCTTCCGCAATGTTTGAACTTTCCCTCGTTTGTTACTGCAAGTGCGAACTAAAACAGGAAGTAAATGTTTTCATGTTACTGCCCCCTGTGGACAAATAAGTGCATGACATGTGCAGTCTGCTCGGTGTCCAGCAGATGGTAATGTGACAAAGCCAAAGGCACAAGGGTTCTGGAAACTTCAGTCATTTTTTTTAAAATCTTTTTTTCCTTCAAAAAGAGGCTTAAAGGGCTTCATCCCTTTTTTTCCAACGACAATTGACTCAATAAACCTCCAAATAAACATACAGACAGACATGTATGATGAGACTTCCTTAATTAATCCAGCAAGACACTTTGTCAAAGCTGTCCTCACTCGCACTGATCAATATTCACAACAGTAGCTCACAAGTCATGACCATATGTATGTATGCTCTCACACACATTCAGGTCCAAAGCAAGAAAACCCAATCCAGGGCCTTAATTGTATTACAGCTGAGTCATCCTTGAGACTGCCAGAACAGCCATTTTTCTGGGTTGTCCCTCTCAAGGTGACTTACACTTTTATCATCCAGTGCACTCGTCTCTTGTCCTCTCGTCTCTCTATCTGTCTCTGTCAGACCCCCATCAGTGTTTTACCTTGCTCTCGTGTGTCCTCAGCCTCCATTGTCTGCATTAGGCACAATCCCCAAGCTCCTTGTTTCTTTCATTGCCTCATCTCACAAAAAGCTCTAAATATAGGCTACCACCGAGGGGGAAAGCAAGGGAAGCTCCTGACATTCACCCCCTGAACAATATGCAGCTCTATCAGTGAGACACACAAGTATACACAACAGATATCTGTCACTCTGATTCTCTTTTTTCCTGCATGTTTTTCTGTTTTGGGACATTTTCCTCTGTATCGATCTTTCTGTTTCTGTCTTTCTCTGGCCTACTGCAACCACCCTTCCAAGGACAAGGTCATGGCAGGAGCCGCCTACCTCTTTTCTACGATCCTCTATCAGTGTTAGTCATATGCCATGAATGCAAACCAACATTAAATAGTCCCAGTTAAACAGTGAATGCAACAAATCCACCGTTTCCAGCACAACCCAAATTTACTATTTTGCTTAGGCTCTACTGTGGAGACACTTTCGTTTGTAGCAGAGGACCATACATCTTTATGGAGTTTATATTCTTCTATTCTATTCTATTTTATGTCATTCTGCAAATAGATTAATTGAGTCAACAGCTTCTAAATGTGAATGATTACTGGAAAATGTTTTACACGCCCTCTCTCTTTGTATCAGATTTTGATTCCACCAAAAAATTAGGAATTACAGGTCTTTTTTTTTTTTACTTCAATTGCATGTAGCAATTTCAAATAAAGAATTGAGGAACATGAGCTAGTGTGTATTGACATTAGATTCTCATAACATCACAACTGATTTCTGCTTATGTTGCAAAGATGTCCAGATATCCTCATATATAATGCATGAAGGTGTTGTAGAGAGGGGGTACTACATGCTATTTCAGTCCTGCGTGACCCGCCACCCCCCACCTTCAGCATCTCATAAACAGGAACTGCGATGGCTTTACCCTAAAGGACCTTAAACAGACACTGTGCGGCCAGAGGACAGGTTGCGTGTCATACTGTCCCCCAGGGCATGTACGTATGTCCCAGGGATGAAGGAAAGCTGATGCAGATAAATGATGTGCTGATTTATCCATTTTACAACATACATCTCAGAGGCACGGCACGGGAATAACTCTGTTCTGGTCCTTTAAGGTCTGCAGAGCAAACTCATTCACCCTGTTTAAGAAATCAATATGTGTTCGGGTTCTCTTTAGGCAGACAAGCTTTAGATTAAAAGAAGCTTAGCTTGATGTGTGTTACGTCTATTAGAAATCTGAATATATAATAGCTATTGATTAACAAAACACATTATTTTCCTTTTACTTCATTTGATTATCTGCACTGCTGAAATTTCTGTTGTTTTTTTTAAATCACTGCAGATTTTTTTTTCACTTTTACTAGTAGTTGCTGCAAATTTGAGTGACATAAGCACCTTCTTTAAATCTGTTATAAATCTAAATAAGTATTAGCTTTTGATTGACAGAACAATATCAGCAGATTCCCCCAAAAGTCCATTTTTTTTCATCTTTTCTCCTCGATGAATATGTATATGCATATACATGTGTCATGATTTGTAGTTACATTGTTCAGTGATTGTCTCTAGATTAAATTTCTGATGTTGTCAGAAAAAAACAATCCTTGTTTGAAACGGAAACACTCTTACTGTAGGATATAATTCTCAAATGTCAGGAATTAGTGTATAGGGATCCTTCCTGTCTGTTATGTCCCGGTCACCTGGGTATAACATGATGTGTACCTCCATTCTTCCTACTCCCGAGAAAACCAGAAAAACTGTTCAAATTAGAGTGAAACAGTTGATGTTATTGTCTTTAGAGGTGATTAGATTAGACAGAGCTGCACTGCACAACAAATATGATCCAGGATCCTAACACTGACATATTTTTGTGATGTGCTTTTACACTGGGATGGTTTGACTGCACTCCATTGACATTTGAAAAAGTTCACATCCACTGAAAAGGTTCGACTGACATTTCAAAATGCATCCTTTTAGAAGTCAATAGGAGTAGCGTTTGACCATATAAGTGTGCAGATTGTTAGTGCAGCTAATCCAAACCCTTATAGTACTGTGGAAATAATTATTGAAAATCTGTCTTTAAAAAAATAACTTGACATTACTCCTCTCATGTCCTCCTCCCTGGATCTATTGTAATCAATAATATGATCAATAATATGATGTTCAAACCTTACCTCACATCCTGAAGCTCCACCTGCATCTCCTGTCTCTTCTCTGAATGTACCACAGTTCTCCTCATGATAAAATTGTTGTTTTTTAAAAGTATTGATGGGCTAATACATACTGTATTTCACTAATCAATTGAAGACCTCACCTGAGCTTTCTCAGTCTCTCGACCTTTCATTGCTTCAGCTGCCTCGCTACTCTATGAACTCTCATTCTCCTGATGAGACATTATTGCACATAATATCTAATATATTATCACATAAATTGATAAATGGTCGAGTATGATTAGATGCTGTCCTTGTAGTCTTGCTGCTGTTTTTAGTCTTTTCTTAGGTGGAGACACTGAACTGAAATGAGACTGAGAGATCATTAATGCTGTCTCATCTAGGAGAAGAGGCGGGTATCCTCATCTAGCATAGGCCCACTTAAAATTTGTAATGCTTTTGCTGCTTTTGGTTTTCTATTGGTGTTGTCATGTCTCTGTCTCAGAGTCTGAGAAATGGAAAGATGCATTTATAGAGTGAGGAAATAAGATAAAGAAAACCACCAGTGTTTGCGAAGTGAGACAGAGGGAAAAGAGAGAGAGACTGTCAATGGCCCAGCAGTTAAGTTGCGTCCCCAGGGTGTTGGCATGGATCTGCAAACTCACACTGCAGCACTGAAGCTATAGGAAGCATCAGCAGAACAAACCCCCTTCCCACACATTTTAGCCTCAGCAATCCTAAATGACTTTATACTCAAATCATAAAAAACTCTCAAAATTAAGATTAAACAGGATAATATTAAAGAGCTCCCAGTTGCAGATATGCCTCTTGAAAACTAAAGCACATACTATATTACCCCCATGTTTACATGTATAGGACCCTATATTGAAATGATGTTTGTAACACATTTATGACACTTTAATGTTTTTCTTGTGGCTAAAATAGTTATTGTGTCTTAAATTATAAGAGAGTGGCTCTGGTAGCAGTAAGAAAGCTTTATTTTTGTGGAGCCAGTGGTTTTGGGAAGCAGATACCACTTTAAACGGTGTGTGAGAACTGATGCTGACTGGTGACTTCTCCTTCCCGCCTATAAAAGCCAGAACTTCCCCGCCTGCTGCAGTCAGTCCTGCTCTGGTCCCTTCAACATGAGTTTCACGGTAGAGCACCACTTCTACGGCCCGGGCTCCTACCGCAAGGCTCGGCCAGCCTCTGTGTCTTCTAGCGGCTTCCACTCCCAGCGCCGCCGCCTGACCTACAGCCAGCCGTCCTCCGTGGACAGCCTGGAGACCTTCAATGGAGACATGACACGGAGGAACGAGAAGGAGATCCTGCAGACTCTAAATGACCGGTTCGCGGGCTACATCGACAAGGTGCGCAACCTGGAGATGCACAACCGCAACCTTGAGGCGGAAGCGGCGGCTCTGCGGCAAAACCAAGCCGGACGCTCCTCTGTAGGGGAGCACTATGAGCGGGAGCTGGGCGACCTGAGAGATCTCCTGCAGCAGCTAACAGCCGACAAGGCCCGCACGGCCTTGGAGCACGAGCACCTGGAGGAGGACATCCAGCAGCTGCGCGCAAGGCTGGAGGATGAAGCGCGGAACCGGGAGGAGTTGGAGGCTGCAGCCCGTACTATGAAGAAGTATGTGGAGGAGTGCAGACTGGCGCGAATGGAGCTGGACAAGAAGCTCCGAGCCCTGGAAGAAGAAGATGCTTTCCTGAAGAAAAACCACGAGGAAGAAGTGGAGGAGCTCCTCGCGCAGATTCAGGGCGCGCAGGTGAGCTTTGACATGCGAGACCCGCACAAGACGGACGTGACCGGAGCTCTGCGAGAAATCCGCGCGCAGCTGGATGGTCACGCAACCAGGAGCTCAACGCACACGGAGGAATGGTTCAAAGGTGAGTGAGAATATCAGGAATTGGATTGTTTATGATTTTGGGGGGGTTTCACTGTAAAATGTCCGAGTGCAATGATGCGTCTGTTCTCTGTCCATGGTGCTGAAAGCTCAAAGTCACACCCCTTCTGGGATTTTTATTTTCTGGTGTAATAACTTTATTTATTTTGAACACAATAATTGACATTCTGAAGGTTCTGTTACCATCTAGTTACCTAAAAAAGAGACCAAATTCTAACTCTGAAGGAATAAGATTTGTAAAAATATCAATCCCTGGGTGCGCCTGTCTGCAGGGACACGGTTGCCGCAGAAAAGGGATTTTTCATGAAGGCCAGGACTGCAGGAGTGAGATGGCACACAGTGAGGATATCGTGATTCATTTGCACTTGCAGAGGGGAGCTGTTGCTGTGTCCTTGCCTGCCCCCTCTGTCCCCACTAACCCTGAAACTTAACAAGTAGGAACAAAAATACAATTTCAGGGCTACTTTTTGTAGAGGACAGAAGTACAGGCGAGCCAAATGCTTTCTCACTGAGCTCGTGTTTTTATTGCCCTCTAGTCTGATGTAGTTGCTGGGGTTATGTGGGGACATGGAAATAAGCTATAGAGGCAGATAGGATGCAGAGACTTATAGGAGCTAGGCCGTTACTAAGACATCATCTTGTTTTAATCCTCCTCTTAGATTTATAGTAAGAAGATGCAAAATCACCCACTGACAGCTGCTGACTTTAGTGCTTCCACACCAATAAACAATTATCTGCTTTAAAGGCCTAGAGGGTTTTATCCATACAGTGGCTCAGCTGCATGTCACAGATCTTAATGAGCTATAGATTGACCCTCGCTGAACATCTGCATGCTGACTTGATTCAGGCAGTTAAAGGTACAAACAAAATGACCTTCTGTGTGCTGTCCAGCTGACTGCAGCAGTGTGGCTCATTCATGCTTTTATCAGGCGAAGAGCTGAGTCAGACCACTGACTGACAGATGGCCACTGTCAAGGTTAGCAGGGCTCCCTATGGTGACTGTCTGCTTTTCTGAGACCCAGTGGACAGATGAATGAAAGAAAACAAAAGTCAAACTGTTTCATGAAAGATTGGGTACACATATTTACTTTCTCTTATTCCTGTAGTGCGTATGGAGCGTCTCTCCGAAGCGGCTAAGTCAAACCAGGATGCGATTCGTGGAAGCCAGGAGGAGATCGCAGAGTACCGCCGTCAGCTCCAGAGCCGCACCATCGAGCTGGAGACCCTCAGGGGAACCAAGGATTCCTTGGAGAGGCAGCGCATGGAGTGCGAAGATAGACACCATGATGACCTCAACTCATTACAGGCAGGACATCAACACAAACATCTTCCTCATCACTCATATCTATAAATATATTTATATTTTCTTGCTGTCATCAGGATGTTTGACCTGTTGGACTGTGCTTTATTCATTTTGTAGGAGACAATCAATCAGCTGGACAATGAGCTGAAAACCACCAAATGGGAGATGGCAAGCCAGCTGAGAGACTACCAAGAGCTGCTGAACGTCAAGATGGCTCTTGATATTGAGATTGCTGCTTACAGGTTTGTCAGAGTTTTACAGCACATGTGTTTAGAGCGGTTTCTTCTTATAGAATAAAAACTTTGACTGACGATGTGTCTTCTTGTTGAAACAGGAAGTTACTGGAAGGAGAAGAGAATCGCTTTGTGTCAGGAGGAAGCCCTTACTCCTACCTGGAGAGCAGACTCTCAGGACACTACAAAGTAAAAGGAGAGGAGATCTCAGACACCGTCATCGTGGAGGAGCAGACCGATGAGACCCAGGTGACTGAGGTGACCGAGGAGGCAGACGAGGAGGAAGAGGAGGAGGAGAAGAAAGAAAATGAGGAGGATGAGGAGGAAGGTGAGGAAACAAAAGGAGAGGAAGAAGGTGAGGAGGAAGAGAATAAAGAGGAAGAAGAAGGAGAAGAAGAGAAGGAGGAAGAAAAGGGGGATAAGGAGGGAGGAGAAGAGGAGGCAGGTGAGGAGGAAGAGGAGGCTGGTGAGGAGGAGGAGGAAAAGCCCAAATCTCCTGAAAAAGTTGCATCTCCACCATCAAAATCCCCTCAGCCCAAATCTCCTGCTGTCAAATCACCTCAAAAATCACCAGAGTCTAAATCACCAGCAGCCAAATCCCCAATGCCTAAATCCCCCGCTAAGTCACCTGCGGTCAAATCTCCTACAGGAGAGGAGTCAAAGTCTCCTGCACCCAAATCACCTGAGTCTAAATCTCCTCGACCCAAAACCCCTGAACCAAAGTCTCCTGAAAAGGATAAGGCTAAGCCTGCTGCAGCCAAAGACACCCCCAAAGAGGAGGAGAAGGAGCCAGTCAAAGTAGAGAAGGAGAAAGAGCAACCTGTGAAGGAGGACAAGAAAAAAGAGCCCAAGGAGAAGGAACCAGAGAAGTCTGACAAACCTGGTACAAAGAAAGACACCAAGACTGAAGACACTCCAAAACCTGTTACTCCCAGTAAGCCTGCAGAAGACAAACCTGCCCCCAAGGCTGAACCCAAAGAGAGCGCTCCCCCTGCCAAGGAGGAGAAAGCATCTGCTCCCAAATCAGAAAAGGTAGAGCCCGAGGTAAAGCCTGCCTCTAAACCACAGCCTGAGAAAACAGAGAGCAAGAAAGAGGAGAAGAAACCAGAGGAGAAGGCTGCACCTAAAGCTGAACCTGAGAAAGCAGAGAGCAAGAAAGAAGAGAAGAAGCCCGAGGAGAAGAAAGAGGCCAGTAAAGAGGAGAGTAAGGAGTCCAAAGAAGGAGGGAAGGCAGAGAAATCTTCTGGCACTGAGTCTAAGGAGAGCAAGGAGGAGAAAGGCAAGAAATAAGAGGATATGCTGCTTTCAGGGGGACCAGGAGAGGAGGTTGAGATGCCAAAGAACTTGAATGCAGAGCAGGAGAAAAGGGCATTATGTCCAAAAGCAAAGCAGGTAACGGTATGTAAGCAATAGTGATTTCTGTAGCAAATAATCCCTTGTTCCTCAAGTACGGCCACTGTAACCCCACCTTACCCTTCCTCTCCTTGATGCTTCTGATGTGCGATTGTAGTAAATGCAGAGCGCTCCAAACTCTTGAATGTGACAACTGCCCTTAATCAATAACAAGTGCATTTAAACTGAATCCTGCTGACTGGGACCGCAGAGGCCTGCTGTACCTACACGAGCCTTCAAGGGTAGTGATGTCAAAACAATGTAAAGCTAAAGATTGTGAAAGATAATATATATTAAAAGTATATATATTTAAGCAGATACAAATGTCTATTATATTTAATGATACACATGTAAGAAAGACTTGAATTTTGCTTGTTGCGCACATTAAATGCAGCGTCTCACTCCTCTGTCTGCTGTTAGGACAGTGTTGACTGTGCTATGTATAAACTGCTGAGAATATGCAATATGAAACGGATGAATAAAACTTAATACATCAAACACGAGAGGCTGTTCTCTATTTGTTTACACAAGAGAAAAACAGGATAACTTTCAGTGTGGTTCACGAGGAAAAGTCAGGAGTAATCATATAGAGGTGTGAGTATAGAAGGTAAATGCTGCACTGCATTGCGGCTGGAGAGAGGGAGCTGTACTCACCAAAAACAGCCACTGCACCCCTCCTCACATCCCAAAGTCCACGCTCATGTATAAATCAGGAGCAGAGATGTCGGCACGCACAGAGCACACTCAGTCGTCCGCTTATTACTGTTATGCCTTGCTGCAAAACAAAAAGGTCAGCCACAAAGAGTAATTCTAGTTTTTAATGCCTTATTCATCTCAGTGCTTTAATAACCATGATTAATTATACAGCGGCCTGAGAGTCACTTGCAGGCTCAATGCATCAATTCTGTAACAATGCAGTAATTCAGCAGTATGTTAGCTATTCATAGAGCTCTCCAGAGAATGTTTTGCTAAATTTTAAAGTCTTAACCAATGAGTGCAATGGAGGGTCAGTAAACGTAGACACTCTCCTATAATCTGTTTATACAGAGGAGTTACCAGTCAATTGGTGCACCTGAAAACCTTCTTGATCACTGACATTGAAACGCTCTCTCTGCTGGCACATCATCAGTGTTCCCTTCAAAAGCAATCTCATCAAATAAGATGGATGGCCTTGTTTATATGAGATCAGAGGCAATAAAAAGAAAAACAGACCTTGGAAGTTTGTTTTTTTTCTTCTCATGCCAATGCATCTCAATATTACTTTGAAATCAGGACTGTCATTTATATTGAACGACATGTTGGTTCTCTATTCAACTTTATTCTAACAAAAGCCTTAATCTATTTTGTTGTACTTCTGTTATTTGTGCTTTTCCATTTTGATTTACTTTGCCCTTGAAGTTTAAGAGGTACAGGCCCAATCTCACATCGTTTTTTCTTTTTGAAAACATTTTTTTTTTCCTGGAAAATGTAGTTTTTACTTTGTCGAATCCTCATGATTGCAGCTTCAATATTACCTAAAACGTTATCCATAAAGCTTTTATGTTTGGATTACGCTTTCTTGCTAGCGTTTGCACTCAGTTTTGCAAGACAACAAGATTGCCACTTTTCCAACACCGTTAACTGAATGTTACTGAAGAGGATTTTTTTTCAAGTTACTGGCGTCAAGATCCTAAACAATAACCCGTTTTCCTTCTCTCGCAGCATCCCGGATGATAAATGAAAGGTCAAAGGATAAACAATACACAAAATAATGATACCCCTTGAACACAATTATCTGGGGAAATGACTCAGCTCTGTGGCACCGAACCACAGCAGCATTCTAATCAGGTAGTGCAGATGGCTTCTATAAATAGAGCGGCACAGAGAGAGGTAAGAGTGGAGAGAGAGGGAAAGAGGGAAAACAAAGCATGGATGCAACAGCTTTGAATAAATCAGATACGCTCATTCAAGAAAATAATTGAGTTCTTTTATTTCCAAAGTGGGATGAAGACTTAAAAAGAGATTCTTTGTGGTTCAAAGAGACACAAAGGTAAACTTCAGGGAGTTCAAGGAGTATATTACAAGTTTAGCGGTGACTGAAGAAGCCCTGAGGATGGTTGTACTTGAATGGCTTCAGACGGTTTGGGCCCCTGAGGAAGAGAGAAAGAGAGGAAAAGCGATGTCAGACAAACAGTACATCTATTTAGGCATTTAAGAAAGGTGTTTGACCACATCTTCAGACAGAGCCCGGGAAGTGCCTCTTGTCACGGTGTACCTGACAGTGCGCAAACACATTTTTTCTCGGGGGAATTCTCTTGGTCCCTCCACGCCATCGTCTTGTCCTTCGGTCTCCAAATAAACATCCAAGCAGACGCACAGACGTGAAATCTGATTGGTCAGGAGCTGGTGTCCTGGCCGTGGTCCCTGCAACTCATTTTTGAACACGTTGACTTCGCTCTCCATGGCCTGAAAAACAACAACAACACACAAACAGATGATTCACTTAAGAGCCTGATAATGATGCCAAAGGAGCTTGCACAGTTGAGGGATTAGTGATCAATAATAAAATGTATTTGTACTCTGAGGTTGTCGTCAGTGCGTCCACTGCGCTCTCCCTTCCAGATGAGAGAGAGGGAGAAGAGGGGAGAGATTTCAGGGTAACGGGGACTCAGCACCAGAGCGGCCTGGAGGCGAGCTAAGGAAGTAAAAAAATCACCCTTAGTTATTAAGAGAAAGATAAAAGTCCAAAATCGGTCAATTCTAAAATCAAAAATAACATTTACCTGTGCCCCTCTCCACCACAGCCATAAAGTAGAGATCAGTCTCCTTTGCAAGCCCTGCTTCAGTCACATGACGTGTGTACGGCAAATGCTGTCAAAAGGAAAAAAAGGTAAATATCTTTGAAATGTGCAATTTTAACACATCTTTTAAGAGCAGGTGATTTAAACTGTGTTCAGATGTGTTTACCATGTACTCTTCGTAAGCGATGGTGTTCCAGCGAGCTAAACGAGAGATGATCTTGGCAGGGAAGAGGTGCTGACACTCACTGGAGACAGGGATCATGCTGTGCTCTGAAAACACACACACACACACGAACACAATACCTCTTAGACAAGCTTTCTTCAGTCCTCTACAGGAGTACTGAATGTGTGGTCGTTTAGATTTTACATACCTAACGACGCAAACTGTTTCTGCAACGCCAAGCGTGACTGGACCCGGCCCCTCAGCAGCTTCATGGTGCTCTCCATTATGCTGGCGCTCAGCGAGCTGCCCACGCGTACACTCTGACGAATCAAAATCATGAACTAGCATCATACGGCTGTACGACAAATTAACTCGGCTTAACTGGGATCATTTTTGACTTTAATACGCACCTCTGAAGTATCATTTGGAAAATGAAGTCCACCCAGACTCTGCACCCACTTGTAGGGGTGGCCAAGCTCCTCCAAATAATCACCAAAGCTAACAATACTGAAAGAAAATCAAGCGTTAAATCAGCTGAGATTGATCACGTACAGTCAAATTATTTCCAACTGAATCATGTGACACACTCACCCAACTTTATCAAACTGGTAGCGGTTTGCTGGGTTTGGTGTTTCTCGTCCGTGGTCACTGGTGTAGAGGCAACTGAGCAGAGTTTCTGACTTCAGCAGATCCCTGCAAAAGAGGATATTATTAGACTTCTCTGCTGGGAACACAGAGAGAGAGGGAGACAAATGCTTTGATCAATGCGTACCCGGCGCTGATGGCTGTGCTGAGATCTGAAGAGGTGGAGACTTTGGTCTTTACAGTCATGATGTTCAGATTCATCAGGTAGTAGAAGAAGAGGTGGAGGACACTGCCATCTGTGGGGACATGATAGATAGCACACAGTGACGGACTAATCCTTATCTGCTTAAGTCTACACCCCTCGGCCCCTCTCTTTTCATTAATCCTTCCTGTTAACAGCCCCCAGAGTTTACTTTACTCTGTCTGCAACATATCTGAGGGCAATAACACAGTCTGGTCACATTAGTAGAGAGCAGCACCCAGGGGACACATACTATGCTGATGGTCATCTTTCACACTCCACTGTCTGCAGTCATCATGAACTCAGAGACACACTGTCACTCACAGACACCTGGGCTACTCAGCTTTTGCTTTTGCTGCAGTAAACGGATTGCCTCAGGGAAATGAACTGGAAATAAGAGCAAGAGATGAGAAAACGCGCTCTGTTTCTGATAGCTGCTGCAGACCTACATTGCTGCAAACACTCCCCTCACCTTTCCCCCCCTCCTCCCTCTTTAGGAAGAGTCACGCCTGCAATGCAGATCTCCTTTTAGTCAGTCACTATTCCTTTTGTTGCCAGTAGAGGGAACAAGAGGGTCAAGTGGTGTCATGACATGACAGAGCGGGTCACTCATTCTTTTCACACCTATCTGATCGGTTCAGAGTTCCATCAATAGACAGAGCAGCTATGGTTACATGACGGGAAATGCGATGTGTCTGCCTCCTTTGAACAAAAAAAGCCTTTAGATGCATAAATAATGTATATCATTAAGAATGTAGAGCGAGTTACCTTTACACTTGAGATCCAAGCAGAGAGACAGAGGATGTCTCTTCAACATTTCTCGTCTTTTATCATCCAACTGGCCTCCTGTAGTCGGCCTTCTCCTCTTCTGTTAGACAGCAAAAAAAGAGGAAACAAGAAACAAAAAGAATGTTTGATATCGTGACATATCTAATACTTTAAAAAATAATCATAATTTGCTTGCTGGCTGGAGAAATATGATAGACATGTTGTCACATTTTAGCTACAGATAAAAAGGAGGGGAAAGCAGGTCGAAGAAGATAGTTTGTGATGAACTGTGTACACAAATAGTAAAAGGTTTTACAAAACAGTTGATAGAAATCCAGTCATGTTTGGTGCTGCTGAGTGAGCATGCCGGATGAGGTCTCAGGTTACTGTCACCTCGCCATTCTAGGGGAAAATTTCCCAGAGTCCTCCAGCTGGCACTCATCTGGATGCAGGAAGCAATCGATAGCTGCTGCTTTCAACCCGTCAGACCAAAATGTGTGACAGCTAGAGCTCCAGGGATTTAGTTTGTGTTTCTGCAGCACAGGCGGGTATGTCAAGAAACTGCTGAACCCTGTGGCCTGAGGGTATAAGTGTGCGTGTGTGTGTGCATGAGAGAGATTGTGTAGGGCACAGTCAGGTCAGAGACTCACAGTTTTCTCTTGCTCCTCCTCTGCATCTGAATCACTCTCATCATCTGGATAAAAACACAATTTTAAAGATGATTTTTTTGAAGGGGCATTTCTCCAAATGATCACATCTTGAAATAAACAACAGAAAAGTAAACAGTACAGCATTGTAAAGTGAAATACTGTGTGCATGTGCTGTATTGTGTGTTTGTACCCTGAGAATCCTCTGGAGGTTTGGACAGAGCCTTCGCCTCATCAACATCCCCACTGATTGAAACACCCAGGTTCTTGTCTGTTAGGGAACAAAAGGAAATCATTCACACATGGTAACAAGTGTTTCATTCATAAATCTCAATTTGTCATGAAATATTACTTTTTTTTGTTACTTACCACATGCCTGGCCATAAGCATTAGCCTGAACAAAAAGCACATAAAGAGGTGGAGGCAGGTGACGGGCGACTTCTGTCTGCTTCTGAGTTTGTTCAAAGGGCATGGAGAGATACTGCTGCACCGGCAGAGAGGCCTAAGAAAGAGGACAAAGCATCCTTTAGTACATTTTCATTCAGGATGCATATCTATCCTGAATGATTCAAACATTTACCTCAAAGAAGCCGAACAAGAAATGGGACTCTTAACCCTCACAATAAGGCACCCAGATGGCTATTTTACCTGCATGATGGCATTGAGTCCTGGCTGCAAGCTTGTCAGATGTTCTTTCTTCTCCTCAATGCTCTTCTGGATCTTCTCCTTTGTGGCCTGGGACTCCTTGTACTTCTCTGCCAACCTGTATGCAAACATAAATTCTCACATGTATTCTTCTTCGAAAAAAGTGAATCCATTGAGGCTGTTTTGTGAACACAGCTTGATAAACTTGCACTGTGCTGTGTCTAAGTCTGCATACCTCTTCCTCTGTTCGAGCTCCCAGTCAAGCTGTGCCAGCGTGAGTTGATGGGGATCACTTTTGGTGAGGTGAGGCCTGGAAATGTTTTGTGGTGCCTCCTGGTAAAACTCCTCCTCAGACACCAAGTCTATTTCCTCATGCTTAGATCTACACCAGAGAAAAATTGTGTCAGTCTTTTGTTTTGAAATGCCCTTTGACAATGAGGTAAGTACTTGTCACTTAATGAAATTTATATCTTTAAATGTTCCTCTGACAAAAAGAAATTACATATTGTATAAAGCTTTTATGTTTCTAACATGATTATAAATCATTTTTGGAATATATTTCTGATGGCTAATCGTTTTAAACGAACTCAAGTGTGTTCAAAACAGAGTTTTATCTAAAAGAATCATTTTGGACTTACTTGAACTCCAGACACTTGCTGATTTCTTTCTGAAGATGCATAACTTCATACAGCAGGTTCTGTAACTGAAGATGCAACACATCCACTCTCTGCTTTGCCTGATAGGAGAAAAAAAAACTCTGCTTTAGACTTGTTTTCAAACACACACCCCTGCAATAAACAAAAGCAAAACAATATGGATGCTGAGAGTCAGATGCTGAGACAGCAGGGCAGTGGTCAAGGTAGTGGACTGAGGCATGCTGATCCCAGACCTTGTGCCAGACCATAATGGTGATTAGGGAATAGAACCAGAAGGACAAGTTTCCAGATTTACCAGAGGATCTATGTTCCAACCCTCGTCTAGTTTCCTCTGTAATGTGGCTGGTCTCAGCTAGGACATCCAGAGGGAGCACAGAGTAGAGCCACTATTTCTTTACATAACAAAGATTTAGCTGAGGTGGTCCAGGCATATAAAAATGCCCCCTGAACGCCTCTCTGCAGATTTGTACATAGGTGGATGTAGGGATCATATATCCCATCCCATCTGGCCAGGGAAGCCTTAGAATCTTACAGGAGGAGCTGGGAAACATTGCTGGGGAGAGAAGGTCTGAGTTGACTTGCTAAGGTTGCTGCTCCTGTGACATGATCCATATAAGTGGGAGAAAATAGATGGATGGATGAAAACAGATCGGGGGTGTGCTAGCTGTCTGTGCTGACAGAGGCAGCAGCAGCTGTTCAGTGTTAAAAAAAAACTCAGTTCAACTTGCCTTTTCTGATCAGCGAAAAAAGGAGCTCAGGCAGCACTTCTTCAGCAAAGGAACGGACTGCAAACTAAACCTATGCTGGTGTTTGCATCTATCACAATGTTGGACAACACTTGAGAACTTTGTTGGAGTTACCTCATGCGTCTGGTCTCTGCCTCTCTTTAGCCGCATGTGAGCCAGGCGGTTGAGTTTCTTCAGGTTCATAAAGTGGATGCAGCTCTGCATACGTCTCTGCTCGACCTCGGCACTCTGAAAAACAAAGACATTGTTAGAATTTATCATTCAAGTGAAGCCAATAATAAAGTCTGTCTGTACCATAGACTGCATATACTATGGACAACTTGGTTCGGCCTTCCGCCAGTATACGGATTTGAAGCCAAAAAGCTCTCGGTATTTCCACGATTTTTCCTTCATTTCCTGAAACCTTGACCACTTGCACAGTAGCATTTTATGCATTCGGAAGGAGAGTCCCTATGATGATGCTCGGCTCAAACAGCGTATCCCTCGGGTGAGCTACACAAACTTTGTACGCCCATAGGCTGTATCAAGTGTCAGTCATAGAAAACATGAACCCCCTGATAACTTTTAAAAATGGAGCTTCACAGAAAAAAGAGGACTGGAGCACAAACCAGTCTTACAGTAACTACATGTCAACATCGCAAGCAGGGGGGAGAAAAATGTATATTCTGTGTAATAAATTACTAAAGTTTGCCCACAGCTCCATAAGCTTTGCTAGAGGAGGCAGGATTTATGACCTATACTGCAGCCCATCGCCAGGGTGTTTTGTTCTTAGAGTGGCTTCACCCAGCAAGGAGGCAGACACTGTCCATTCTATATACAGTCTATGGTTTGTACTAAAATGTAAATTGTGTTAGATTTACCTGCGCATGACAATGAAACTGTATATACAAAGTTTCTACAGTGGGGGAATATACTTATACTCAACTGAGTTCAGATAGTTTGTGGTTTGTCTAAAGCATCTAGAAATCGCTAACATAAATTATAACAGAGTAAAAGTAGACACATATCTAAATAGTATGCTTCTTACCCCCTCCTTGGCTCCACTGGCTTTAAGTTCCTGGATTTCACTCATAAGTGTAGCCAAACTCTCACAGGACTCTTTGTACTGTAGATAATCCTGCTCAGGGTCCCTGCTGTCCAGCTCCACCTCCTCGCTGTAGACCCGCACATCCTGGAAGTATCAAAAATGATCAATTTACAGTATACCAATTCACATTATGAACACTCTGTGGTCTACTGCAACCAAAAACAACATCTCTAACATTAACTCTACTTCTACTTTTCTACGTTTTCAGGTGATAATTACTCTTCACATGAATTTTTGAGGTTGTAGTGACGGTTGGTGATGTATAGCAAGGCTTTATAATCAAGATGTTCAATAATGAAACAGACTCCAGTTCACCACCATCATGACTTCATTCACATAATGAATAGAAGTACAATAATCATCTGTCTGTACATGTCAATAAAAACTAAATATTTTTAAGTTTAAGTCATAGCACCCTGTCGCCTCTCTAGACAGTACAGCATTGACCCTCCTCGTCCCTCTCACGAACCAGTCCCTCCTCTGGCTGCCCTCTTACCTGCTGGTCCCCCTCTCCACGACCCCGCTTCATCTCAGGGGTTCCTCCTTCACTGCGGAGAACCTTTGACTTCCGCTTCTTTAAGGCGTCTGACGACATAACTGGCTGTTGAAATATTGTGAAAATGTGTAAAGGAGAAAATAACAATAAATTAAGCTAAACGGACACTGTACCATCGATGATTCCTATTCACTGTTAGCAATGTAGCAAAAGCTAACAAGCTAATGACTAACAGCCGTTAGCTTACCCAACAAAATAAGACAGGTTATCACTCATAAGTACTATATAACTGATTCATTATGTGTTCTATGATGTAAAGATAAATAATAACTTACCACTGTGTCGCCAAATCTCGAATAAAGGTTTATTTTGTGTCCAAATAAATATGTACAGGCTACTTTGTTTCAACGGAGTGCGCTGCGCTCAAGAGTAACGGAAGCCGCGCTGTACCAAAATGCTCAGACCGGATAGCCTGAAGAGGATCCCTCCGTCACACCGCCCCCTACAGTAAGATGCAGGTCAACACCTGTGTGATAAATCAAGACGACTCAACACACAGTGAAAAGAAAATCAAAAGAATTACTTCCGTCTGCATGGTCAGATTGTCCATAACGTGCAGAATGATTCAGTTAATAACATACTGAAGGGAAAATGCAAGTGCCAAGGACAACTCTTACTATTAAATCATTAGATACTTTTATATTACAATGTAGGCTGTTACAATATCACTTAGCAAGGGGGAAAAGAAACATCATTAGAGCAAAAAATACGTCAGACACAGGGGATAAAGGCAGTGCACAGAAGTGAGGGACAGGCTGTAAAATGTGAGTAAATATCAAAAGTTTAAGACCACCATTATGTCTACAATGCGATTTCAGGAGAGGAAATATGCCCCAAAGAGAAAAACTGATTTACTTCTAATTTTTTAAATTGGGATGTTCATGGCCCAAACACTCCTTGCAGATTATAGTCCTTGTAGCAGATCCCTGGTTTGATTTCCAGCCACAACCCTCCACTTTATATCTTCCCCAACTCTCTGCATTTCCTTTCTCTCTTCATCTGTTTTACCAAATTAAGACAAAAATACCCAAAATATGACTTAAAAAAAATTAATGCAGACAATGTAGACCACATACATTCAAAATAGTTTTATTCACAGTTCAATGAAGAGACTTATTAAATGTACAAAGACACATGACAAGGATCAACCAACTTCAGTGACTTAAAAAGCAATCGCTTCCTTTTTTATTCACTTTCACACTCGACTTTCAAAGGAAGCTACCCTCTCACTTAGCCATGTCTATCAGACTCTGTAAAGATGTGGGCACCCAAGTCTTCTCCCCTTGTACAAACACAACCCCTCTGTCAATGTAGATGACAATGCGACCAAACGTATACAGCGGTTTGCCCTCGTGGCGTTTGGCCACCAAAGGCATAAAGACGATGTTGTTCTCCTCTGCCTTGGTCTGGATGAGATCTTTAAAGTTTGTCGGCACACCAGCGCTGATGCCTCTGTGGGCGACGCTCTCTGCATCTCTGCGCTCCTGCATGGCTTCATACTGGAAGTCCTTTCGTCTCTCTGTCTGCGTGAGATATGCGATATTCTCCCTCGCACCTGGCTGCATATATCCACCTGTGGGTACAGAAGAATGAGTATTAAGATTTTTTGAGTAAAAGCACCAGATGCTAAATAAACATAACTTTAAAAAGGATCACTGTTGGATTGTTTTTGAGTTTATTCTCTGAGAATGTGAATGATACCAACCCATGCCTGAAGACACTGCTCGGTTCATGATGTCCAAGGCCTCGTTGAATTTCTCTTTGATGAGCGGCTGTGCCAACAAGACATCACTAAACATACTTTTCCAGCCCAAGAACCATTTAGTGAGTTCTTCATAGTTAGGACTGTTGCTCAACCATGAACACAGCACCTAAAATTAACAAATAACAAAAAGTCACACAAAGACATGACATGAAAATGAAATACTGAACATATCAACAGTTGTGTAACGTTTGTAGCTTTTTTTGTGTGTATGTGTGTAAGTCTGATTTCTGACCTGCAGCCACTTTGAGAAGAAGTTCTTATCCAGAAGGGATACAAGGCTGGAGGGGGACAGCATGCCCTCCCAGTCCATCACCCAGTTAAATGGCTCCATCTGCTGCTGGTGAGGGTTGATAACCAGTTCTTCCAGACATAGAGCTGAGGAGGGAGAGAAGAGCAACCACATGAAAAAAGGGGCGAACAAAGAGATACCGCTACAGGGTAATGGACTTTTAGCAATTGCCAGGCACACTAGTGAAGACATACCCAATTTAGGAATGATGTTTTTCACCATGAAAGCCTCCCATGCCCCGGGTGTAAAAACATCTTTCCATGGCTGCAGGATGAGGCGTGCTGAGGCGTCACTAGGATGCCACCTCTGCAGGGCGTTGGACAGCTTGCTTCTGATTGGTGGATAAAGTGGCTCTAGACGTGATTGAAGCAGAGGCAACCAAGGATGGATCCAAGAGTGGATGGGCACTGTGTCAGTTAAAGGGTTCCAGTTATCCACCTGAAAAAATGTAAACAAAAAGGCATAAGAGAAATTACATACATGAAATATGACCAAAACCAGGAGGATTTGTGTAAATTCAATCACATCCTTGATTGCAGACAGTGTATTTATATCTTGCCTCTCGCTGTAGCCGAGGTAAAACCAGCTGCTCCAACACGTGATCCAGGATCCACAAAGGTAGAAGAGGAGCCCACATTTCTACACAGTCCACCATCGGTCCTACAATACGAGGCTGCCAGCTAGACACACAGGACCGCATCACTGGGATCCAAACTTCCCACAACAATCTGGACCAAGAAACACAGACCAGAAACATTAAAAATACGCCTATTCACCAAACCGGCAGAGCATATGACTGAGCATGTTTGCATGTTTATACTGACCTGTGGTATGGGTCCATGTTTGAATCTGGGGCACTGGAATGAAGGTCTCTAGATTCCAGTATTGCTCTCCACTGACCGATATCCTCCAGACAATAAGTGCTGTCCTGAAATTATAATGGAAATGTCTGAGATATGAACGCTAAATTTTTAATAATATAAGAAAATGTTAAAATCAAAAGAAAGTAATCGCTATAGCATACCTTCAGAGGATCCCAGGAGCGGAGCTTCTCTTTGAGTAAAGGCTGAACAACCGCCACAGCAAGGTCTGCCAATCCCATCATTTTATATTCTTCGTAATAGTCTGTTTGTAAGGTCTCGAAGATGCGTGCACACTCCTGGAAAAAGAAAAGAACACTGAAACAATTACCCACTGTATATGGATGTGATAACAAAGCAAAGACAACAAACAGCCAAACAGATAATTGGCTCATTGTTTTAACAGTGTGTACACCTGCAGTGTGGGTCCCTCTCCTGGCGCCATCTCTCCAGAAGGAAAACGCTCCACCATAGCGAGAACAGCCTCCATTCTTTGGATCGCATCTTGTTCTACATCAAGTCTGCTCTGCAGTGCTCGAGACTCATGGCTCAGTGACACAACGACATCTTTCTCATGCTGCAGACGTCTGGCAGACTTCAGGAGCAGGTGATGCAACAGCAAAAGAAGAAGAAGAAGCAGGTTAGTAGGTGATCGAGGACAAAGTAGCAGAGCAGCTCATAAAAAACTTTCTTCATCTTGTCAAGCAACATATTTTTGGTTCCTTCATACCTGTAATATGTCCTGCTCTGTGAGGTCGATCAGAAGCTGCAGGTTATGTTCCAGTTCAGGAAGAGCAAAGCCAGTTCCCTTTTGATCCTGAGTGGACATACTTGGTGGACCTTCATCTGGGACACTATGCTTGTTGGACATCTGGCTGTAACTGTAGTATACTTTTTGCTCTCTTCCTGTCATATCTATCACCTGAGGATTAAAGTTAATCTGTTTAAAATATGTTTTGGATGAGATAAAAAACAGCCAGTCATACTTTTATGTCATCATGGATCCCCCACAGAGGATTTCATTTAATTATTACAACACTGTAGCTGAATATAAAAAGTGTAATGATTAAAGACAGAGTACCCTGATGACATTCCCATGAGACACGGACAAAGAAAAGAAGCACACGTTTTCTCAGGCATACCTTAACCTGTGCCAACTCCCCAGCTGATGCTGCCGAGCTGCGTCCCGCCAGCTTGCCTTTAGCCTTCAACTCATCCACAGTTCTGTAGGAGTACTTTGGTTTCTTCTTTCCTCCAGGGCCTGCAGGATCCTTACGCCACTGACCCAGCTCCTTCTGAAACTCCTGAACAAACAGAAGAGTAGAATAATGTATAAACAATCAATGTAATGATTAAACAAACAGAAAAAAAATTACAAATTACATGGCTGCACCCTACCTTTTCCTCCTCTTCCTCTGAGTCGACAACAGGGAAATCCTGGAGACTCTGCTTGGTGCGCTCGTTGCCATAAGCTCCCACTGCTCCCTTACCTTTACGAACTTTTGCCTCGATGGGGTTGATAATACCTGCAGCATTAGAGGGTGCAAAATCAGAGCATTATTCCAAATTATGTTGTAAGTTTACATAGTTTGAGTATTCCACATGTTATTACTAATGTCAGAAATGCAGCTTCATCTCTCAAACCCACCTTGAGCATTCTTGCCCAGGCCTTTGCCTGGTTGGTAACCCATTTTTTGCAACAATTTCTGTCCAATTCCTTTTGTGTGTTTCTCCCAGCTACCAATGCCTTTACCAGACTGTATGCCAGCTGCAAACCTCTGGGACTGATTCCCCCTGAAATTACTCTAGAAAATAAATATATAAAAGTTGAAAAACACATTCAAATGATACACTGACACAGATTTAAGAAACTTAAAGATCAGGTAGACAAATTTCACCATCTGGAGTTTTTTGGGTGCTGTGCTTCGAGGAGGGGGAGGTGCTGAAGGAGCGTCATCATCAGAATCATCGGAGTCTTTTTGCTGTTGCTCTTTCTCCTCAGCAGCAGTCTTGCGCAGACCAGCACTCACAAAGTTCACAGGAGCACTGTAGTCTTTAGATCTAAAAAAAAAAAACAATAATAATTGTTTTATAAACAATCATATAACAACAGCAGTTTCTGTTTCAGGTTATCATTAAAATGACAAAGATGGGGTCTGTTCCCCTTTGTAAATTTTGATCCTAGAAAACATTGTGATGAGATGAAGCAGAGATTAAGACTTTGTTTTCATGAATTACATCGAGACCATATATGAGCTGCAACCATGTTGGATGATACAAGGGAATTTTAGGAGCACCAAAAACAGAACAAATGCTTTACTTCTTTCCACCAAAGCTGGGCCTCTCATCTTCATCCGAGTCCCTGTCCGCCCAGATACCATAGGTAGCCTGGTCCTTGGTCTGTCTGTGTCTGCGGCGGTCTGGATTGAACTCATTGGCCAGATCCCACTCTGTCACCTCAAAACTCTCAATCTCCACTCCTTCCTCTTCCTCCTCCTCCCCTCTCCGCCCGTACAGATGGGACATGGACATCTCTGGATGATAACCAAAACACATGACAGTTAAGAGGGACATATTTAGGGTACGGTGAAGACCGTAAACGATGAAATGCAACCGTCTCCATGACAACCGGGCAAAATCTGGCAAACTAGTTAGTGTAGTAAAATTAAGGTTTTTAATTCAACATCGTATCACAGCGTCAAGTAAATACATCGACAAGTAAATATCCTATATCTGATTTATTACACTATGTTGAAAGCTTTCCCTTCGTGTGTAACCAGATGAGAAGCTAGCAAGCATTCACGATCAAAAGCGCAAGTTATTTAACGTAATTTCTTGGCATGTTGGAAAAGGATAACATCAGTAAGTTTATTATTTAAAATTACCTGTACCGCTTTAACAGCTTCACGCAGTTTCAGATAAACATTTAACCATTCACCTCCTATAGCCGCGGCGACATGTACCAAAATCAGCTAGCGAGCTAATACGTTTTTCACGCGACGTCACAACTAGTTCCGGTTCTCGTCGCTACAACCATAGACATAAATAAGAAAGGCTAGACGACTTAAGGCGGAGTCACCGGCGTCCCAACAGGGCGGCCATCTTACTCCAGTATACCATTATGGTACGCGCCATGGTAGCTGATGAGAGGTGAGTAATCTGCATGATCAAAAATAGTCGTTACTCACTAAAATCTTGACAGATTTACAAATGGTTTGGTTTATTACAGACCTTAATAACGTGGCTATGAGTCAGGATGCTTGGACATATTGGAATGGCAGCTTTTCTTTAAGAAAAAAAAAAAGACTCAAACATGAAGCACAGTTGTTTCACAGCCATTTGCGCGCAAGGGCTGACTTTGGAGTCGCTTTGCGCGAGTTGTCAAGGCAGACCACATCCAGATTTTAATTTTTTGTTTGACAGCCTGTTTTATTTTATATTATTTATTGATTGATTTAGACTAAGTGACAGTGTTTGTGTATGTGTACGTGTTTATCAGCTGTCTAACTTGGCTAACAGACTCGCTGAGAGTGAGACCACATATTAAAAAGTTACAAACATTATTTAAGTTGCACATGATTTCCAAGCTGTTTTGTTTGTTAAACGCATCTAAAATGGCAACATGAGGCAGAAATTTATGTTGAAAATAAATATAAATATATATAAATATTTTTTTAATTGCTATATGTTATTATAGTTATCCCTATAATAGATATATTACTAATATAACCTACATGTAATGATTAAATGTTTTATATCTAAGTGATGTAATATAACTGCCTTGTGTGTGTAGACCTATAGCTATTTTTCTAGCTATCTACTTAATGTTTATTTATGAAAAGCCATGGTTAAAATTATTGTTGAGTATGCAGTAACATAACTAAAACTCTGAGGTTTGTTATGAACCAAACCGTCCAAAAATCAGTTTAACATTTAGCAATCTATGGTTATTTAATTGCTACATGCACTGTTGACTGTAGCGTTATGAGTGAGCGAGCTTCCCGTAGCAAAATGGCCGCCATGCGCGGACGTCGGTCTCCATTGGCTAACAGCGTGTGTCAGCCATCTAGCGTTTCTCTAAATATATCTATGGCTGCTACAACTGCCCGTGTATTGGTACTCTGAGATGTGTCTTCCCTGACATGACTGATTTAACATATCTATAACCACACAACAACAAAACAACCGGTACTGTTTGAATTTAGTCAAAATACCTTGTAAAATAGACTCTTTCTCAACAATAATACGAGTTCACATGTAACCGGAAGTAAATTTTTGTGTTACAGTCAAAGAAGTCCGTCCCACTGCCTTTCGCGAAACCGATTCATCTCTCAAGTTAACTTTCTGTCTATTTGTGATGTTTGGTTTTCTGTTATCTGGTCACTGGTAAAGTAGTACAGATGTCGGGAACTGTGGATGAGTGGAAGGTAGCTCGCCGACGAAAAGGCGCCGCGCGGAAATCCAAACTAGTTCAGGTGTCATCCGGTTCAACCTGCTGTCAAGAGGAGAAGATTAACATTGATAAAACTGTCAAGAGGATCCGAGAGATAGTGTAAGGAGCTCACTGACAGTTAAATAAATCTAATTCTGTTGATTTAAACATCATTTGTTTAGTAACTGTGGTAATCATCTCCATTTAGGTCTGAGATAAGGTGCGAGGAAGTTTTGAAGGACTGGAGAGGTGAGGAGCACCGTGGACAACAAACTTTTTATTTAGTCGTGAAATCATCTTGAAGCTCTGTGACCTTTTCAAGTTTCGTGTTTTCAGAGCAGCTCTCAGTGGTAAGATCAGAAGTCCTCTTAAGGCCAGAGAACAAGGACTCAGAGGAACCTACCGTGCTGCTGGAGACGAGCAGAGATGTCAGATCAGGTCAGAGGTTGGAGTGTGTGTGTTACGGCCTTGGCACATTTTCTTCCTCTGTGTCAGCACGCTACCAGCTGGCCATGTTACTGCTGCTGCTAGAATCTGAACAGGTAAAAGACATGTTTGTCTAATTAGATCTTAGTCTACATGAGACTCTGTTTCTTGTAAAACTGCATTTTTAATTAATTTAAATTTTTGCTCACTCTATTAGATTCCCCTAAAGGATTGCTCTGTGTATGACCCTGCATTCTCCCATGGGGAGAAGGATGTTTTGAGGGAGCTGGGCTTGACTGTGCTCACAGAGAATGAGGTAAGGTAATGACACAGGTTTTATTTGGATATATGCATGCAACATTTTCAGCAGGTACGCAGTTAAAAGAAAGTACTTTGTCTTTGGAACTTTAATCTTCTTTACTCTGAGATGTCTGCATAAAAATAAACTTATCTTTAGAAAAAAAATGTTATCTTAAGACTAGAAAAACTTGTCCCATAGTCAGATTGGAGACATCTCCTGACTGATTAAAGGGATATTCCGGCATAAAATTAATTTAGGGTCAAACACACAGTATTAAGACACCCCCTTGAGAGATGAATGTTGCCGACCGCTTGCTTTTCTAGTTATACCAACTTTAGTAATGACCGCAGGACAGCAGTCTGAGGAGCCATAAACAAACCTCAATCAAAACGCCACTCTATAGCCACAAATAATGCTCAGAACAGCACCTAACTTCATCAACAGTACATATAGGGTCCCAGCCATAGTACTAGCCACCAAACATTTTTTCACTTTACCTAATTTCTTTAGCAAAGAGACTAAACACAACTCACCTGCTCTCTTCCAGCAGCCGCTTGTTTGTAGCAAGACTTCAGGCCAGTCCATTACAGACTACAGCGGGGTGACACAGTACTATGGCTGGGACCCTATATGTACTGTTGATGAAGTTAGGTGATGTTCTGAGCATAATTCGTGGCTATAGAGTGGCGTTTTGGTTGAGGTTTGTTTGTGGCTCCTCAAACCACTGTGTATTGCTATCGTGCGGTCGTTACTAAAGTTGGTATAACTAGAGAAGTAAGTGATCGGCAATATTCATCTCTCGAGGGGATGTCTTACTGGGTGTTACAGCGTGTTTGACCCTAATTTTACTTTACGCCAGAATATCCATTTAAATTCATTTGCAACCATGACTTGGCATTTCAGAGAGGCTTAGTGAAGAAGATTTTTTTTACCGTCACTCTGTGAAAAAACATTAACTTTGTATCTCTCTCATCTGAGATGAGCAGGAGGGGAAGCATTTGACGACCAAGCCCACACTCTTTTACCTGATGCACTGTGGGAAAGCTCTTTATAACAACCTTCTGTGGAAGAACTGGAGCAAGGAACATCTTCCTCTTATAACAATAATTGGAAACAGCTTCAGTGGCATGATGGACAGGTGGGTAGGAGACGTCCACTTTAGAGAAAAGGTAACAGAAATTGGAAGTTAGATGACATCCTCTGTCTGTCTTCCCACCAGGACGATCGAGAGAGAGTTCAAGCGTGACTACGGATACATTACTCAGGCTGTGTCTGTGTGTGAAGAGAGACAGCTACCTTGTCCATCCCGTCTGACCGACGTCTTCAGTGACACAGCTGTCATCACATTTCCAAATAGTGGGCTAGTCAGACTCCCACAATCTACCTGGATGGTACCACCAGAGCCACAGTATCAACACTGCCCAGATTTGGAGATAATCCAGAAAGATGCACAGAGCTGAGACTGGAGAAGCACAAAAAAATGACAAAGTTTTTCATTGTTGTCATCATGAATACAAACAGTTTTAAAATATCCTGCTTCAAATTGAAGACTGGAACTCATCATCCTCAATGACTAATGTGGCAGAGTGTCACAAAGCCTGTTAAGTAGGGGAGAAATCGCTGTTGGACATTTAAACACCTTACTTTTTACTAACATCAAAAGGCTGGATTTCACAACTTGATGTTATATAGAGGTTTGTTATATGGCTCCACTGTGTGGCGCTGTTACGCATAAACCAAGATATACTATATACTCTTAATTTACCCAGACAAACCTATTAAGGATGCAAAGCATGGCAGTTTATCCTCTTAAGTTGTTTTCAGAGGTGAGGATACATATTGTTTTATGGAGTTCATCTATTTATGACTTTGTTAAAATCAACCTGCAGAGGCTTGAAATTCTTAAGTGTCACAAGTAAAGCATAGCAAGCAACAAGCCCTCACAATTATGATTTTATGTCTGATGAAGCTGCAAAAAAAGCACAAACTTCATATTGTGAGAACCCCAAAAATACATCTTTTTCATTATATCCACATGTACGGTTTAATGTAACATCAATATACATTTCTGAAAAGATATTATCATTTCAGTCTACTACCCCATGAAAATTTGACGAATAAAAATGTACAGTGTATGTATTTTTACATTTATCACAACCTAAGTTTTTACATTTTCTGTATTATGAAAGTGTATCATGAGAAAACTTCCTTTTAAGTTTTGTAATATGATTAATAAAATTATTGTTTCCTTTCATGATAATGGAAGCACTCACAGATCTGGTCCTAATAATTTATCATTCTGACAAGTTTTTTTCTTCCATGTTTAATTTTAGAGCTAATCTTCCACTTTATGTTGTGTAATATGAAAAAAGCAAATAATGTCACTTTCTATTTTACTTTGGTGTAATTGCTCGTTTATGACTGAATCATGTTTCAGTTATTCATGAAAACACACCATCACAGTGTTTTTGAATACATATGTCCTAAGTCTCAGCCAAAAACACAGACACTTGTAAACCAGAGTAAAAAGTTTATTGTTGAAAAAAAAAAACTCATCAGTACAGCCCTCTCCCAGAATCAACAATAACATCTCAGACACCATAATACTCATCATCTGACTGTCATCTCCTGCTTTGCTTCATGATCAATTTATCAAATTACATCTCAGATCCTGGGAGAGTTTTACCTTACAGCAGTGACTTATAAAAACTCGACTACAACACTGATAACTTGTTTGATGTTTTCACTCCTCGGCTGCTCCGTTTGCAGTGACACCATCTGCGACTCCGTTGACTGCCAGCTCTTTTTCTGCTTTTCCGTTGGCCACAGGTGCTTTCGAAACAACATCTGCCCAGGTTCCTTTACTCACTGAGACTGATGGGCTCACTGGGATGTCTTCCGCTCCGTTGATTTCACCAGTTACCTCTTCTGACTTTATCTCATCAGCTGTTGCCTCAGATATTATCTCCCCGTTGGTAGTGCAGCTGTTTTCTCCATTGACTTCTGCTTCTGTAGCCTCGACCTCTGACCCTGTGTTAACCTCTTGGACCTCAGCATCTGGAGAGGCACTGTCACTCTTTTCTTCTGCTTCTCCTACTTCTATTTGCTGCATTTGTTCAGCTTGCTCCTCTGCTTGACCGTTGGATGAAACTACATCAGCGCTCTCTGCTGAAGTCCCCTCCACTCTCTGCTCCTCTTGGCTCTCGCTGGCTGGACTTCCTTTTTCCTCAGCTTTCTCGCCGCTTCCTGTTTCTTGGTCTGGGCTTTTGTCTGCCCAGCTCAGACTCTCCAAAGAGAAGAGCTGCTTTGCCTCTAGATCAAATCCCAGCTCCTTTGCCACGGCTGCCTTAAGCTCCCGGTGTTTCTGCCTGTATTCTTGGTATCTGTCACTGTGAAAAGAGGATTTGAGATTTCTTTTAGTTATTTGCAAATTGATTTGAAATTCTCCTAAACCCAGATTTTACTAGCTCCTTTCATTTGCTTGAAAATACAAACAGTATCTTTGAATAGTAAAATCATGTGGGAAACAATAGGATGGTTGATGGTGTATCCCTAAACTCTAGGGGAACAATATGCATCAGTAAGACCTACAAAATATGCTTAAAAATCTTTACAGAGTCACCTTAACAGCTTTCATGCATGTTTTAGTGTCAACTTCAACAAACTTAAAGCAAAATACAGATATGCACATATACCTTTGTGCAATTTTCCTGATCCCTGTCGCCAGAACCATCTGTTCCAGCACCGTTTCAGATGAGGGAGTAATACACTGTTGAGAAAGCAGAAAGACTAATAAAAACATCTGTTTTTGTGAAGGTTAAATGTTTTTATCACAGACTTAATGACCTCTTGGACAAACCTCCACTGCTTGCTCCGTGCAGTCAGCTCCAGCCTGTCTGAGAGAGCGCTCCACCTTCACCGCCTGCTTGGTTATTGTGGACAGAAACTCTTTGCTGCTGCACGTTTGAGTGTGATCTTCCCCAAACTGAGAAAAAACATAACCATGAGATGGCATCCACTCACTACCAATCCACATACCTCTTTTTATCAAAAGCGTATATACTGACCAAGGAGGTGAAAGCAGCGAGAGCCTCTTTTTCATGCGTCATGGCACTTCTGTAGTCTCCTTTACTGCACATCCTCTGAGCCAGCAGGTGCTGACTGCAAAAGCAGGGAGTAGGAACAAAAAGGTTAGGGTGTTGGAGAAATGGGGACAAACTGGTTCATAGAAAGTCATCCAAAAACAAACACGAGTCAAAGTCCCTCACCTGAGAGCTGTGTGAAAGTTTGTGGGGCCGAAGAAGGAAGTGTTGAGCCTGAGGGCATTGTTTAGGAACTGTCCAGACTGATCCCCAGTCAGCACCAAACCAAGACAGCTCTGCAGCAAAGTAATGACAAAAAAGCATTTTACATAATTGAAATATTTTGTTTAATTTTTCTTTCTTGGTGTTTAAGTGTTGTGACCTACATCCAGTGTTGCGGTGTATGGGTGGTCCTCTCCAAAGACTGTCAGCATCATCAGACGAGCTCTGAGGAGACACTTTTGGGCCAGGGTGGTCTCCCCGCCAGCAAACATGTACACAGCCAAGAGGGCCTAGGTGTAAGATTTAAATTATAATAGTTACAATTTACGCACATGACCCAAAATACACGAGTGCACACAGTTCAAATCTCCACAGCCAGCGAGGCTTTTGATGGCACTAAACAATTCACTCCCAGTTGAATGAGAATCAGAATGTGCAGATTTACTCACATATTGCTGGATTGTGTTTGGATGGTCAAACCCAAGAACTCTCTCACTGATGACCACTGCTGTCAGCTGGAGGCTGCGAGCCTTGAAAGCAGAGAAAGTCAAGTCAGCGTAACCTGCTGTGTATCTCAGGGATCGGTATTGTAACCCAAGTTTTTATTTTACTTCCCACTGAGCGATAAACAGCTATTAGACGTCTAGTTTTTTCTTTTAGACCTAATTTCAAGTCTAGATTCTGTATATTTTTAGACGGAATTAAGACGTTGCACTTTAACCCATTATTCGATAACTATTTATTTCAAAAGGCAACTGTGAGTTGCATAACTAATCACCAAGTACTTAACAAAAATAATTTTGATAGCTGTTGAACAATATACAGTGTAGTATAGATATAGCTCAGATTTAGACTTGTTCTAAACTTGGTCTAAATTAACACGTCTAAAAACCTTTCATCTTTAGACCTGTGGTAGCCTGATTTCAGACCAGTTGTCTAGGCTACATTTAGACATTTATTAGACCACTTTTAGACCAAAAAAAAAGCTCAGTGGGTAAGTAAACTGAAATTTGGTACAGATATGGAGAAAAAAAATATTTTGTTGTGGAGGAACATTGAAAGAATGAAAGAAAACAAGATACTGAGATGATTAATATGAAAGTATCTGTGTGCTATGCTCTATAAAATAAAAAGTGTTTCATGCACAAGTTCTGTAGGAAAGTTGTTTAATAGGTGTAACAAAGTAAAAAAAAAAATCTTCATTTGTACTTAAAATGCACTGTACTCATTTAACAAGCATAGAAACACAGAACACTAGAAGTAATCCAATCTAGACTCCCATACTAAATGAAAGGAAAAGCCATGTCCTTGCTGCAAAAAAATCTATATAAACTTATGAATCAGGCAGCCTACCTCTGCTGGCTTCCCCTGCAGGTAGGTCACTTTGGCAAGCATGCTGTGGCAGTGACAGGCTTCAGGGTGCAGGTTATCACACACTCTGCCAAACAGGTACACAGCTTCTTTTAGGTGCCCATGTGCCTGATCCAGGTGACCTGCAGTTAATCACAGACTAGTTAGACCGACTGTTCAAACCTCACATATAACATTTTAAATAACAGATTGGGTTTTCACCAACCTTTCTGGATGGAGGTCAGGGCTGCACGATGTGCTGCTGAAGCATCCACAGTTTGCATTTGAACGTGCTTGACAACAGGGAAGATGTTGAGAATGTCATCTGGACCGATGGGAGCTTTGCTTTGGTTGTCCAGGAAATAGTCTCTCAGCCGTAACTAGTGTAGACAAAGAAATACACTTTCTGTTGTTCTGCTGTATCTCAAGGTATTTATCTCATGTGATATTGAAATAAAACCAGTTAAAATCAAAACATGACGAGTGAATTTGTGTTTCAGTTTAACTTCTTTGGAGATTTTGGACACAATAAAATCATATTTCTGATGTCTGTTACCTGCACTCCAGTCTTCAGACAGAATTCTCGAAGCAAGGAGATCTTCTGAAGGCCGTAGTGTTCCACCAGGTGGTTTGGACCAGAGCTAAAAAAAAAAAATAAACAATTTAAATTTTGACCAATAAATAAACATACACAGAAAGTTTATTGACACAGCTTTCACTGTTTCACGCAAGGGCACTGCAACTTGGAGGCCAGAGCATTATCTCCAGACTTGTTGTAACATTGAAACCAGTTAGAGTATAAATATTGTGTACTAGGTTTTGAGGAGGAAATAGCTGTACTTCTCTTTGACACTAAAACAAGATACAACAAAGACCCTGTGGCTTAAACCAAACTAACGCCATGAACAAACACACTCCGTCCTCACCCCAGGACATCAGCAATGCTGTATGTTTCATTAGCGTCCTGGCAGACCAGGTTCCACAACTCGGCCCCGGTGAGCGTGCTCCAGGGTGTAGTCTCAGACGCCCCAGCCCCTCGGCCACGCCGCCTCGACTTCTTTTTGGTCTCTTCTCCCACAGGTGAAGGCGTGAAGTGGGGAACCAATAGGCAGCAGAGGAAGTGACTGACAGCTGCAGAGAGGCTCGGCATGTCCACACCCTGCAGAGACATAACCAGAGGCTGAAGCTCATTCTTTCTAGAGTAGACACCTGCTGTTTTTTTTTTTTTTAAAAAGTGAAAATTACCTGGAGGAAATTGCTGAACACTCTTTTCGTTGAGCGGATGAACATTTCACCTACAACCAATCTCTGGTTGAGACAGAATGAGGAATGTTAGAAAGCATAAACTGGAGAGTAATTACATAATCTGGACCATTTTCAGTTCAACCGAGTAACAAATCAAACACACCAGTATATGCCTGAGGCGCTCTTTGTGTTCAGACTGGCTGATGGCCTTGATCACATGACCCAGGTAACGCAGGTTGATGCCTCTCTGGTGGAGTGCTTGTTTAAGGGAAGCTCCATCCATTGGTGCCTCGTTGCTTTGTAGGCAATACTCGACCTGCATAAACATCCACACACAGACATGCGTTAGCTGAGCTCGTTCCATGTTTGCAGTAGGTCATGTGTTTGTTATAGTATGTAAACAGTGGATCCTCTTACAAACACTGGTATCTGGTGTGTGATGATGACAACAGCAGCTTCCCTCAGTAACCTCTCCTGCAGCTTTGTTGACTCACTTTCAGAAGCAGGGAAGTTAACCCCTAAAAAAAACAAAACATATGAACGCCTGTCATACTGAGGTCTTGAAAATACGTTACTGTATGTATATGCGTGTATGTGTTTGTGTTTGTGTAGTTTCTCATGGTACCTGGAGAGAAGACATTTGGGTTGAGCCGCATCTCAAAAATGATGTCGCTGACAGAGCCTACTTTTTTACAAGCAGCTCGTACTGCCTGAGTGGATCGAGAGTCACCTGCAAGAAAAAACACATTTGTTAAACACTGTATATTTGACAATGACTCCAAGACCTTTAATTCAAGTCTTGTGAAAGCTTCTTACGAGCTGTTGCACACTCTTCAAATCCCCCGTTCTCATCCAGTATCTCCTTGACATGCTGAGTGAACTGGGAATGTCTAAAAGGAGCAAAACAAAAGCTTAAACTTTCTGAAAACTGAAAAACTTGAATGAAAAATGTTGCATTTCTTGATGAACTCACTTATGCTGGATGAAAGCCTGTACCAGCTCGGGTCTCAGTCTGCAGAGTGCATGAGGAAAACTCTTTGGAAGCCCATAGTCTGAGTGATAATTCTCTGGCCAAACCTCCTTTTCACAACTTTTCTTCTCCTCCGCCTCTTCACAGCTTTTATCGCTCTCCTCCGCTCCATTGACTGTCTGGCTTCCAGTCTCCACCTCAGGACAGAAGTTGGCATCTGCAGGGAAGGTCCTAAACACATCCAGTACGTAGTACCTCCCATCAGCCCCCAGCAGTCCTTGGGCATCCACTGAGGTGAACAACGGTACCTTATGGTTGTTTGGCAACAAAACAACATGTCTCTGGAGGGAAAGAGACTTTGAGGCGTAAGCCAGTTGCTCTAACAGCCGTCTGCGCTGGAGCGACTCCTGGGCTTGCGAATTTACCCCATACAGCAAACCTCTGTGGGGGATGAGGAGGATAATCAAACAGTGTGATAATGCAAATACTGCTGTTCACTGGTGTGTCATTTTTCCAGGGGTGTACCTCGCAGCTGGAGTACCCTCCTGGTCCTGCTCTGAACTCTCCAAACCAGGAGCCAGACCCTGAGCAGTCAGACGCACTCCTCTGTAGTCTACAACAGCTGTAGGCAAAGTGTGTAGTCCATGCAGCCTTGAAACGTCACTGTAGGCCTGTACTCCTCTCAGCTCCAGCCTCTGAGCAGCCCTGCATATTGAAAGTGAAATAAACAATCTGTGCCTGACCCGTAACTATTGGACAAAGACGCAGCTCAAGGAAGAACATTTATGATCATTTCTTTATCATTCCCTTGAAGTAAGAGTCATTATATTAATCATTTTGCAGTGTAGACGTGGTAGTTCTTCTGCCTTAGCGTCTCGGTCTGAGGTTGAGGTTTCTTTATGGCTCCTCAGACAGCTGTATATTGCTATCCTGCGGTCCTTACTAAAGTTGGTATAACTAGAATAGCAAGCGGTCGGCAACATTCATCTTTCGAAGGGGTGTCTAACTTAGTGTTACAGTGTGTTTGACCCTAAATTAATTTTACGCCGGAATATCCCTTTAACAGCCCAAATTAAAGGAAAATTGCATTACTCCTGTAGGGTTCCTGTTATTAAACTTGCACTTTGCCCTCACCTGCGGCCCTTTTCACCCCCGAACATTGCATTTGCCGCCCCCTGGTTCATGAAGAGACCCCCCCACAGGAAAGCCGGATCCTCCTGGTTTCCATTCACTGGCTCCACAAAGCCGTCGACAACAGTCTCTGCGCCTCGTGTAGCGGCTCTGACAAAAGCACTGTTGACCTGAGGAAACAAGCACAGCAGGTGTGAGGACAACAGAAAGAGAGAGAGAGCAGGTGATGAGAGCCTCCTGTCCAAATGTAGCTGAATTTGACAGAGCTATATCTCAAGATGTTTCACAAAAAGGGCAGGTCTAGACTGTTCTCTTTGTTTTATCATTTACATTATATTCATATATTTTTTTTTCTTGGTTAACCTGAAGTAGGGCTCTGTCTTTGTGCAGCCGCTCCTCAAGACTGTTCACTGGAAGATCTCTGGCTGCCTGCAACTCCTCATTCCAATCTGGAGCCTAAACATAACAAACATAATTACACATCATGTTACAGCCAACAGCACGTCAATCAAACAGAAACAATAAGTTTTATTGTGTCGTGTGAAGTAAATAACCTGTGTGGCCTGCTGATCATCCACTCCAAGCCTGCTGAAGGTGTTTTTGTGAGTGCGGGAGACACAGGGGGGCCCAAGCCAACAAAGTGTGTGGTAAGGAGTGGGCATCACTTCAACTGCAGGTGACTGAAGCCTTGAAGGAGGAAAGAGAACAGTCAGCTATGCATGCACATGAAAACTGTCGAGTTTCTGCTTTCTTAATAGTTGAAAATAAAGGTCAGGGTGTTATCGAGGTGAAGATGTTACCCGTTTTTGCGTGTGGTAAAAGTTTGTTTGAAAGCAGGGCTGATGTGACAGAGAAGGTCAGTGAAACAGTGACAAAGTGGGGCAGACTGTGCAGGACGAGGGTCAAACACTTCTTCAGTAGACCTGAGAATAAACAGTAAAAAGGAAAAGAAGACGATAAAATCAATATTTGTACTCTGTTATTGTACAGAACAAAGCACAATTTAGTCAACATAGAGATTAAATGTTGTTATTTCTTTACCTGTTGAGGAAGAAACCTTTTGGACAGGATGTGATGTCAAACCGCCGTCCCTCCAAGGTTACCACAGTGATGTATAGGAAGTCTCCTTGCAGCTTCCTGTGTCCTGGTGGGGGGTTCCAACTGCTGAGAGATAAGTCCCTAAGGTAGCTGGGGGCCTGGGAGACATTTTCAAAGAAAGATAGTCAGTGTGTAGTCAGTGTCTACATGCAAAACAATAGTGAAGATTCCAGGTATGTGTTTACCTCTATTTGGGAGCTCTGTGGTAGCAGAGCCATGAGAGGTCTTTCTGAGGAACCAGGTAGGAGGTACTCAGGGGGAACTCCATCTTGACTGGGTGTTGTTTCTGTTTTTGTGTTGCTTAAGGAGCGTTTTAGGCTCTTTCCATTGGGTAAGTTCGAGTCTGAAAGAAAAATCACATTCAGGATGAGCGTGACCTTTAATGTTGGATATTTGTCTGAGCGGACAGCATGTGTGCGTACCTGCTGTTTGTGTGTGTGTAAGTGTCTCTAGCACGCTGGGTGAGCGCCCTTCTCTCAGTGCATCCTGAGGTCCTGATACTCTCAGCAGGTCCAGCACACGAGCCAGATGGAGGCGGGCTGAGCGGTAGGTGTAAGGTTCTGGTGAGACACAGCATGATCATAAAGGTTATACTGACCTCAATGAGACAGCAAATACTCACAACATGGTCCAAACAACCTCAATACAAAGCACCATGACTTTAATATGTTATGGTAATATTGTTATTACCTATTATTATTGACAGCACACTGAGTATTAGTCAATGCTGCCGTATATTCTTGAGATACAGCACTAATAGGGTAAATAATGCACACAATAAAAGATGGCCTGCAGGATACTTTGCTTTAGTGCTTCATCATCTTGCAGGTGAGAAACTGACTAATTAGTTGGCACTCAGTTGTAATCTCTGAGAATATAAACCCTGTCAGAAAAGGCGAGTCAGCTATTTACATTGAGCTGAGAGAAACTTAGATGTGTGTGAAAGGGAAAGCGAGTAAGTAAGTGACAAGTATGAAAATATCACTGGCAGGATGAGTTTTTACTACAGGAGCTGAGAAAAACCTTCATAGAAAATTGTTTTTGGAAATGATTTGTTTCAGTATTTCGTGAAAACAAGCGTAGCTAATTTTGAAATGAAGAGATAATAAACCTGTTACCACATCATAACAAAGGGCCGAAACATTGAATTATTCCAATGTTTCCCGGGAGATCAGGGGTAGAGATAGACGGGCTGATTACTGATTCTTGGCATCGTATCAGCATTGACCCTCACATGACTGATTTGACCATCATCTTCCCAAATAAAAAAACATTTTTTTTGTTATCCCATTCCAGTGGCAGCATATCAAATCGAAAACAGCTGCTGACTTATATAAACTCTGTTGTGATGTCTAGAATAATGCAATTTGATAATAATATAAATGTTTATCTTGTGATTTCTATTCTTTCTCAGTAATTTCGGATAGCTGGGCAGAGATCCAAAAGTCCCATGTGGCAATGTTTAACTTTCTACGTTTATTTGATAAAATACTCACTTGACTTGAGCAATTTTGTTTCTCAAATTTTGGTATTGTTATGGCAAATAACCAATTATGGGGAAACCACAACCGGTATCCGCATCCACATTTTGAAAAACTGATATCGACTAATCCACTTATCAGGAGTGTGACACCAGCATGCAAAGACGTGTCTAGACAACTGTTGCAACTTCTGATTGATTCTGGAGGTTACTCTTTTGTTTTCTCGAGATGACAATATATCTATATATGTTTTTACCACATGTTAGAAAATAAATTTCTGAGATAACTGTAAAAAAATTCAAGCAGCGTAACATAACAAGCTGTTGCTAAAAAACAGTAAGTACTGCAAAATATGGTTACAGCAGTGTCAACAAACATACCAGTGAAACTAAAGAGGTCCCAGTTAATTCATTAGACATGTATAAAAGAGACATAGAAAGTCATGAATCAAATAAAATAAACTAAACTATTTTGACTATTTAGATGTAAATGTGATCATAGACAGAATATTCTTAACACAGGGGCCTGGAGAGATTAAAAGAAAACGACTCATACCTTCTACCAGGCGAAGAATGGTTCCTGGTTTGAGCCCTTTCAGGCTCTGCATCTCTGCGAGGGGGTCCAGAGTTGTTCCAGCGAGTGTGAGTGACAGGTTGGAACGTGGACACACCTCATCCCTCGAAAGCATAGTCATTAGTGCATCTTGCACAAGCCAGAATCCATGGACCTACAGATATGCACGGTTTAACACAACGGTACCACTAAAGTGTTGAATGTTAACGTACAAAATACAGTTCATGAAGTTGTTTTTTTCTTGGAGAACAGAAACTACAATTCACGCTGAACACTCTAGAAGACATAAAACATAACAGGTTGTACATCAAGAATTAGAAATGGAAGAAAACAGAAGTTGATGATCATATGAGTAAAATTGCCCTCCTTTTCTCAGGTGTGCGCTGTAACAGTCACGTTTCAGTACCTGCAGCTCAAAAACCTCCACTCCTGCTCCCTGGATCTTCACAGAGAACAATGAGTCGTCTTCCTGCTTAATACCAGCAACCTCTTTTCCATCAGCCAGGCCAATTACGTCTGTTTGGAAGAGATATCAAAGAAACGAAACAAAGTTAGGATAATTACAAAGCTTTGCAGGAGAACGGCAGACAGTTCAGTCCTTTCCTGCCCTCTGCTCATTATGTCCTGGGAATTCTTCCAGCTCACTCTAACGCTGAAAAGACTTGCACTGTTGTATGAATCACTGGATAAAAGAATGAATGAATGAATGAATCACAGTTGTGACTCTGTGTGTTAAGATTCCATCACGTATTGTTCTATGAAATTATCATGAGCTTGACTGAAGCGTCAGTGTTTGCGTGTTTGTGTGTGTTATTGCCTGAGGGTGGGAGTGAGAGTGAATTTCTACAAGAAAATGTCACAGACAGGGAAAGTTGGGGTGTGTCTTCCTTTCACACACACACACTCACACACACGTACAAGCAGAACCAAAGTGAGTGAGAGCAGGACCCAGCGTGTTCCTCAACCTGCAGTGTGACTAAACCTGTTGAATTTGCCTACTGGCCTTCATGTCATCTCAGGGTGAAGGGACAACCACACCCAGCACTGGCATGTGCAGACAGCATAACGATAAACGCATAAACTAACAAACCTTTAGTGAGGCAACAGAGCCTTGCTGCATGCATGGACACACTTTCAATTTATTCAACACTTTTAACACATAGACAGCAAAGCAGAGAATTCACTTTGCACTCGTGTCCTAATTCTATAGTTCATTGTGCAGTGATTCCCCAGTTCTTGCTGTCAATCTGGGACTACTTTACCACTGGAAAGCACCCAAAAATAGCTTCTGTTTTCAATTGGTTGGATGAAGGTTCCTCCTCTCTGTAGCCTTGGAGGCATCAGCTCCCTCTGTATTGACGCTGCTTTACTACAAAGACATCAACATTGTTTCAGTCCTGACAAGTTTATCTTGGCACTGATTTGGCAGGATTCCTTCTCTGTATATCAAATAGGACAAAGACAACTCTCAACTAACGCTTCAGAGCTCGTCAAACTGACAAAACCTGCAGATCACAAAGCTACACCCATAGATGCACATCTTTTGGGGGGCTGTGTAACCACTGCAGGGCAAGCACGAACTCTACCTTTATTCAATCATTCAGTCACATTTAAGGGGAGTGGCAAAGGTTGAAAGAGGTTGAGAGGCCCTCTTGGGAGCAGAGAAACAAATTTTGAGTTGTTTTCTTGTTTTAGTTTTCAGTGGAAAAGTTAGACAGGGATTTTATATTTTGAATGAAAAGTCTTGAAAACTCACTCTGGAGAATCTTTATTCCTGAATGATCTTAACTATAAATCGTGTTCATTCAGGTATTTTTTCATTTAAAAGTGTAGATTAATCCCTAACACAAGTTAAAAGTGTAGAGCAGTCTTCCCAAGTGATCAAAAACTTTCGTAAAGCAGCAAACAGCACCAGCCATGTTCAGAGCAGCAAAGCTGTGCTAAATCTCCCACCCTCCTCACATTCTCTGGTGAGGGAGGCACTGCGCATAAAAAGAAGGAAGAAGAAAGTCCAGAAGGGAGACACACAGAGAGGAGAAGAAATAACACATAGCAGGGATTTCTCACCAGCCTTGGCCTGATTTCTTCCTCCTCCCTTCCTCACTTTGTCCTTCATGGCTGTGTGGTGAAGTTTTCTCTCCAGCTGTCCTCCTCTGTTTTTCACTTCTTTGTGCTGGTAGTCCCCTCAGAGTCTGGCGTCAAAATGTTGTAAGACTGCACCAGAGAGGGAGTGTGAGGAAATGTGCAGCTGGATTGTTTCAGAGCCCAGCAGAGTGAAAGTAAAAACGACTCTCTGTTCAGGACTGTGACTGCTGCCCCTCTTTACAAGGAAAACTCTGCTTATCTGTTCTCCCTGACTTCAAAAGCCACACCCTCTTATTGCTCCACACGGGCTTATTACTCTGCATGTCTCTCACACTTTGTTGGACTGGGTGTGTCTATGCATTTTAGCTCCACCAACTCTTCCTCCTGTAGCAGGATTCACTCCTCCCTCCCCTCCCTCCCTCCCTCCCTGAACAAGCCCTGGAGGAGAGGTGGGAATTACTCGCTGCTTTTAACATAAAGTATTACAGGTTATATATAATGTTAATTTTGTGACATTGTTTGTACATGTTATAAAGAAAACAGAAGTGGTTGTAAGCAACTTATAAAACCACACTTACTTTACTGATCTTAAAATTAAGGAAGTTCTCGGTCAACTGTGGTGTTTACTCATGATAATGACAGCAGTTTACTAGAAATACAACACTGATGAGACAGTTCACCTGCCACAAATGGGTGTGTCTAACTTGTGATGTGGTCGATCATTCATTTTTAAGGTGCCTACACCTACTACATGAACATTTTACTCATACCATGGTGCATATTTCAGGTCAAAGCCAGCATTAAGGCCTCTGGGTTTGGCTGTGCAGGTGCCTCTATCAGCACTGCTTGGGTGTGAGGACATGTTAGTTAGTTTCATCTAAGATCTGCAGTTTGTTAGGACACACTGCAGCTACCTCTAGCAGAAAGACAGGAATATCAAGGACGCACCAATAGCATAGTCACCAAATTATCCCTGTAGTTGTTGGGTGAGAATTGAGTAGATCAATGAGATATAACATCAACAACTCCCGAAAATTTGTATCATACCGTTTGGGGGGGAAGTAATTTCTTCTCAAAACTGTTTTTTAGGAAAAATATATAAATTATCTGATAATATAATAATAATAACTTCATCTTTATAGCAGTTTTAAAAACAGAAGTTTACAAAGTGCTTTGACAAACATTTGCAAAGCACAGAACATCAGCACATGAAAATAAAAACAAATAAAAACAAAAGCTCAGTTAAAAATAAGGCCTCCGAACTGAAGGCCAATTTCATTTTTCATAAGAAACCCAAGGCAATACAAGAACCCTACAACATAAAATGAGACCATGAGGACCAAAATAAAAACATAAAATAGGTAAGAAGGAGAAATGAAATAGAAAAGGGGGGCAGAAAGCAGGAAACAGAATAGTAAATATAAAAGAGGATATTGATAATGATAATAAAATAATAATGATGGTAATATTAATGATAAAATGGAATGATAAAAATGAGCAGGAAAAAGAATAAAATCAATAAAGGACCTAAAGGTAAAATAAGAAGATTATAAGTAAAACAAAGGCTAAAAGGATAGTTAAGTCGAAATAAGATAGAGGTAAAAGATATAAGAGATATAAAAGATGGCATCACATAAAAGCAAGTCTGGAAAAGTGAGTTTTTAAATTCGATTTAAAAGAAGCTACTGTCTCTGGTCCAAATCTAGTCCAAATATGTATATATTTTTTTCGTTTAAAGACTTTCTGTTGCTTAAAACTTGAAATAAAACTGTTTTTGTAACGTTATTATGGTTAAAGGGGTGGTGTCCTTGTGATGTTTCATGATGCCTTCAAGTGCTCCTCGTACATTTTAATTTTACATATAACGTTTCCGTTTTCCTACGCAACGACATATTTCCGGGGACTTTTTTCTGACTTTTGAAACAACAGAACGAATTAACTTTATACTTTGACAGAATTTCAGGGTTTTGAATTTGTTTTGACTTTATACTTTTATTGAAAATATCTTCTCTGCTTTAACCTCGTTGTCGACTCTCTTCTTAAACTTGTTATTCATGAGAACGTCTACATATGATTTAGTTGTTGACTTTTCTTTAAATTTATTAACTAAAAAGACCGCAGGGTAGTTTTTGGTAAATGTTACATTCTTAAAGGGAATATCTCCGAGGACACGGTAACTAGGCAGCGTTTGACAGGAGGTTGCCCTTTGCTAACGTAGCTAGCAAGCTCGAGCTAAACAACGGACACACGGACTCAGCACCGACTGTACACGATGTGAAATTGTGGGTGAGTCGAAGATAACGACTGTCTGTTTCGTTTTTCCTCTCAAGTCCAATGTGTAAACAGGATGTGAAAACGGAGACATTGACCCTTCACTCCCTTTAAGCCGTCATAACTCAGCTGTTAGCACAGACTCGAACTTACCTCAACAGCAGTCTGTTTGTGCATTTCTACAGACACCACTGACGCTACAGACCAGAGTTTGCTTTAGCGTGTTTTGGTTGAGATAGGGAGGTGCATTACTAGGTAGGTAGGTGACTTTGCTAATATGATGTGTGACTCTTTACATTTACAATAACGTTAAACTTTACTGAGCAGCAGGTAAAGGGACAGCTGGCCTTAAACCTCCAGATCTGGGATTACAGCTTGTTATCTGTCCACCACGCTGCTCTCATACACGCCCACAACGATTCAACAAAGAGGTACAGGGGACTGAGCTTGTTGTATGACATCTGATTATCTGATTTTTGCTTCTCTCCATGCAGCTGTGCGGTTACAGGGTCCGTGTTGTTGTGACCTTCCACGCCCCCCTCCCCTCAGGTCAGAGCTGAGGGTTGGGGTCAGGTCCTGGACTAATGTCACGCAGTCCTGGTGAAGAGGGGGGTCTATCTGAGGCTGCCCCAAACGTCAGAAACCAAGACCTGTTTGACAATCCTTCACAGAGCTCAGCCACAGGGGGAGAAACTGTGGAACAGGTTAGGGGCATGTGTGATTTTGTTGTTACTGGTCTGACTGTGTTGGTTTTTAAGTAGCACTACCCTTTATGATCACCAGATTGCAGATAGGACTGAATGAAACTAGAGTCGGTTTGCTGTAAAGTTAAAGTAGGTGGTAACACAAATTGGTATGAAGCAATTTTTAACCAAACATTATCAATCAGTCAATTAATCAAGTCTTTATTTATATAGCACTTTTCATACATAACGTGTAACACAAAGTGCTTTACACAGAAAAAGGAATAAAAGAAACAAAGAATAATCAAATCTACCCCAGCCCAACCCCTCATTCCCACCCCACGCTCTTAATGCAACAAAAACAGTATTGAAATGCATGAACTTAAAAAAGGCTTGATTTCATGGAAAGAAGAATATGCGCACTGAGAAAACGTCATTATAAAACTCAAGATAAGGAAACATTGGAGGTTTATGTTAAAATCTAAAAACAAAGAAACAAAGAGTGAAATTTAAGAAATAGTAAATAAAATGAAATAAAAACAACAGTAAAAGATACTAAAATAAGAGCAGCAAAATAGCTCAATAAAGGACGATCCTGTCATTAAAACTAGAATAGATAAATGCTAAAACACTTAAACAGAGTTATGATATAAAATTTAGTTGAAAACAAGACTATAAAGGTACGTTTTTAGTTTGCTTTTAAAATCACTAAGATTATTATTATACCCTCTACTGCTTCAAAAATCTCTTAAAAACATTATCTGCATTTTTTGTTGTTGTTATTTATAATAACTCTTAAATGTGGTACTATGGTTATGGGTTTTCTATGTTAAAATTGATCTTTCAGCTTATTATAGATTCAAATTGAGCTTGTGTACTGTATGTTTTGTTTTTGGTATTGGTGTCAACTGTTAAATTCATCTTTTATTTACTTTGGATATTTTGTGTGGTTTTATTGTTAGTGTTGAATTTAACTTGAAGATTGTGTTGTCAAACTCAGATTAAGAACAGCTTCTGCTATGCTTTAAAACAAACAACAATAGACTTAAATACAACACTGTACATTTCCACACATATTGGCATTTAAGAAATTCAAAATGTCCATGTGACCTCTGAGTTATCATTTTTAGTGTTCAGTCCCCATAAAGGGACATAAAGTCCTTGATATTTCTCATCGGTCAGCGTTTGATTGAAATAGAGTTTCAACATGTCATCTTCAATGAAGTTTATTTTCAGTCTTTGACCAGGCTGATCTGTGATTAGGAAAACTCTAAAGGTTTTAAGCAACTGGATAAAGTTGGACTGAAGTAAACTGATCCTGTATAACAAATCATGACTCATTGCACAGTTTCAAGGCTGTGTCAGTATTAAGAAACGACATCACATTAGTTCTATTGTAGCTGAAATTCTAGGTTCACTTTCAACATATTACTTTAAAAACTCAGTCGAAGACCATATTAATCTATTTGCTATCTGGTAAATCTCATGAACTGTAAAATAAGCTCTAAGTTTGTACTCTCGTACCCTCAGGCATTCAGAGATAGCTGCTGCATTCTTCTACAACACTGAATGACAGGGGGCATAGTTGACAGTGTGGGCTTTGGGAGAGGGCATAATGAAAGTCACATACTGTCCCTCTTCAGGGTATACACATATGTCTTCAATTTATGACACTGCAAGAGTCATGAAGAGACAATAAAACCAGCATGTTCTTGGCAGCTAGAGTCGCTGTGTGCCCACCTGTCAGCTGTAAAGTAAAGCATGCATGGACCTGAATGTAATATTGTGAATCATTTCCTAAAGATTTGTTAAATTTTGGGTGACATGACTTTCATCCTGATAAAGGATCAGACGTAATGGAAAAATGTATATCAACTGAATGCGCATTGTACTGCAAATGACATGGCAACTGGATATGATGTTGGTGTGATCATGAATGTAAAATGGTTGTTTACAAGCTGAATGTAAGTGAACCATTGAAAGACAAGCTGAACGTTCAGTCGAGACAGACAAGAGACAGCTTGTGGAGGACAAAAGAATACAACAGGGCTTTGTGTCTCTGGCCACAAGGAGGCCTGATTCTTTCCAGTCACAGTCACAGTCACCTCTCCTTTGTCAGGTACTTCGTAAAACCCATTATGCAGGCACAGACTTAGCTCAGACTTCTATATTTACTTTCTTTTTTAAAATGTTTGGTTCAACAGCAGATTAGTCTCGGAAAACAGTTGTGCAAGTGTGGCGAGCAGGACTTTGAGTTTATCTTATCTGAGCAGTGCTGACATGAAGAAGAAATATTGATCATATTGCTGTCATCATACTATTTACCAGGTGTCTCCGGTTGTGGATGAGACCTCTCCTTGCTCCACTTCCTCTTTTGAGATGCTGGACATGGATCCGGTCCCCGCTCCTTACCAAGAAGTGCAGCCACACTGGTTCTTCTGTCGACGGGCTGAGGATAGCACCTCCTGGCTCCCTTTTAGCAAAGAGGACTCTGACAAATTAGAGGATGCTTTCAACACGGGTAAGTATACCGCATGTTTCTAAGAGCCTAAGTCATGTTCGCACTTTGGAAGCATCATTATGATTGAAAGTAGGAATCTGTTATGTAGGAATGACATTTTGTGTTTAAGCAGATGGGTATGTGCTGCTCTCTTACTTGTAAATACCAAATTTCCACTTCCTATTGAAGATAACATACACCCTAAACCAGGATGTTTACATGAAATGATAACTGCTAGGCAACAACATGGTTCTCAGGGTCAGTTATGAAACTTGAAACTGAAGTATTTGACTCCTAATTTATATCTCCATAACAAATGTGTGACTTATCAAGGAGCCTGTCCACTTGCTAGCCTATTGCCTAACCTTAAATTAATGCTATTATTTTAAGCCAGACAAAGATTCTCTGTGTGTGTCCAAGGTTTCAGGTTCATTTATTAATACCTAGAGCTAGGTTTGGTTTACAATGAGTGAGTCAGCTTCATTTGCACATGAACAAACTAACAATATTGAATGAAAACATGACAAACAAAAGTAATAATAGGGTAACTTGTGGTAAAAACAAGATAAAGTAAGCTAATTTTAGAGGTAGAGTACTGTAAAAACAGAGAAGACATAAAGATGTTGTCAATCAATAAAAGCATGGTAAATAAAAGCAAGTTAAAAACATTCCAACAGTAAAAACAAGATAAAACGATCCATAAATAATCAATAGATAGTACAGAAATAGTTTCTACAGCATCAGTGTGGTATCACTGCGGCTTATTGATCTCATGAATGGCTGCTTGGACAAACTTGTCTTTATATCACTTGGTTTTACAGGAAGGTTCTTTAAACCAGAGGGGAGAAGCTGAAACTCACTGTTTTAATGGGTGGGAGTCATTGTGTAAGATGCAGCCAATCTACTCCTCCGTTACTGACAGATGTACAGGGATTCTGGGTTAAGCTGTGACTCTCCAAATAGCCTGCTGGACCATTTCCCAATCTCATTCAGATAGTTCCTGTTTTTTAAAGACGAGTTCCCAAATCAAGACACCAAGCAAAATGATAATACAGATTCGATAAAAGTACAATTAACAAAGTCGTCAAGTTTTTATCAGTGTGAAAGGAAGACAGTTACCACAGGCGTTACAATCACCAGTTTCTTTTTTCACACAAAGCCTCGATTATTGTTGTGAGATTCGTATATGTGTTCTGAGATCTTTATATGTGTGTTTGTACATTAGGGAAAAAGGAAGAGGAGGTGGTGGTAGCTGTGGAAGGAGAGCGCTATGATGTACATGTCAAGGAGAGGAGGCGGCATGCTGTGTATTGGGAGCAGGCTCCCACTGAAGTTCGGCGCTGCACTTGGTTCTATAAAGGAGACAAAGACACCAGGTTCTTACCATATCCTGAGGACTTCAGCCAACGTCTGGAGGTAGGCCAAGACTAAAGCCTTACCGTCATACTGCTTATAAATACATCCTATCATTTCACCCTCGTCCTTGTATTTAATATTTTTCTGTTACTCTCTCCTTATCTGTCGGTCTTTGGTACCTTTCCCATTAATGCCACAACTTTTTAGGATGCCTACATGATTGCAGTGACCTTAGACGAATGGAAGAGAAAACTGGAATTTCCCACTGGAGAGACCGTCATCCTTCACAATCCCAAAGTAAAGCCTCTTCTTAAGAAATCATTATGCAAATGGAAACATATATACACAACAGAGCCACAGAGTGGTGGTGTATGTCCTTTTAACAAGCTTCTTTTCTGTCATTCCTCGGTTCCTGTCGTAGCTGATAATGCAGTATCAGCCGATAGGATTGCAGGATGAGTGGGTGTCCTCCCCCTCGGAGCAGACCCGGCCACGAACAGTAAAGAGGGGGGTGGAAAGCATCTCTGTAGAGATTCCTGATGGTATGTTCCTTTACTGAAAGTAATATTTACATTTACAGGTACAGATGAAATGTTTGGGCTCATATACCTGCATGTGTTCCCAGGTGAACCAGATCAGGTGGACCACCTGGTCTTCATGGTCCATGGCATTGGCCCTGCATGTGACTTGCGCTTCAGATCCATCATACAGTGTGGTAAGTGAGAGTTTTCATGTATAGTTACTACGTAAAATGTTCATAAACAATATATTTTCTTTTTGCCTCTCTAGTAAATGACTTCAGGAGCGCCTCCCTGTCCCTCCTGGCCTCTCATTATAAGCGTGCTCAGCAAGATGGCGTTGTAGGGAGAGTGGAATTCTTACCAGTCAACTGGCACAGTGCTCTACATGGGGATGCCACGGGTGTGGACGAGTGAGTAGGAACAACAGATTGAGTCCAAAATAGAGTTCCCTTGCTGTGCTTTGTTACAAACACTGTCCTCCCTGCATTTGTTTCTCCCTTTTTTTATCACTATCAGGGACATCCAGAGGATTACTCTACCAAGCATCAGCAGGCTGAGACATTTCACCAACGACACTCTGCTGGACCTCTTTTTCTATAACAGCCCCACTTACTGCCAGACCATAGTGGACACAGTGGCCTCAGAGATCAATAAGCTTCACACCCTCTTCAAACAGAGACACCCAGAGTTCAGTGGGGCAGTTTCTGTTGTGGGCCACAGCCTGGGTAGGATATGCACAGACAGAAGAGCATGAAAGTAAAACAAAGTCATTGAAAGGCTAAATTTTAATGCTTTTGTTCTCTAGGTTCCTTGATCCTGTTTGATCTGCTGACCAATCAGAGAACTGAATCAGAAATCAACAAGGGGGTATGGTGGTTTCTTATTAGAAGACAATATATACTTTTCTGTACAGGTAAAAGAGGGAGGACATCCCCCTAAATGTAAATATATTAAGGCCAATTCTCTCTCTGTCCTTCCATGTGCTTCAGATGTCCTCTGATGAGCCCTTCCATCCTAACTGTGTCACACTGGAACAGATTCTCACCAGACTGAACCTCCAGCAGTACCTCAATACACTACAGGCGGAAAACTTAGACCTGGATTCCCTGGTAGCATAAGCGCACACACACACTCTCTCTCACACACACGCACAAATTAAATGCCAGTCAAGTAAAATATGAAGTTAAAATAATTGATTTTCCTCCTGCAGGCCCTTTGCCAAGACAGTGATCTCAAAGATTTAGGGATTCCTCTTGGACCCCGCAAGAAGATCCTGAACTATGTCAAGAGGAAATGGCTTCCAGAGGTCAGACATAACACCTGAAACCTCTTTAATTTGCTGTTTGATCAATCTACAATTAGTAGGGCTGTTTTGTTCTTAGCATTGACATACCTGATTTAATCACTGATATAAAATGTATTTCTAATGCTGGCAGTAAGTTTTCATGAGTGTTCTTAAGTTTAAAAATGGGATGGAGCTATTTCAAGAAAGTGCAACACAGGCTGATTTAATTTGTGATCAGTTTTCTTGTGCTTAGGATCCCTTTAAATGTTTTGAAACATAAGTATTTACAGAGTTTCAGAAGTAATTCACTTATGTTTTAATTCCCCTGATCTCAACAGGATTGCAGGACAGGGGCAGTTCGTTTGGCACCTGGGCTGCAAAATCCACCTCCAGGGCCCAGTGGTCCTGATGGTGACCAGCCTTCAGGAGTGACAGCGCAGCAGTCCCAGTTCCACAGGGCACAGTCCATCACCAGTGCAGTAGACTACGAATACTTTGACATGGGCATTGGACAGGTACTGTGCTTGGACACGCATAAAAACTCTAGCTTGAGAATTCGTGTAGCTAAAAGCTTTGATGCATCACCTTCCTGCTTCTCTCCCCCCTCGCTTGCCTGGACAGACCAATGGAGGCATAGCCAAGGGACAGGTGTGTCTCATATGGTGTCCCCATACTCTCTGGCTTTGTCCTTATCTCAACATACCAGAAGTTTTTCTTAAGAACAGTCCAGGCTGGTCAGGCACCACCTAAAGGGGACTCCTTTTAAGGCGATTATTTTAATGCACATTCCTACATAAGTACCATGGTAGAGACTTCCATCGTATCCCATCAAATCGCACAACCCAGCACCACACTCCTCTGTGCTCATTCAATCCTGCATGAGTGGTCAGCTCCCTCCTGCTGTCATACTCCCTGGCTGTTGCCTCATTTCTTAAAATGTAGTTTTTCATGTTTCTTATTCACCGGAGAAGTCTGATTATCTTTGACGCCCTCAAAAATACGGAGTGTAAAGGCATGACTATTTTTCAATTGAGTGTTCTGTTCCTGCCCTTTTTCTCCACAGGTTTCCATAGATTACCCACAGCTGGCTTTCCAACCTCAGACATTTTTTGCTTTTGGTTCTCCTATTGGGATGTTCCTGACAGTCCGGGGGTTGAAACACATCGATCCCAACTACACCTTCCCCACCTGCAAAAGCTTTTACAACATCTACCACCCAGTGAGTGCTCACATATTAACCACATCTGACATGCCGGCTCACATCTGGCAATCATCCTAAAAAGGGGGTAGCAGAGACTTTCCTTTGCTACAGTCAGAATTTTCTGACTGTAGTCTGTAAATTTGAGGCAATAAAAGGTCAGACATGAATGTTTTAATATAAGTCAATACAGCAAGATTTCTGGCGATCAATAAACATATATACATTAAAAAAAACATAGTCATAAATGTTGAAACAGGTTCCCTACAATAATCTTGACTCCTTCATTGAATGAATAGTACGACCCTGTGGCCTATCGGATAGAGCCCATGATTGTGAGAGATGTGGACCTGGAGCCCATGCTGATCCCTCACCATAAAGGTCGCAAGAGGATGCATCTGGGTACGGCTTGATGTATTATTGTTCAACTTTAACTGTGCGTTTGCTTTTCTTTGATTGGCTTAATGACCTCTTCTTTCTCTGTTTGCTGAATAGAACTCAAAGATAGCTTGACCCGTATGAGCATGGATTTGAAAAACAATGTTTTGGGGTCGCTTCGGACGGCATGGCAGTCCTTCGCCAGATTACCAGTTGCTGCGCTGCCCCCAGTAGAAGAAGGAGAAACTTCAATGGAGAGAGATCTTCAAGAAACACGCGGTAGAAAAAGCACTTTGGTTTACCTTTGTGTATTTGTACTTTGTGTGAAAGTGCAGAAGGGTGTGTATAACCCAGTGTGTTCATACTCCTCTCTTTCTTCTCTGCATGCTGCCACTCTTCCCTTCTTCTTCTTCTCTTTATGTTTTTTGCTCCTGCCTCCTCAAACCCTTACCCTTTTACCTTAAACCTCAGCCTCAGCAGCACTCGCCGCTTCTGCTAAAACGGAAGAGAAAAGTGCTGATTTTTGGACTAAAATACTGGAGTGGCCCAGGGCCCTTCATAAGCATTACTTTCAAGGTAAGCCAGGATAGCCACTCGTTCAGAGTAAGTGAGAAAAAGACAGTGAATTAATTTCTTTCTCATCTCACTAGATCAGAAGCCCTGCGTTTGGGTTTTCTCTGTGAACTTGCCTATCAGTAAAAGCCTATCGGAAGTTATTTAATTCAACCTGTTCATGTAACTTGGAAGATCCAAATTTGAGAAAGAATTATGGTTAGAGGCAAAATTTGATCCATTCTCCTTTTCTAATAAAAAAAAATGGAACTCTATTTCTGTGGCTTACTTTGGCAAGTTTGTGTCCTCACAAAGAGTAAGTGTTATATAATGTCTTACATTATGGCTGCAGGCTTTCACTACTCCTCTGCTCCTCCTCCCCCCCCCACCTGCACTAACCCCTCTGTACATCTGCACTTCAACTAAACATTCAATGAACTGACACTTCCCTCAGGCCCTGCCCACCCCTTGCTGTCTGTCAGTTGTGATTGGCTGATTTTGTTAACCACTTCACTGACTGTCAAGCTTAGAAAAACAAGAGTAACTGCTGTTATGACACTCTCCCAGGTGCTTAACAAACAAGCATAGTAGTGACTGCATTTGTTTTCTTTTAATCAGGATTAGTTTTTTGGACCTCAACCAGCATGTTGTGTCATTTATCAGTAGCAGATCACTTACAGTAGCTGCATGCAAGTACATGTCCTGCCCTGTCCTGTCTGCAGCTTATCTGTTAATTAGATGGATCAAAAGAAATAAAGCTGCTTTGAGGACAGACTGTACGTTTCAATTATAAAAAACATTTCTGTCTTCACTCTCACTACCAGTTTAAGATGAGTCATAACTTTTTAATAACATCCCTGAAAACCCAGATTTGTTGTATCAAGCATAGAGGTGCAAGATCCAACATATGTAGTAGATTATTTACAAGATATTTGCTTTATCACACGGAATATAAATCAGCATGAGGGTGGATTTGTTGGGATAGTTCTTGGAAGTGTATGAGCCTAGAACTTCCTGTGAACAAAATCATGATAAATCAGCAGTTTGACTTGAAATCACAACCAACATTACAGCCACTTACATTCAATTGTTTTTTTTCTCACTATACAAGACAATAACAAAGCATTAATCCCTGTGGAAAAAGTCTGTAAACTTAATGATTGGTTACACACTTGTCTGTTCTCTCCACAGTAACGACTGTGTTTTTTCCCTGTGTGTTAATTCTGTTTTTAATTTACCAAAACAGTTTGTTATGTTTACGACTGTTATTGTTATTTTTGTCATCGTTTACCTGCCTGTACATCTTCATCTTTCTTTACTTACATTCTAGCACCAGTGTGTGAGGAGGCAGAGTCCTCGTTGTCGGCAGAGCAGGCAGAGCAGCCTGAGATCAAAGTGGGGATGTTGAATGGGGGACGAAGGATCGACTTTGTACTTCAGGAAAAACCCATTGAGAGTTTCAATGAGTACCTGTTTGCCATCCAGTCTCATCTGTGTTATTGGTGAGTCATGCATATCTGTAGAGGGGTTGTCCTACAGCACTTAAGTACTTTTGTGTTTTATGTGACTGATACCCTGTCTCTTTAAATTACTTTGCGCATTTGTTTTGCCTCTCCAGTTTTCCTCCAATTAATTAGGTTGTTATATTTTGTTTTTCCACAAGGGAATCTGAGGATACAGCTCTCTTACTGCTGAAGGAAATCTACGACAAACACGGTGTGGTCTTTGAACAGCAACAACAGTAATGAAATGCTTTGACTGTGGACTCGGTTTAAAACATGACAGTGACCTGAAAGTCGTCAAATAAAGGAGAACTGACAGCCCGAGGCTGCACAGTCCTCTTCCAGAATGCCTTATCATACGGGTGTTACTGTTGCTGACTGTCCCGCCCTCCACTCACCTCACAATTGAAACTGTTTGGCTGCAGTCAGGTGATCTTGGTTCAAATATGTCAGTCAACCAGAAAGTTTTGCGATGAAAGTGGCTTCTTGGTTCTGCTCAAACATTGCGTCAGATTTACCCAAACCTCACTGTTATACTTCTTTTGGCACTTTTTTTTTTTTCAGTCATCTTTATTTTACTTTGCACTTTTTGCACAAACTCTTGCTGAAAATTATGCATATAGCTGCCGATCAGTTATGTTAGATTATCATAATCAGGAGGAAAGAAACACTGTAATTGTTTAAAAAGGTATAATGTCGGATAAAGTATAATATTATCATATCAGGTTACATCATGTTAATGGAAATATAACTCAGCCAGCATTTTACAAAAAGAATATATTTAAAAGTACTAGAATAAAACTTCATTAGTATCTTATATTGTATCGAACTTAGTATAAATAAATCTAAAAATATGTATTTAGCAGGACATGCTCATGAAACCTGGTAAACTTTGAACCAAATGAGTTCCTCTGCAGCCTAAAAATAGATTTACCTCAAACAACAAAGTCAGATGGTTTATTAGTTTTACCGTGAAATGTTTACTCTCTCATCAGGGAAATGAAGGATGATGTTCTGTGTTATGAGTCCTCCTGGCAGCTATGTGACATTACTGACAACGTTTAGGCCACTTTAAAGCCAACATGTCTACTCCTACATTTGTGCAATGCATCATAGATGTCATTGTCACCCCATTTTTTTCATTCAACAGGTGTAGTATTTTCCTGTACTGACATAATCATTCGAAGACAAGTTTATATGATACATGCTGCAAGCTATTCTAATGAAGGGTTTTGACACAAATGAAGTAAAGAAATTTCATTACTCATAATGACAAGCTGGTTGTGTGCATGTGTGTATTGCCGTATGTTTGCCAGTACAGTATGTACTCAATGCAGAGTGCTATACAGAACGATAAGTTCAACTTCCTCTCCCTGAGGTCCATGCCACTCCCTTATACCATCTTATTCTCCCTGCTTTTTTTTTCTAAGTTTTGTCAAAATGAATCCTACAGCAACTCCAAACAGCATTTTCTTCTTTATCTTCAGAGATGGTTTATTCCAGAAATGGCTTATCCTATCATGGATAGATTCCCATAAAACAGCTCTACTTTTACACAATGAAAGGGCCAAATAGTTCATGTTTTTTCTTTTGTCCTTTTGCAGGACGTGGTGACTGTTTTTTTTTTTTTTTCTGTATTGCATGCCATTCTTTGCAAAGCTCCTCAACACTTTCTGTCTCAGATCCCATTCATGGCCAAAAATGTCCAGTTTTTATTGAACTAGTGTGTGGAGAGTTGAGGCATTGAAATCATATGAATTTAGTATTGAGCACATGGCCAATGGATTAGTAGGACTTTATGTTTCAAAGCAAATCTGTCTATTTGTATAGAAAATATAAAAAATATCAAAATAATCTTCTAACTCCTAACCGTAATTAATCTTCAGTTTTGTATCAACAACCAGACTATGTGGTTGAGAGACTTTATGCTAGAGTGGTTTCATTTTAGATATGATCAATATGTTATGCACTGTCTGGGCACCTCAGCCATCACTACAGCTTTAAATGACCAATTTCTGAATGATCTGCCTCTCAACCCTCTGGGTAAAACATTCATGCAAGTTTTTTCTCCATCAAGAAATGCACTGAATACTTAGTTGTCATAATAGTGATTCCTTTAACCTCACCACTATCACGTGTTATGACAATTTTTTTTATGTGTCCAAACAGCAACACGTGACTCTATGATCCCTGACTCCACTTCCTCAGCATAATATAAACACACTTTCGCACACGATAATAAAACGTTACCAAATACACAATTGTTATCCTCTCTCATTGAATAACCTATGAGTATGGTTACATGATGTGTGCCATAATAAAACATTATAAACTTGCTTTGTTATTTTGTGAAGTTTTTTTTGTACCCAGTCTCAATGTGAGAACATGTAAATGTCTTCATGATTTTTTAATGTTTGCATAGGACTCCATCTGTGCCAAAGAAAACATATTAAGTTCTATCAAAATGTGCTTGGTTAACCTAAATGCTTCTGCTAAAATACATCAGTGGTTCTCAAATAGGTCACCTTAACCCACAGGTGTCAAACTCAAGGCCCGGGGCCAAATCTGGCCCACAAGATCATATCATATTTGTATTATTATTGGCCCACCAGTAGGAAGTCTGCAGATTTCCTCCAGTTTGATAATGTAAACCTTAGCACCATTATTTAAAATGTCCTCAATAAGCCACGAAAATCTGGGAAATAAAAGAGTAAGGAAGATTTGATAAATAATCAAGAATGTGAGGGGAAAAAATATTTGGTGTTTTACTTCATGTTTTCAATTTTGCATTTCAAGATTATGAGTCAAACATGATTGGATTTTTCATTTCATGCTTTGATTCTGTTCAACTTAGTATTTAGACTTTTGTTTTTATACTTTAGATTCCAATTTTAAAATTTAAGTCATATTTTGACCTTTTATACCTGATTTTGCTCTTTAAAAGCATTTTTCTATTTTTAATATGATGTGATCTTTTGAACCAATAAATAAAAAAATAAAATAATTTTTTCTATCTTAGATTGGCTTTAAACTTTTTTTTTTTTTAATCTTTTTTGAATTTCCAATTTTTTTTTATAATCACTACTGTTTTTGTAAAATATTTTTTTAAAGAAGGTTGACAATTTTGGTAAAATGTTAACTCTGTTTGGCCCTCAGGTTAGACCTAAATCCAGATTACGGCCCTTGCTGTGGTTAAATATGACACCCCTGCCTTAACCGATTCCTATGATCTCGCGAGAACAGGCACAAACGTGAAGACGACACAGCATCACAAAGCGTGATGAAGCAAGTTGAACCGAAGTCTCCTTTCAATGTTTTTACTGTATTTTTCATCGGGATAGTAAGCATTTATTTTTAAAAATGAGCAATAAATGTAAAATTCATGTAGGTTTTCGAAACTGACCGCACAAGCAATCTTGCAAGTTAGTGGAGTACCGTTTACTATAAAGGGTGAGGTGTTATATCGTGTCCCAGTGAACGAAGCTTTAGTCAAAAACGTGTGCGTCTGTGTTGTTGTTGTTGTTTGTGCTCACTTTAAATTTGGCTCATTTGTGACCTTTATATGGAGCCTCATGTGATTCATTTCAGTGGGAGGAAGTTATGCAGCAGACCAAAGCCTCTCATTTGTTCTGAAAGGCGGGCCTGTCCCTGCTGGGCACCATCACCTGACCCACCAAGGGCTCCAGTCGATTTTGATTCTGGCAGCCGAGACTAATAGGATGAGACAGGCTTGAAACTAAAGGTATGGTCTTCTTTTTTATAAGCCTAATACTCTGCTGTGCTGTTGTAACCATCACCATTATTGTTGCTTTTCACATGTTAAGCCTTTTTGTTCAGTCTTCATTTACTGAGATGATGTTGTTTGACTGATTTTTCATGTATGACTATCAGGTTAGTTTCAAAGTAAGGGGTCACAATGCCCCAAATGAAGGATTTGATGTTTGCAAACAAGCCAAAAGTGAATGTGTATGTGTTAATTGTCATGTTAAAAGCTCCAGGAGGCTGCTGGAGTGGCCACAGCAGGTAGCTGGAATGTGGCACAACAAGTGAGTCTGTGTTCATGCCGCCAACTCTCCCTCCATCCCTCCCCCTGGATCTCAGACCCGTCATTCAGCCGACAAACAATAGAAGGATCCCTTTCATACTTCAACAAATCCCTAACTAGATACCTCCCATCACACACTCCTTAGTCTACCCCCCTTCCAACTCCTTGAGCTGAATGATCATTGACCACCTCCCCACACACAGCCTCTACCTCACTATCCTTCCTCTCACAAAGACTATGCACTGGCTGTCAAGTGAGTGTAATCTGCCTCTTGTGTGTGTGAGAGAGAGAGAGAGATTTAAGGGGGTGAGGGAAAGTAGAGCGAGGAGGCGGGGCTGTAAGCCAAGCTATTCATATGTGATCCGTAGTTCTCATGAGCATTTACACTGTACAGTATCAACGGGAACGTGGACAGAGAAAAGACAAGGCGAATAAAAGCAAAGTTGGTGATGACAAGTGGTGTTATCAGGGGCTCCGACACTGAGCCGGAGTGTCGAGAGGAGAGGCAGAGGTGAACCCTGGAAGAAGGACACGGACAGACCGAGCATCTGGGATCAACCTGAGACAAACACAGACTCCGCTGTTGCCATGGGGGGCTCCCTCAGCCAGAGCAGGAAGGGCTCTGTCAGCTCTCCGGGAAAGAAGAGCAGCATGTAAGAAGAGATGCGTTTTGTATTTGTGTCATGTCATCTTGAGCAAATGAGATAGAAGCAGAGTTCCCGTCAAATGGTTGAATGGATGCTCGCTGGTTGAGTATAGCAATCACATTCGCTCCTAAGATTGTGTCATCTTGTGTGTATAAACTCAGTGGTTCTGTATCAGAGAGGAGTAGGAGATGAGGGGTTGAAGGGCAGTTGTTAGACCTTGATGCTTCCTGTAGAGTGGCGAGGACTTTCCCTGCCTATCCGTTTTGAATGCTGTTTTGGTATTCAAATCAAAAGGAAGAGGAGGGAGACGGAGTGATGCCTTTAGTAGAGAGGGTATGTAATAGACATGAGCTGACGGGTCATGCTCTGGTTAACGCCTCCCTTTTATTGGATTGACATTTTAACAGCTGCTTTTGTCACGATAGCAGAGAATAAAATGCTTCTGTGAGCTATGAATTTTGTAGCAGTGACCCTAATTCTAAAATTCGTACAAACCGCACAGGTTATTTCTGTCTCAGCTTCATGTTTCGTTCTTGCAGTGCTTTTGACGCCTTTAAAGTACCGTCTGATCTATGAGGTACAGCTGTTCATCTGGAGCAATCATGTTGTCAGAGAGCGAATGAGACGCTGTTGCTGAGGCAGTCATCAGAGCTGAAAAGCACTTAACCACCAAGCTCCCTCTTTCTTTTCCTCTAATCCTTTGTGACATAGAGTGAGCTCTTTTACTTTGTCCTCCCAGCTGGTCCCAGCGATGCTTTAAATCTCCAATTTTAGAAAGCCTCTGTAAGCCCCTTGTAGCAAAAAAACACTTTCTTCTGTCACATGGCTAGACTCAGCCTCATTCGATCACTCATTTCTTAAATTTCACCATGTTTGCTCACCGATTGAAGTCAACGGAAACTGTATTTGTTCAGATGAGAAGCAGAGCAGCTGTGTAATCAGCAGATGTTTCGGAAATGTTCGGGAGACATCAGAAGTAACAGAAAAGCAGGGATCTGAGAGCTTTCATCATTTCCTCTCAGCATATTGTAGTCTTCATCTGTGTTTGTGTTAAGACCAGTGGGGGTTGGGGTCCTGGGAGAGCTGGGAGGCCAACCAGCATCCTGGGAACCCATGTTCCAGCTTCTGGTTTAATTTTAGTTGGCTTTATCATCTGTTTTATGTTCTAACTGGAGCGGTCTTTAAGGGTTTCTGCTCACAAAACATCCAGATCCTCATTTTGGAAGAGACTGACCTGTATTGAAGCTCATTTTTTAGAGTAGTGGTACAAATCCAGGTCAGGATAGGTACCAAAAGTCCTCATATTTTTAGTGAGACCCACTTCATAAATAAATGACTGGCACAAAATTTTAAAACCTACAATTTAATTATGTATAAGAAACCCCTGCAGACTGGGCGTACCGTGAATTATGCTTGTGTTCATGGCTAGAAATACAACCTAGGTTTGATGTAAAGTGGTCACAGAGTTACTATTTATGTTTGTAAGAAAATGTTTTATGGCTGAATGCCATTTTGAATGAAAAATAAAGTGGATTTATAAGGCATGGGAAGGCAAATGAAAGTGGAACAGTTGGAGGTTTGTTGTGCTCTCCTCTGTGCATGCATGTGTAAATAATGTACATGCACTATTGTCTGGCAATTGTGTGCACTTGTGTGTGTCCTGTAGAAATCAACAATAGCTCTGTTGGTGTCTGAACATGACTCCTCTCGGGTAAAACCCCTTCCCTCTTTCTCTCTTGTTCCCTTTATTCTGTCTCCTATTGTTTTATAATGCCTCTGTCACTTCAGTTATCCTCTTGTACTGTGTCACAGTGAGTACCTCGGCTCCATCTAGTTACTCTGATCATTGCGTGCAAGCTTCCCGCTCTCATTGCAGCTAATTGAGTTCTCGATTAAAGATGCAGAGGTTCATGGCTATGCTTCCCAGAAGTATATTATCCTCCGTGGGTCTGCTGTATTCAAGATAACAGCAGGCATCCCCCTATACCCCTGAGTGTACAGTGTGTGCTTGGTGAAACCTGAGGTACTGTCAGCTCTGTTTAAGGTCCAAAAGGTGACGTCAGACCTGTTATGTATCTCCATGACTGTCTCTCACCCATCCTATCATCCCCCAGGGCTTTTGCTCTGCTCTGCTCTTTTATCCTGGACTTGTGTCACCAGTGCTGCTGTGTTTTTATGTAATATCATTTTATCCTTTTGAAAAGTCTGGTGGAAAGACCAGGTTCAACCACTAGATGGAGCTCTATCATTAAACAAGCTAATATGACCAAGCAATATTTATACTTTACACTGTTTGCACTGGATGCCATCATGTATTATTCATGCACAGAAGACAGACAGACTATTTGTTTATCGTGCCAGCAATGGTGTTTTTTTACGTCCTCCTGTTAACATGACGCATGAAATCTTGATAAACTCTTCAAAGTTACCATGTTCACACAAAGCAAGCCAGCATCACAGCAACAGCTGTAACAACTTAAACTAAACCTCTAACCTTTCATAAGATATTTTAATGCTCTTGACATCAACAACACAACCTTTCTCTTGCTTTAGGAATTCTCTAAAGCAAAGGGCATTACCTGAAGAAGTTTGTTAAGCATAAACACAAAAACCTCAATGACGCAAAAGAAGATACAAAATATAATAATAATACATTTTATTTATAATGCGCTTTACATCTGAGAAAACAGAACTCAAAGTACACACTGTAAAAGGCAATAGTAAAAACATCAAATAGTAATGCTGTCCTCTAAATATTGTAGCCTAGAAGGTGAAAATTTTCATTACTTTAGTATTAACATCAGCATGATTAAAAAAGGATTTTCTGCAGAGTTTCTATTTTATCTATTCTATTCTATCAAAATTCAACACTTCTTGCTGTTAAAGTGAACTCTATAACTAATGAGCATGAGACACATGACCGGGCGCAGTTAACTTATAAATACTGGCACTGACATGTTTCCTGCATTGTAGGTTTGATGACATTTTTGCTGAGTGCATACATTCTTATATCAGTCGTAATGTTTCAAGACAATGCCCTTTTCCGTGAAAATCAACCCAAGTCTTAAATTAGGCTGAGGGAATGAAATCTGAAATTATATCCTGTCATATTTCCTCCTAGCAGTACTGGGCTTAAAGATATAAACATTTCTGTGAGGCTGCTACCAGAGAGGAAGACTGTGAGGACAGAATCTTAACTTTTCTGATTATACATTTTCCTGATGATGGTACAGAACAAAAGTCCTTTTTACTAACAAAACGTTTTGCTGATTATTTGATGTAGCAAGGGGAAAACCTAGTGGATCCTTTCCCACTTCACATTTATCCTCCCAGCCATATGGACATAAAAATACTTGCACTCCACCCAGTAGTAGCTGCAGTGGCATTTTAGTCTGGCCTATCCATCATGAAAGACATGCATACTTCAATATATAATCAAAGAAAATGCCATTTTGAACCCAACCATTTATTTTCAAGATACTTGGTATGTAGAGTAGAGTTTGAGTCAAGGAAGACGTTGGCCTCATGGTGGTGCTGTACTAATTGTCAGTCTAGCTGTTTAACCTTCTCTCATCATGCAGGGGATTGGAAGCAGAGATAAATAGTCTGTGAAAGTTGAGAAGCTTCTCATATTCCCTCTGTCAGCACACACATAGTTATCTCATCCTCTATCGCGTCGGCTCTGTTGTGGCTAACACACATGTTGATCACTGCTGATTTATTATTAGCTCACATGAACCTCATATGCTGCTATCAGTCAAACTGTAATTGATGATTAAGGATGTCCATTGTTGCTAACATGATAAAAAACAGCCGGGTTCATTTTGTGCGTGTATATGGACTCGTCTGTGTGTGCCAAGATGGCAGCTCTCGATCACATGTGGTTGTAGTTAATGTGCGGGTTTGCCACTGTTTCACTGTGTGCTATTTGTGGCTTTAAGGTGTTACATAAGTGCTGATGCTTTCTCCTTTTCTTCCATGTTATTTACATCTCTGCAAAGAAGAAAGTCAGAGATATTCTGTTCTGTTCTCACTGTCTCAGTATTAAAAACATGTTTTTATTATTGCATGGCAAGGCCAAGTCCAGTTTATAAGTTAAAGGTGGAAAGGGGTTAACTGTTCGAGCATCACGGGATGTCCATTGCACTGAGTGTGCTGCATGGTTTCAGGGGTTTGTTAGCTCCGGGCACATCATGTCCTCTACAAGACATACAGGTTTGTCCTCTCAGCTGTTCTCACTGATAAATAAAGAAACAAAAGAAGAAAAGGAGACCATGTCAGGAATGTGCAAGAAAAACAAATGAGTATTTCAGATACCGGTCCTGCCCCAAAACTAGCTCTTTCTACCTTCTCTCACAGCTCTTTGTTTTTAGCCATTTTTAATTTATGTTGTTTTCCATGTGCTGAGCCATTAATGTGCTCCATTTCTTCAGGCCAGCTTTCACAGATTGAACAGGGACTCTTTCTGTGTGTTCACCAGTGTGTGACTTATTTTTGAGTGTGTTAATTCGTGCATGTTTTCATCTCGTTGCCTGCCTGTCTCTGTGTAGGAGCAGCTCTGTGTGATCAGGGGCTGAGCTTCTGCTTTTCATCCTTGTTATTTTCCCACGTGTGAGCAATAAACTGAAAGAAGGGCGGCTTACAGTTCTGAAGGAGAGCGGCGCCTCTGCCTCCATTGCTCTGATACCTGGTCCTTTTCCCAGTTTATTCACTCCTGTGGTGCAAACATCCCTCCTATATTGGATTATCTTTCGTGCATGTATTTTTCAAAGGACACATCTCATGTGGCCTGAGTGAATGTGTTTTTGTGTGGGTTAGAGAGAGAGAGAGAGAGAGAAAGAGAGAGAGATGTATGAACGGTAAGCCTGGACTTACAGTTACATAAGCCATCATACTGCCTTTGTGGCACATGTGTGTGCGCAGCATCGAGAGCTTTCATCCACACCACTCTAATATCCGCCTGATGTGTTTTTGCCCCATTTCTACTAAATCTAGGTTTTCTATATTGATTGGTTTGCTGCCTGGCCTCTTTGTTTAAGCTAAACAATAGTCCCTCTGTAGGTCTGGTCACACATCCTGGAATTAACGGCTAAATTTAAGTTCAGATGTTATCTGTCTGTGTGGTTCTTTGCACCTATTCAATGTACTTTTAAAGTCCTTGTTAACAATATATATAAAGCTCTTGTCTCCTTTCATACTTTCAGAGAAAGCATGTTTCAGTTTGTTTTGTGTCAAAATCACAGTTCTTCACAGCTTCTGCTAGGAGCTGCCAAGTAAACAAACCATTAACAACTCAGATTTCTCATCCTGGGCTGCCCAAACCCACACGTCTGTTTATTTATATTCAGATCTCCTGTGATCTCCTATTAAAGAATAGTAGAAAGAAGTCTGCTTAAAAACAGCACAACTCAAGGATGGCTTTTACCTAAAAATGTGTCATTCAACTTAAAGTTTTAGGAGGAATAGTCATTGATTTTTGTGTGATGATCTCGATCAGACGGATAAACTTCCCAACTGAGGAGTTTGCTCTAAAGTGAATCCAGTGAAGCTCCAATGTGGATCAGGTCTTCTACTGTAACGTTCGACTGCTGCCCTCAGGTTACTCCCTTTCTTTTTGTACTCTACTCCTCCTTTTTTTTTTACAGACACATGTGTTTGGTAGTCTGTCTGTCCTAGAGTAACCAGATGCTTCTCTGCTCTTAAAACAGGAAGCACAGCCTCTCCTCTCTTCCCCCTCCTTTTCCCCCTACACAGTCGACACAGTCTGAAAGAATCAGGGAGGGGAGAGGTTAACTCCAGAGAGTGAGTCCACAAACACGCAGGAGCGGAGCAGAACTGATGTCTGTGAACCAGCTGATCGTCCAGCCAGACAGAAAAAAAGAGGAAGGGAGGGAGGAAGAGGGGAGGGGAGAGAGGAGTGACTACTGATGCTCCGGTAGACTGCACTGTGTGAGTCAGCGCGGTGGAGAGCAAAGCAAAGCAGCAACAGAAACAGAAACAGCAGCAGCAGCAGCGTGAGGCACGTTTCTCTTTCACGAGTATCAACAGCGAAGAGGAGCAGGATGACAGCGCTGAGGAGGAAGTGAGGACGCCATACGGAGAAGGACACACAGAGGCCGAGTGAGACGTCAGGAGAGAAAAGAGGGGAGACAAATCAATCATCCACAACTATTTTTTTTAGGAGACTCTCTTCACAGTTAAGGAAACAAGCATACTGATCGACAACCGTGACTTTCTGTACTAAGAAGACGAAGAGGGAGGAAGTTCATTAGCACATCTCGGGGGACTCGACGTGGTGCAGAGATGTCCTGGTTGTCTCCAGTCCAGTGGGCCAAATGGACATGGTCTGCAGTGACTGGGAATGGGGTGAACGACGAGGGGCAGCAAGGATCCAAGGATGATGGAGAGGACATGTAAGAGAGCAAGGCCACAGAGTGTTTGCGCCTATGTTTGCGTGTAAAGAGAGGGAGGTTAATGGCGTGTTTGTAGCTGGCGTATATAAAAAAAGAAAGACATCTGGAGAGTAGAGAGCAGTTTTCTGTATTCACTGTAGTTTATACAGCACTAGATCGGTTGTGTTTACATGTGGGTGTTTGTGTGAAGACTCTCCTGAGTCATACTGACAGGTGGCTGATGCACACACACACACACACACACAAACCAACCAACTGATGCTGTGATATTATATAATATATTTTTATCTATGTCTAAAAACAGATTCGCACACTCAGTCGAAATACGGACACTTTTTGTAAATCCCTGCTTTGTGTTTGCTTCACTCTCTGTTTCCTTGTCTGACTACAAACTAAGATGAACTGAGTGTTCAGGCCTGATTTTATGAGTATGTATGTGAAAGTGTGTGAGAAGGATCTTTTGGCAGTTGGGGAACAGTTGCTGAAGTTGGGGGGGGAAGGGAGAAAGCCACAGTTTCCAGAGCTTTTGACTCTTTTGCTGTCCATTTTTAGTTTCTTAGTAACCATCCAGGATCGCAGCAGCCGTTGGGGCCATCACTGGGATGTGATTCAGTGTCTATGTGTGTGTGTGTGTGTGTGTGTGTGTTTGAGTGTGTGTGTGAAGGGGTGGGGGTGGGTTATGTATATTAGGATTAGCACTGTGTGGTGGGGTTGTATAGAGAGCTGCAGAGTGTGTGAAAGCATTTGTGAGAGCCGGTATCAGAGATGGAGTGTGGTCGGGTGTTGGCACTGAAAGCTTCGCTCCTTGTGTGCTGCTTTTCATTAGAGTGCGGACGTTTTGATGTGCGTTCAAGAGCCTGGGAACGGGTGTACACACAGACACAGATGCACACACAAAACCACATCAACTCTCACTCTCCCTGTCTCTCTTTTCCTTTTTGTTTCTCCACTGTTTGGAAATAAATTTGGGCTGGCTGTCTAAGCAGCTGACACAGCAGACCAAAAGACTGTGTTTATGTGTGTGTGTGTGTGTGTGTGTGTGCCTGTGCGGCTGAATGTGTCTGGCCCATTTCAGTGGGTTCTATTTAAGGGGTAAAGGATGCAGGTGGCCTTGTAGGACTCCACTTCCTCTCCTCTCCCCTCCTCTGACTTCCTTTGTAAAAGAAGCAGCTTGTTTACTTTGTGCAGCTTTGAACTCTTTTGTTCGCTTCAAGAAAACAAGAGATTGATGTTGGAAAGTCGAGGCCTGTTTGTTCGAATGAAACAAACAGCCACCGCCTTTATTGAAATATATAATCATTTTTGAACATTTTCAAAGCCTCTCTAGTCACAAAGATGGTCGTCTGCTAAGTGAATTCAACCAACCCAGACATTTTAGGTCATGACAGCCTGCCAAACATGCAGTTGTAACTTGACCACATGATATTTTATTCAGATCTTTCTCTTTATTTCTCTCCACAGTTCAGACTCAGAGGGGACCTTTGAGACTCCAGAGGCTGAGTCTCCTGGTGTTTTGAAGCTACTGAGCCAACTGGACAACTCCAATCAAACAGGTCAGTGGTCTCTTACATTGCTTTCCTCATGAATGTTTCAGAATAGTGTCTTATCCCTCACCTGGTAACACAATAAAAAGTTCAGTTCAAACATGATCCAGGATCAGCAGAGTGAGGTCAAACAGCTTCACATATTTTATTTGAATAGATCTTTTCATTCATTCTCGTCCTGATTTTCTGAAACACACTCACACGATAACACTTTGGGACTCCATATTTCCTGCCTGTTTGACAGCTGTGAATGTCCCTGTTTCATTCATAACTGTTTCCTGAAAAGAAAACAATATCTCTGCCTCAGTTGTTGGTTAACTCGTCCTACTTTTAAGTAACTATTTTTCACGGTATCTCTCCATTATCACCCCCCGGCACAGCTCACCCAATTACCTATAGGGTACACATGATTTGTAGATAAGTGACGCTGTTTGTTGAAGTGAACATTGACATTGATTTATCTCAAGGGAAAAACCCTGTCATTTGTTAAGGTCCATTTTGAAGCAGTTTTACTCAAATGCCAGTTGATTTCTGAGTAATTGAATGCGGCCATTACTTTTACAATCTTTTAAAATCAGTCTGAACATGATTTTGGTTTGAATTTGACCAGATAATAGAGTATCTTGTGTTTAAGCTCAGTGCAAGAAATAGTTTTTGTTATTTTGTTCCTACGGATACGGACAGCAAGTTTTACAATAATCCTTTAAATGACTCTATGTAAGTATGGAAAAGTATGGAAGTAATTTGATTAATTTCTAGGTCTTAAAAAGTATGGTAAATAAAAAAAAGTATGGAAAAATATTTAGGTTTCCAGACTAAAAACCTACAGAAAAAAAATACAGTTTTCTAAAATGGAAAAGTAGGTATTTCCTAAAATAATTCTTAAAAGTAGGGTATGGAAAAGTATGTAAATTCTGACTGTGTAGGAACCCTGCTACTTTAAGTGGTGAGATGTATTTGGTGTGTGTAATGCAGCGTCTGCATCATTATAAGTAAATAATGAGTATACTGGCAATCTTGGATCTGTTTACTGGAACCTTTTCTGACTCTGTGTGAGTTATCAGAAATGTAAATGAGCTGTTGCCTGTTAGGCACAGACTTGTAAGTAGGCTGATCAGTGGTTTATATATGAGTGTTGGGTGTTTGAAGCTCAGAGCTCCATCCTGGACCCTTTTCTTCCACTGCTTTGCTACCCAGAAACAAAAGTGATGATAAGAAATGAATTCCAGTGGGTTATCTGTGTTATTATAAATGCTCTCATATCAACCGTTATGTTTATACTTGTAAACAGTGTTCCTTCCTGTTTATCCACTAAAACTAATTGATCACGACATGGACTGTGCATGCCTGTATTGTCACATGTGACACTGTGCTGGTATAAATGGTTTTTCATGACTGTAGATCACAGACAATCAATCTCCTTTTCATGCTAAAAGCGTCACATGGTGTGAAAAATATCTGGGTTAGTTTCGTAAATAAAAGATAAGCTGAGTGGAGAAGCTGAGATTCAGTTTTGCTTTAATGAGACGAATATCTCAGCAGAGGATCACTGTCAAGTCATGGGAACCACCACAGGCTACAATTTAACTGTATGTACAGTTGGACCCTGACTGACACATTTTAAAGCTGTCTGTCTACCTCATCCACCTGTTTCTCTTTCACTTCCCTTTTGCCCTCTTTTCCTCCTTTCTTTCGAGTTGTGAAACTGCCATAAAGCCTGTTGTTGTTTTTGTTGCTAGGCCACGTGGTGGTGTGTGCCCCGTATGATTGGGTGTGGTTGCTCGGCATCTGTTCCTCGTCTTCGAAGGGTGTATTTGTGTCTGAAAGTACCCAGATTTCGAGCAGAAGCTTGCATAAACTTGAATCCACTGTACGTGTGATGTTGCAAATCACACTCTCGCCACCGCTCATGACAAATGATGTGAGAGGCTGTTATCCACCTGAGCTGAAACTACAAAGGCTTCATTCATGTTGTGTGCACATTGAGAGGAAATTCAGGAAGGTGGGGGTTATTTCAGTTTTATTATTGTATGTAGCTGTGTGACTTTTACAGTGTGTGTGGGTGTGTTTTTCAGGAACAGAGAGTCTTGTGTTTTAGCAGCAGTGTGACTCAACAGAGAGCAGCTTGCTGCTGTGGTCGTCAGCAAGTGGTTAACGGGATATATGAGGACACAGGATGTGAAGTGCTCAGAGAGGAAGCCAGCAGCCATTTTAAGTGTTTTAACAGAGGGGTGTAGAGGCCATCACATCAAGTTAAAATCCCTGAATGAATGATAAAATCATTAAGAAGCAGCAGGATGGAGGATGTTAAGTTTCTTTTTTATCAAGGCAGTGACACTTGAGGAAGTATGGCCGAAGCAGAAGATCTGCTCCTCACTCACTTTCTTATGAGAATTTCTGTGTGTTACTTTGCATCTAAAACTCTGTATTGTGGTGTACCTCTGGGTTCTCCCCTGGGTCCTATTCTTTTATTCCCTGGAATATACTTCCTGCTACAACAATGAGAAGCCCAGGCCTTATGGGGTCTTTTACAAAGGAGCTCTCTGGATATTATACCCTAATCTAAATCTCTTGACAACTTTCCAAAGCTTCAAGAGCAAATTTGAAGCCAAGCCAGCTCCTAAACTTTTCCAGATCACTCTTACCACTCTTGTTACGCTTTCTCAGAAGCTAAAGGCTCTCTATGGAAACTTTTGGGTCATTGCTACCTGGTCAGCACAAAAAAACAGCCAAGAGACATGCACGCTCACCAACAGTACGATAAGCAACTGTTTGCTAACAGTTTGGCTATATCAGATTCACAGGTGATGACACAGTATTTAGTCTACAACCAGTCTCTGTTGTCTCTGCCTGCATGAAGATTAACTGTACTTTCAGTTGTAAATGTCAGAGAAGATCATTTAAACATTTGTTTACTATGACACCTTTCACTGGAAACTAGATTGTGAACAGCTGAGTTTGATATTCACTTATTTTTCTTCCTTTTTCACAGTTCCATCTGATGTTACAAACCATTTCCTCGACAAGAACTCCAACCAGAATTTTGGCACAGTCTCTACCCAGGATGTTGATTCCTTAAACAACCTCGCCGGCTCCTCGCAAAATGGCGGCAGCTTTGGTTTGGATCAGAATCTCAACCTCACCCTCAGCAACAAATCAAGTCCCGGCGAAGGTTTCTCCCAATCCCCCCAGCCTCAAGTCCTGCGGCCTCCGTCTCTGTCTGTCCTCTCCCCACTCAACAAGCCGGACCCTTCAGAGGTGGACGATGAGGCTCCAGTGACGTCTGACTCCAGCCCTGACTCCAACTTGATCCCCATTAATGGTGTTTGTGTGGACACTGATTTGCTTAATGGCAACATGAATTCAAACACAAAACACAGCCCAATAATCACGTAAGTACAACTTAAGAGACAGCTAACGCCTTTAGTGTGTCTTCTAATGGCTGTTAATAGTCCATCCATCCCTCATCATTGTTATCCTGTTTTTTTAAGAGTTTTACTCTCATTAAACTCTCACTTAAACTTACTTCTACTTTAATTTCTCGTTTTCAGTCACATTTCTTTAATTACCCAATTTAGGGTAGGTTTTGTTTTTGTTTTTTTTTCACTTGAGTGTAGAGTAGTCATGTGGTCAAACAGTGCCCTCTTGTGGTTTCTTTAATTTTAAGTTTTCACTCAAAAGGGGTCTGGTTTGCATTTTCATAGAATGAGTTCATGTAGTGAAAAAGGACAAAGTCTTTCACAGTTTATTTTGGGCTTTACTGCCTTTATTGAGAGACGTTAGGACAGGGAAAAAGAGAGGAAATTGGGAAAGAGTAGCTGATAACATGCAGTGAAGGACTGCAGGTTGAAAAAGCCTCTGTACATAAATGGGGTGTGCAATTCAACCCCCAGACCAAACCGGTGACCTGGGTTAGGATTTTTAAACTTCTTTTAAATAATTTGTTGCTAAAATTAGTTCTTTGTTGTTGCGTTTGCCAAGTAAGAAGAGAGGAGGAGGAATACTTGGCCTCAACAACCAGGAGTGTTTCAGATAGTCATCTAAAACAAACGTTTTTTTGACTAGAATCATTTTAAAAATTAATATATTTTATCTTGTATGGATGCTTTGTCTCCTTTTAATTTTTCTCAGGTTTCACTATTTTATTCTCAACCGTCTTATTTTTCCTGACGACCTAAAACTCTCCCATGTCTGCTCTCAGTCTTGATTTTTATTCACTGCACTTAAATAACTCTGCTCTCACTTTGTGTTAAATTTAAACCCTGTTCCATCCTTTCCTGTGTCTGTCCCTTCCCGTTCCTTCCAAACCTGTCATTGTGTTTCCCTTCTTTCTGTGTGGCATCAGGACTGCTGAGCAAGTCCATTTCCTCTGTGTTCTGTTGTAAGTACTGTGTGGCCTTGGGTGTGTAGAGCTTCAGTCCTTGCTTCTCTTAAACAAACCAAAGTCTAGGATGACTCCACAGCCTAATGCAATATTCATTTGACCTCAATTTATAAAAAGTGAAGGAGGAGGAGTAGTGTATCCTACAGCATAGAGAGGCTTTAATTAAAACACTGCAATTCATATCAATTCAATGTGCAACCATAGTTGTTCCTGTTATAATTTGGCATCAGTATTTATTTTTTTTCTGTAACCTGCTTCATCTTCTCTGTATTTTTCCTTTTATGTGTGATTCTGCACTTTAAGCAGAGCATGCAAAACACACAGCAGAGCAATGAGGTGTGACTGTCAGGCTCCTGCTTTTGCCTTTCATCATTACTCCAGCCAGTATTACCAGAACCAGACCCATATTGATCTGATTACTGTTGACACTGATGTTGTTATTGACCTTTCTCAGGAACTCCTGTAAAGTGCAGCCAAACCAGCTCATGCAAAAGGATCTCAGTGGACAGGTTAGTTGTTTTTAGTGTGTTTTCAGCTCATTGGTCTCATGTGGTAATGTCATGAGAAAAAAAAACTTAAATCAGTTGTGTTTATTCCACCTGCTGTTAAGGATGAGCATCATGGAGGCCACGCCACAGATGAGGAGAAGTTGGCGAGCAGTGTGAGCGTCAAACCAGACAAGGACGAAAGCTGTGAGTAAAAATATCAATGAATATTGATTTTAATGTTTTTCTCATATCTGCATGCTTGAGGGCACAGACTGACATAGATATTAATCAATGATTTATCTGTCTAAAGTGTGACTCTGGTGTACAGAGTTGAAATAACTGGATGCCAAAGTTCTGACATCATGTTTAAACTAACCTCCATCAATACTGGACAGAGGGCCTGTTGTGCCGCCCTACAAGCACAACAGTAATTATTAACTTCATGCAGTATTTTCACATTCATCTGGGTCCAGTGTGTTTGTTTGAATGTTTGTTTATACCAAAGCAGCTCGGCTCACAGTCGCCTTCAGGCTGCATGTGACACAGCTTCAGTTACTGTCTGAATCACTGAATTAAGCTCAGCAGCCTGCAGGGTCATCGTTCCTGAAGGCATCATGATATTTTTAAACCATGAATAATTTTTCAACAAAGGAAACGCAGCAAAGTGTAGAAATCGGATGATTGTTTACATTTGAAAACAAACAGACAAAAACGCACAGAAATTTGTAAATTGTCATAATAAGACATTATAAATTCTAAAGAACATAGACCACCCACTCCATAATACCTTAATGGACCAAAGGGCCAATGATGGTGGATGGCTCCTCCCTCTTGGCTGTAGGACAGAAAGATTCAGAAGATCTTTTGTACCCACAGCCATCAAACTTTACAACTCCTCTGTAAATAGTAGATAACTTTTAGAGACATGACAAATGAGATGACAGATGATTGAATTTCCACTCTGGGATTAATGGAGTTATTCTTATTCTAATGTATGCTCCCTGAGTCATAAATACTGGGAAAAAAAACTTGTAAAACAATGAATTGTGTAGAAATATTACATTAAAAAGATACTTTAGACCTTTCATTTCACCACTTGATTCTGATTTCTTCATAAGTTTATGACTTTAAGTGATTTCAAATGAGTAGTATGTTAAAAGAAAAATACTTTTGGATGAAAATGATAAATATTACTTCCCATGTGCATCATTTAAAGACATTTATTGCTTTTCTATGATTCAGGCTGCCATGCGGTATCAAAAGCAGAGGACTCAGACTGCTGCTCTGCGGTGAGTAAACAACGCAATCTAATCTTTCAGTCTGTTTTGAAAGTTGTGCATCCATATACTACATGTCCTCCCTGAAGTTTAATTTTCCTTATTAAAACAATAAAAGTTTTATTATGATCAATGCCAACATTAACCACTAGGTGGGGACAAAGCACTGATATTCATCACTCTGTTCTCTGTCATTAGAGAGGGAAAACAGACCTGACAAGTATAAACTTACTTTTGTTTTTACATTTCACTTGTAAATGATCTATTTGGCTCATTTGTTCATCTTTGTGCTCATGTGCTTTTTTGATTTGTTGGATTAATTTACACGGTAATCATTGTAGTCTGTCATAGACCAGTGATTGGTTTAGTTAGAAGCCAGCTGCACTGTAACTAAAGCTGCTGTATATAATAGCCAGCGTGACATGATGGCTGTCCTGTTCTACAGGGCGGCAGGTGGTGTCTGCAGGCTTATTAATGTTCTCAAATGACAGAGGGATTTAGATTAGCTTCAGGAGATAAGAATATGACCGTCATAATCCATAGAAAGAGCAGTGAACAGAGAAAGAGAGAGAGAGACTGGGTGGAGTACAGGATTGATTGAGATTTAAGCATAATCTTAATTTATAAATAACCCCAAACACAGTAGATTAGAGGGAGGGAAAGAGAAGGAAAACAGAGCCAGAGGGAGAGAATTTTAGTATGTTTACTTTTCAGTGCAGAATAGTCTTCCTCTATAAGTATGGTGTGTCAGTCTTTCATAGCCGCATTGGGATAAACTACCCAAACATTAAGACTTTTGGTAAAATTGGTGTCTTTTTATGGGGTTTGAAATCAAATTGAAAAAAAGAAGTGGAGTTCATTTTTCTGTGTGTTTGGTCGAGTTTAAAGTCAATGGTTGTCAGTCCTGCTGGGAATCTCCTTTTCCTCCAATGCCCATGAAAATCTGTGAAAAATATCTTAGCCTTATCTCAGTTATACCACTGAATGTGTTTAAAAGGTGTAGATTAAAATAACATATTTTCCGTCCTCTGTAGTCTGAGGACCCATGCAAGCTGAAGAACCAGTCGGGGGGAAGTGAAATGGAGAAAACAGGAAGTCAGGTTCTGGACTCCATCTGCATCAGTGAGGCAGAAAAACAGGCTGTTCTCACACTCATTAAAGAGGAGGTACAGACACACATCACTGGAAGCCAGAATAAGAAATATCATCAGTTTGTTTGTTTTCACTTCAATGGGTTTTCTCTGACTTCTGTTCATCACGGTCATCTCCACCTTTAGATCATTACCAAGGAGGTGGAGGCCAACGACTGGAAGAAAAAGTATGACAGCAGCAGACAAGAGGTCACTGAGATGAGGTCAGCAAACATGTTATATCTATAATTAATCTGCCATAATTATGAATAACCTGATCATTCAGTATTGATTTGGGCGTGGCCAGTTTAAGAACACAGGCGTCAAAGTCATACATTTGCTGCTTTTTCTGTTTAAGTGTTGGGACTGTAAAAGAAACTTAAACGCATGGATAGAAATGTCTTCTTAAAAACCCTCTAGTAAAGTTGGTTAGGATTGACCAAGTGTTTCGTTTGATTACAGGAAAATTGTAGCAGAATATGAAAAGACGATTGCTCAGATGATTGGTGAGTAGTATTGATGAAGATGAAGTTCCTTATATCTGAGTACCTTGAAGCTCAACTTTTTGCCCTATCATAATCTCTGAAGACTTTTTTCTTAATGTTGCAGATGTAATATTTCATGCCATCATTTTTACCAAACTAAATACAAGATAAGAATTGTTTACAACTCAATAACTGTTTTTTTTTTCCTTTTAGAGGATGAACAGCGCAGCAACCTGAACTCCCAGAAGGCTTTGCAGGCCATGACAGCAGAGAAGGAAGCTGCTCTTGCAGACCTGAACTCAGTGGAGCGCTCTCTCTCCGATGTGTTTCGGAGATATGAAAATATGAAGAGCACCCTGGAGGGCTTTAAGAAAGTAAGGAGATATCAAGCAAATTAATTTCCTGAAAATTCTCAGATTTAGCTGATGGTAGAATCAACTGTCAGCTGTAAGCGTATCAGGGTCACAATGCGGTCAAGGTATCCTGTGATTAGGGGCTGAGGTCAGCAGAATTTATATCAAAGTAACAGATATTAGTGATCTAGCACTGAACTGGTAGAATAGGCAGTGATCTTTCGTGCTAGGAAATGCTGCTTCCCATTTGCTTCTCTCTCACAAGTGGTCCCCCACGGGTCTATCTTGGGGGCCCCTCTTATTCACTGCGCACATGCATCTTTTGGGGTAAATCCTGCATAGGTAAGGTATAGACTTTCACTGCTATGCAGATGACACCCTACTTTATGCTCCTTTTAAACCTGGCACCACTGATGCATATTGAATTATGTCATGCAGACATCGAGAATTGAAATTTTTATTAACCTTGTTTGTTTGTACATGTCTTTTATAACTGCAGCAGTTAAAGGGATATTCCGGTGTAAAATTGTGTTATGGTCAAACACACCGTAACACCGAGTTAGACACTCCCTTGCTTCTCTAGATAGATAGATAGACAGACAGACAGACAGACAGACAAACTTAATTGATCCCAAACTCGGAAATTCTCAAACATTTTTTTTGTGCGTGGCAGCCTCCTCTCCAGCCTCGCGCTGCCTCCTTGTGGAGCAAACACTGCAGTTGGTTGCTAGGAGCCACTCATTAGTTATACCAACGAATGCAATACACAGCGGTCAACCTCTCCACACGCAAACCTCAGCCAAAAAGCAAAAGCACTAGCCACCACACATCTTTTTAGCTTTGCCTGATTTCTTTAGCAAAGAGACTAAACACAACTCACCCACTCTCTTCCAGCAGCTGCTTGTTTATAGGAGAGCTCGAATGAGTCCATCGACAACAGCGGGGTGATGCAGCTCAAGGAAGAAAGAAGCTTAAGGAAGAACATGCACCCCGCTGCAGTCAGTGATGGACTCGTCCGAGCTCTCCTATAAACAAGCAGCTGCTGGAAGAGAGTGGGTGAGCTGTTTTTGACTGTTAAGCCCTTTGTAGCTTGTTTTTGGAAAGTGCTATATAAGTAAGATTAATATTGTTATTAATGTCTCATACATTGACTGACGGATGTAATTATTTACTGATTAGAAACTGCAGAAAAACACTCCATGAAAGCCATTTCACCTGTAAATCTTGACCCCTGGTCGACCTGCATCTGTTTTACAGCTCCTGCTTATGTACAGAGAGAACCCTGTGGTAGTTAAACTGGAAGCTGCCAGGAGAACATTAGCGCTGTATCAAGAATTAAAGATTAGAAAAAGCTCACTCTATTTAGAAGCAAAAATTACCTTAAATAACAAAAGAGTTTTTCTTTTCTCCAATAGAATGAAGAGGTGCTGAAGAAATGTGCTCAGGAGTATCTGGCCAGAGTCAAGCAGGAGGAGCAAAGATACCAGACACTGAAAATACATGCTGAGGAGAAACTAGACAAGTATGTGGTCATTAAAAGAAAACATCATTTATTTGTCTAGTTGAATTTAAAATGTATACAGGATCATACTTTGTGTAAAACGTTTGTTGATTTTATTCATTCCTCATTTCTTGTAGAGCCAATGAGGAGATTGCTCAAGTGCGTGGAAAGGCGAGCTCAGAAAACATGGCGCTGACTGCCAGTCTGAGGAAGGAACAAATGAAGAATGAGTCCCTGGAACAATCTCTGTCACAGAAGGTATCTTCATTTTTTTCCTTTTATGCTCGCTCGACTTTAAACGTTGACATACAGAAGTACCCGTCAATTGAAAATGTATTTAATCTCCTTTTTGTCCGATGTTGTTTCACTGTCACAGAATCAAGAGATTGAAGAACTCACAAAGATCTGTGATGAGCTGATCGCCAAAATGGGGAAAATAGACTGAGACACCTTTCGGTCTCAGCTTTTTCAGTCCTTCTGGTCGTTTTCAACAGTGACACCCTCTGCATGTCCACCGGCAGAGACACAGTTCTTATATCCTCTGTCAGCCCTGCATCAGAGACTGCTCATGTACAAAATAACTTCTTGTGTACTAAAATTGCACTAGTGACCGGATTCAAAGAGATACTTTATGTGCCAACTATTGTTTAAGTTGGGACCCTTCTAAACGTTTACAGTCATGTTGTTTTGTCTGCATTTCTGCCCTCAATGAGGCTGTCTGGACCTCTTGTGCTTCCAGCCGTCATGCCAGTGAACAACAACCTGCTTGTGACTCAGATTCCCAAACGGCTTAAATGCTAAATTCCCATAAGCCCCTCCTACAGGACGATATCATGCAGCAGCGGTTGTTTTGGAGGTCCATTGATGTGTATACATTATTTTATGATGGCCTTTGACAAGAATGAATAAGGATTATTATTAAGAAAACATTAAATGTATATTTTTATGAAGTAAATAAAGGACAGCTCAGGGGTATTGCGTTGCTTAACAAGTCACACTATACAAGAGCTGGAGGAGATGGTTTAGGATCGTTCAAGGAAACATGGTAGTTTTTGGAGGCCTTAGATTGCTCAGCTGTGACACTGAAACCAGACTGAGTCTGGACCACGGTCAGTAAAACTACAGCTGCAGATAAATCACAGCTTTACTTGCTTTAAAGTTTGCACAGAGAAGTATGATAGCCTGACAATCACAGACTCAGCTGCAACTGTGTCAGCTTTGTCGTGTTTGAGCCACAAAGTCGATGAAGAGATAACTTTATACTGAAGTGGAAAAAGAAACACAAAAATGAACACTAAATGAAAACTGTCCTGTATTAAAATCACAACCAAATAGAACAGAGTGATAGATTCAGTAAAAGAGTCTAGATTCAGTTTAGGTATAAAACGTTTTGAAGTCTTGCAAGTGTTGAATCGTATCTGTGCTTATTTTAGTTTTTTTTTTATGTCATCACTGAGTCACAGATTGAGAGGGAAAACAAAGTTTCAAAGCTTTGAAAGTAGAGGTTCTTCATTTTGCTCTTATAAGTTGACATGTAGGAGCTACTCCTCAGAAAAATCTGTGTTAGCATGTTCATTTTTGTAACTCTGACTTCAAGAGAATTTACCTTATTTTTCATCAAGACTAAATTTTCTTTAAAAATTCACTACACCACCAGACTTCCCTGGATAATGAGGTTTTGATCCAGATATATCTGATTGGAGTAACTGAAAGAATCTGATAAAGGATATAAGCATGTACTAGTACTATTTCAGTACTCAGTCCCTTATAGTCAGGGACTATTGAATACAGTTTGTTTGATACCTCGCCTCTTTGCCACCTTGTGCACCCTCTTAAAACCCAAACCTACTGTTGTGCCATGGCTTATATTAGTGCTATTCTAAACTCATGCTCCATCTTGTTACTCAGCTGCTTAGTCCTTGTCTTATGAAGGATTTATTTGCCACTTTGGTCCCTCTATTTGATTACTAATTTGTACTGTATATGTATGTTTAAAGTAGAGATGGAGAACTCACACTTGTGTTGACACATTGTGGTGAAAAGCAAGCGTGTGTACATTTGCTTGAATGAAATTAAATATGATGTCTTTATGTACGTTTTTATTCACCTCTTTGTGTTTTCTGTGTCCTCTTTGTGCTGTTCTGTTTGCCCGTATGTTCAGTACAGCGTCAGTACTGGTCATGATGCACACGCAGTGCTTACACTCCACACTCACAAATCCTATCTGAGTCAGTAAGCAAAGACTTTGAGTTTGTTTGGTGGCATCAGCTTGATTGTAGTCTGATGTATATTAAAAAAATGTAATAGCTGCAAAATCAGTGTGCACAAGAGAGACCACAGAGTCCTATCTGAGTTAACGTAGCTTCATAACTGAATGGTTCCAGTCTCCCAGTGTAAGGTCAGTTTTTAAATCCATTACCACATATTGCTGGCGGTGCACCATAGATGGAGATTATAGACATAAGACTTTAATACCTCAACACACTTTCCTATGCCAAAATCTCTCACCTCCACTGCTCAGTTTAGCCCTGTGTACCCTCCGTCTGTCAGATCCCTCGGTCTTCTTTTTAACTGGACGATAAAAAACACAGCCGTCCTGTTGCCATGAAGACGGCCCTGGCCCTGCTGCTGATTGTCTCTCTGGCATGCCACAGTAAGTTCATACCAACTCTGCATTTCAGGGTCTTTAATAGTTGAAGGGATTTATTTCTGTAGTAAACTTATTGCTGTAAGTTTACAATATGTCACTGAAGGATCAGGGTCAGGGTTGTTTTCTGTCTCAAACTCAGGCCTTGGTTGAAGCCAGCGCAATATAGGACGTTTCCAATAAGAATGTGTCACAAATTTGTCCATACCTGAAAGTTCTGTAGAATTGCTTTAGCTGAAATTAAGCAGTGTATAGCCATGTTTATCACAATTTTACAGAGAGAATTTTGATGTTTAAATTTTCCTTTTTAGTCAAATTGTACAAAACTCTTATTATGAAAACTACAAACCAACTTACTCTAAAGATGCTGAACCCTGCAAATGTTCGACATTGTAGCTTCAAAAATCTGCAAAACAACAAAAAGATCAATTGGCTAGATTTGATTTTCTGTCTGGATCAAAATTAACTTTCCTTCAGCTCATAATAGTTCTAGTGGTATATGCATCGCTGTCTCTGAAATGGTGAAACTGATATTTTATTGTTATTAATTCATTAATAGTATTAATATTATTGGTCAATAAACTTAAATTAAAAGTCTTCACTACTGTAATATATGAAGTTTGGTTGTCTAGCTATGTCAGGCTCATACATTTAAAGGGGACAGACAGCCATGTTCTTCCCTTCTTACTTGTGTCAGGGTTGTGGTTGTTTTGTGTCTGTATGCCGACATCATCCTGTGGATGCATATGCTAATAGGTGCTCTCTCCTGCTCTTCCTGTGAAGGCAGCGCCCTCAAATGTTACTCTTGTGTGGGGATGAATGAGGAGGACTGCAACCGACAAGGTTCCTCCACCTGCCCTCATCAAGCTGACGCCTGCTCCATCATCACAGGAGCCAGTGAGTACTCACAATACTACACACAGAAAAAACCTGTAACCCAGGTACCACACTGACACAGGCTACCAGGGGGCAGCATTATACTTACAAATATTTACATATGGTTGTATTTAAAGAAGGGCTACAGGTGTTTGTGCTATTTATATCAACCAAAGAAGAGTTTAGAAATGTGGGTTTAAACTTTTTTCTGCAAGAATTTATGATTTTTTTTTTTTTTTTGAGTCTACTACAATCAAAAGAGGAAATCTCCTTTATATTGTTTGTTTGGAGTAAGTACTGCTAGGCAGCAGTGGTAAAAAAAGAACTTGCACAAACCACGAGCAAAACCAGATTAATCAGTGAACAGCTATGTATTGCTATTGGATGGGCTATGGGGGGAGGATGGAGGAAGAATGGGATAAAAACAATGATGGACGTGGATATTGACGACAAATTATTGAGGACACACTCATCAATATGAACAAAGTGTAACTCCAAAGTTGTCAGGTTTCTTTTTCTTATTTACAATTTAACAAAAATAATGAGTCAAAAAGTCACATAAGAATATTAGAAACATTTTTCTTGATAATCACTTATTTCCCCTGTTTGACTTTTATCACGAAAAGACTTCAAATGTGAGAAAGTAGGATGTCAGAAAAAAAAAAACTTCATGCATTTCCTGTTGTGTCCATCAAGTTTCTAATAAACCTGATCCTTTTTGAATGTTAAGTTTAGAAGTGTTACATAATTTCTATTTTCTCTGAAACTGCAAGTCTAACAAATAGTTTGCCAAGATCCCGCAGTGTTCTGCTGACGCCATCATCTTAATTGGATTTGGCTTCACTTGACGCACAGAGGCAAGAATATCTCTTAACTCTTAAACAAATTTTCCAGTTCCTTCTCTGTCTCTTGATATCCTTGAATCTGTCCATACATCTCTGCTGGTTTCTGAGATCCAAGTGAAAGATGAAACAGGGATGCCCCTTAAAAGAAGGAAGGACTTTGACAAAAATGCAGCAACAGCATTAAGATAATTACAGAGAGGGATTCTAATGTAAGACGCAAAGTTTGAGACAGTCTGGACGCTGAATGTTTGAGTTATGGTAACTTCCTGTTATACAAACTTTGGCAGCCACACCCATTGAATTTGGGCACAAGCGAAAGGATATTTCTTATCAAAATACATTCTGGATGTCCCAAAAAATTAGAGTGGATTGGTTCACCATTTTGAAAAAAATGACCCAAGTATTAGCAGTAGAAATGACCAAAAAACACTCAGATGTCAATACTGATGTTTTAGGAAGCTCATGCATTGGTCATTAGTCTGGTAGACTAAAGACAAGGTAATTTGGATCATGCCGGAGGAGCAGTTAATCTGTTAATCTTAGAAGGACCCCTATCTTGAATTTACCAAAAATTCAAGATGGGTTTAGGAGACTTTAGGTCCAGTCAGGATGCATAATCCACTCAAGCTCATCTTTCCATCTAAAACCAGCTCCTGTCTACCTTACTTGGTGACTCCACAAGTATTGTAAGCCCTTCAAAAACTTGTTTCCTTTTTAATGGTGAATGATGCAAAAGCATTTGGTGTAGACTTTAATACTTTGGCAGGGTTTAAGGATCTACAAGAAGGATGTTTAGAGGAATCTGTCAAACTAGATAGAAATTGATGCAGCATATGTGGACACAAGAACTTCCGATAGTTTTCATAAAAGTTTCAAAGATATGTTAGTTGCGGTTGTGACCCCTCAAAGGCACAGAGGATATTCTGCAGATTTGTTGATGTAGAACAGAGCTAGAAAAGTCCACAATTAACTATGTTCAAAGAATACTAGGATTAGGGTGAAATATTAGCACATGTATGGGTTCTGGCCTGAACCCTTAAATATGTGGTGAGGATGGGTCAGATTAGAGAATGAATAAATACTACTTCCTGTTTCATGATGAAACACACATCTTTTTGTGCTTCTCAATGCCAAGCCCTCTGACTTCTGTGTGTCAGTGGATGAGTTTTCATCATTCAGGTCCTTTCTAGCTGTGTAGCCTGTTTAAAGTGGACCACATCATAATAAGCTGAATATGGGTATCAAAATTTGAGTTTTGTGAGTTTGTGAGCATGTTTAGACCAAAGAAATACATCAAACTTTCAGGGAATTACAATTAGGTAATCCCTTGCACTGGTTTGGTGCTTGGGTCCTAATAATTGCATAAATGAACTAGTATTAGCTACATAATGCCGGTGAAAATAATAAGTATGAATCATAGGAATAATTAGGGCATTTGGATCAAGCAGGTCGACCACAACAGACCAACACCCACACTGGGAGTCATAAATCCAGCCTTATATTATTGTTGCTGGATGCCCTACCTTTTGATCTGAACTACAGTACCCTTTCTAATTCAAAGTGTGTACATGTGTGTGAGCACAGGATGGAGTTGACCAGGTTTGCGGCGCTGAACCTCTTCCTCTCTCTCTCTTTCTTAGACACTGTGATGAAATCATGCACCTATAAGACTTTCTGCGACAAGGCTCAGGGTGAAAGTGCCGGTGCCAGGCTGCAATGTTGTTACAGTGACAGCTGTAACGGACCCTCCTGGAACAACCACAACAACCCCTGGGCTCACTACTACAACAGTGCAGGGGCAGTATCCTCCAGCACCGCCCTGCTGATCACTACCCTGCTGCTGCGTGTGGCCCTCAGTCATCTGTAAAATCTGTAAAAACTGTTTTGTTTCCCCCAATGATTCTTTATCTTGTTCTACTCTTTTAAATCATTTGCATTGAGATCAATCCAAACACTGTTGTACCTTTTTGACAAAGAGATTATTAGTCCTAGCTATCAGAATGTTTGAGCTTTAAAACTATGTTTCTGTAACTTTTGGTGCTGTAGATGTGTCTCAAAGATAAAGATTTTTTGGCAGGTTTTGTCGTAAAAATGAATACCACCTCATAATTAACAGTGATAAATCCCTCTTGAGGTGATTAAAAGCTGTACAGCAACTTGCATCTGAGAGTCTTTGTGGTGAATAAACATGTCCGCAATGAATATTACCCCCACCCATGTTTGTTTTTCAGATCTTGACAGATTTAGATGTGGTTTTGTGAGGGGTCGAGATGTCTCAGCGGGTTGTTAGAGCACTGCTAGAAGTTTGTAGAATCTCAGCCTGTGCTGAGAATAAAGCCATTTATTTCAGGTCACAAACTCAACATTAAGAAATGTGTAGCGAAAAAAACCACATGTATGAGTACATAAATATATTAATTTCATGCATGACGTCTTGTCTAAATAAAGACCCAATCACACCCTTGTTGCATAATTGTTAATTTGCCTACCATAAACAAGTAAAGTAAGCAGAGGAAATCTTAAAATTCTGTGATTTCCAGTCAAAATGTTAAGACTTGTATGTTGAGCTGTGTGCTTTCACCATATGATATTAAATAACTGAGGAAGGTTTCCCTCCTTAGGCAGGTCATATGATGTGCAACCACTTCCTCTTACTCTGAACCACAAATTTTACAAAAAAAAAAAAAAAAGCAGAATTGCTTCTTTTAAAGTAGATCCACAAATGAGTGCTTGTAGAAATGACAATCTCAGCAGCAAATAAGACTTACTGTTTGCTTGAGTAGACACAGAGCGCTAAAAGCAGGAGGTGAGATCAGTTCATTTTCAGAGCTGTGTTTCTGCTTTAAAGAGCTTCATCACTGGACTTGAACGTATCACCTTGACGTGACAGTAAGGCAAAAAATGATAGCTTTTGCATACTACATGTATCTCTTTCTTTCTTTCTTTCTTTCTTTCTTTAAATTAAAACTGACTATTTTAGAAGGTAGAGATTGGCCTTGAACAGCTTTGTTGAACTGTATTAACTGTCATGGTTGACTTGTAAAATCAGTGGTTTTGCATGCTATAACTAAACCCACTCAAATGCACATTTGACAGCTAAATACAATACAGAAATGGAAAAATCTGTGCTTATCTTGCCATGCAAATACTTAAACAGTCAGTGTCTTCTGACAAAAAAATCTCATCCGGTTTATTCAACCATCAAATGTGTCATTTAAAGTAAATATTTAATGAGGAACTTGCAAAAATAGATGTTTATTTAGCTGCTCAGCTGAAACCACCCTTGTTGCGCCTTTTTCAGGCATGAAAAAAAATTACAATATGAAAATCGTCAGTCGAATGGATGATGGTCTTCTATGCTTTTGTAAATCATAAAACGGCACCACCCTGAATTTCAGTTTATTTCACAGATGTAAAAAAAAAAACACAGAGAAGCTTAAAGCTGATTAAGAAAGCTAAGTTTCATCCCCTTGCTCATGAAATGCTTAACATGCATTGAAGATGCAGTGTGTAGTATTAAGTGGCATTTAGCAGAACTGACTTGGTAGTAATGGAATAAAACATACATATAAATATGTGTCTAGATAAATGTACACTTGTGTTATTGGAACATAAAAATCCTCTACTTTTGCTTACTTTGCTTTTGTCTTTGGTATATACATGGCAACAGTCCTCTTTCATGGATGCTGAAATATTCTTTCTCCAGAAATAAAAACTAGACAAACTAGTAAAGGCCCTAAAGACGTTTTTGTGATTCGCTGTCTGAAATTTTGTGAGATGCAGAAGATAAAGAAAATAGTTTTTGTGTTTGTGTGCAAAAGAATTGATATTGATGGTAAAAACTTGACAAATGGAGGATCACACCTCACAGTAGCTTCTTTTCCAAAGGCCACTATTGTTTGTGTTGGGGGCTAGAAAGGGACCTTTTCAATCTGGGACCCGATGGCTGTGTTTTGCTGAATACTTCCATGTCTATAAACACCATATATTTAACATTAAAATTAAATTATTTAGCTGTAAAGACAGAAAGCCAATTTTTCAGCTCTCAGCAGGCCGCCTACGCAAGCCAAATGAAGTGATAGGCCTATAGTGTACTAGTATACTAGTATACTACTACTAGTGTACTGAGTATACTGAGTATCCGCTCGGAGAACAGATGAACGTCGGTCTGTTTGAGAACAGGTGTCTTTTCTCAGAAGCAATGCACAATTGACGAGTACGCTAATTCACACGAAGACGAATCCGTTGGTACCTTTTCAACTTTAGCCTATTACTTCCAGCACACTAGTGCACCTGTGTCACACACACACACACACACACACACACACACACACACACACACACACACACACACACACACACACACACATACATCCCATGACATGTGAATGACGCTTTACCTAGCTTGGTTCCTGATTATCAAGGTTTAAGCTGCTATTTTAGCCGCTCTGTGTGTGTGTGTGTGTGTGTGTGTGTGTGTGCGTGTGTGTATGTTAGTTTGACCCATTTCTTCAAACGAGAGAATTTACTAAACGTATCGCTTGAAATTGCCGGAAGATAACTGCGCACGTGCAAATTTTATAAAGTTGTATGTTGAAACTCGTGCACTGGTACTGACAGGGGAAAAACTTTATTTGGCAGCTTTTCTGAGATGGAAAAAAAAAAGTTTTGCTGTTCAGTTCCTCATCTGTCAGAGAGCAGCAGCGGTTGGGGGAGCAGCGAGGGTAGAAGAAGGGGGAGGAGGAGGACCCGGTGTTAGGTGTTGTGCCGTAGAATGCACCCCTGACGGGAGCGCGGTTGAAAGTACATAAAGCGAAATAATCCAAGTTTTCCTCACCGTTGGGTGGATTCAAAAGCGTGTGCCTTTAATTATTTCATTCAGACTATTCAGATAAGCCGAAAACAAAAGCCCTCTGATTCGTAATATTTGCTGTCCCGCAAATATAATCCTCTCTACTTTGACAGCTAACTGTACACTTTATATACCCAAGTCCACCTCTATATGTGCATTTTTGGGACACATAAAAACAGAACGAAAGTTTCCTGCTCCATTTGACATGTTGTCATGATCCTACACTCGTGTTTTTTTTAAATATGAGATAATTTTCTTCCACTTTAAGAAGCTAATGAGCGGTTGGGATGCATCCTACGGCAGGGGTGCATTCTACAGCACAACACCTCTTTTGTAGGATGATAGGGGAAGGTCCCGCCCTCCTTTGCCTCTGATTGGCTAGAAGTGCTGAACTCCGATTGGTTATTCCATATGGCTGTGAAATGTCTTCGTCTGTCGGGTTAGGTTTAGGGTTCGGGTCAAGAGATTCAGATGTGTGATAATGTTCTGTAATGTTCTGTTCGATGTACAGAGTCGACAACCCGCGTTTGACTTGAGCGTTCGATAACGTTTCCAGCTTTTCTAGCCAATCAGAGGCGAAGGAGGCGGGACTTTCCCCTACCATCCTACAAAAAAATATCACCCCGGCCGGAGCTGACAGAGGGCGCATATAGATCACATCCGGGGCTGGTTTATTCTAATAACGAAACGTCCAACCCGGAAAAAAGACAAGTCTTCAGTAATCCGAGCACACAAATAAACAGACAGGAGGGCGAGAGTGTGCTGCACGTGGGCCTCGTTAAGTTAGACAGTTTGTAAAAGTTGTTGAGATATCGTTTGACATGCTCGGTACTCCTCAAACTCTCCGGCTCTCTCCTCTCTGCTTCGTAGCCGCGCTGGGCGCTGGCTGTGGCGCACACTGACTCCCTGCACAGTGGGTAAGTAGTCTACACAGTCCACAGTGGCACTTTGTGTGAGTTTGTGTTGCATGTATATATATATATCATACGTATATATATGTATGTGTGTGTTTGTCTGTGTTTGTGTCCGTGTGTATGTCTGTGTGTGCAGTGCAGTAGGTGTGGCGGGCTGCTGAGTCAGTGCAGGTCATCTGAGCTGAACAAATGTCTGTCAGGTGTAGCTGAGTAATTGTTCCAGATCACACTTCAACTTTTCTCTGCACGCTCATGATCACGTTGTACGTGCACGCTCGTGATGTCCACACTGGTCACTCTGCGGCACATCAAGCTGGCGCCTGATGTGCTCCTGAGAGGGGATCCAGCTGTCACGACAAGCAGTAAAGATGTTGGTGAAAAACAGTCCAGTCTAGTAAATGTTAGACAAAATGCCCGTCACACTGGTACAGAGTGAGATATAGGTAACCTCTACAGGTGGTTTGTTTTGTCCTCCAAACTGTCAAACACCCCAAGTAGGGGAGAGTGGGGTAAGTTGAGCCACCCCCTGTTGCTTGGAAATGGTCAAAGAAATTGACCATGTGACCAAATATTTAGGAGATGGGCATTAATTCATGGAGTTTGTGAAGGTTAGAAGCACATGGGTGAAGGGGTTAGACATTTATTTACAAAAAAAAAAAAAATTCACTCTTGAAAGTGAATTTAGTCTGTCATAAGTTTTATTAGAATTGTGTTCAGACCAAAAAAAATCATTTTAAATTTGTTTTATACATCAATTGTGGTATTTATGAGCTGCAACATGAGGTCAAAAACCTAATATAAAAGTCCACCATTTTAGCTTAGAGGACTAATGAATTCATCATAGTAGTTCTGGGGTAAGTTGAGCCATTTTGCCCAACTGAGAAAGTAAAGGAGTCTGATGAGAGGATCAGAGTTTCAGTTCAGATTGTTGAAATGTGTTACTTTTTCTGTTCAAGAATAAAGCTGTGAATGTTCTGAATCACTTAAAGGCATTCTCGTGTTAAAATGTTTTTTTTTTACGAAACAACTTTTTAGCAGTTAAATGCAATATTTATAAAAAGGATCATTGTACCAGATGAATAGCTGTCATTCTGTTAGTTTGCAGGGTGTCAAAACATCTTCAAATATATGCAGATACACTAGTTAGAGACGAAATAATGATTGCTTTGATATATTGATCCGAAATATGAAAAATGGCTCCTCTTACCCACTCTCCTCTATTCATTTATGTCTTCAATAGCCCATTGAGATCGAAAACTTGAGCAATGTGCCACTTAAAATGTCATTTATCCAAATTTCAGAGGTCATTATTGTATTTTTTTCATCCCGCTGAATTTGTTTCATAGCTACAACTGCTTCACACTTTTTAACTAAGGTGGACAGCAGACCTCTGTGTTTCCCTCTGTGAAGGGTCAATAGACCCTCTTATTATAATGCAACCCTTTTTCAATAATATCTTTAAAATATAAAAAAGCTTTGAATTGATACAGATCATTTAACCTTCTAACCAACTTTTAACTATGTTTTATGATGAAACTTAAAGCTCTCCGAAAAAGGAGGTGTTTTTGACTCCTTGTTGGACCAATCAGTACCAATTCGGTCTTCCCTGAGTTTATCCTCTAGCTACATGTGTAAAACGGGTTTATCACAAAAATTCACTCTGATTTATTGTAACTGTCAAATGTATCACTCATTGAGAGTTTTTACCTCGCAAACTGTGAAAAAAAAAAAAAAAAAAGGCTGTTTCAGCAGCGTACTTTTTCTCACTTCAACTGACACCCATCACCCCCATCCAGTAGACAGTGTGAATGACTTAATGAAAATAGCCAATCTGCATTTTGATGGTCCTGTTTGCTGCCGTAGCCGATAAAGAGGAGTTAATATTAATATCTTTGTTTTTTTAAAACAGCTAAAAACTCTTGACAGAAGCTTGAAAGTTCTTAGATTTTTATACATGTGGCTCTAACTATTAATTAAAACTCAAGATGAAAATAAACCAAGCACAAACTGCAACTGTATATATACACATATGTGTATGTATATACAGTATATATATATATATATATATATATATATATATTAGTCACCATTAAGTTCGCAGTCCCCCAACATGTGTCAGAGGCAACCAAAATCTGAGAGTCAGCCACATGATAACCTACTTCGGTTTGGGTTTTACAGCCACGAGAAACGCAGATTCACAACAGCCTCTAACCCTGTCACTTGAAATCTTTTGTACATTATACTTGGTGACAAAAGAGTATTAGTAATTTATTTTCAATCTAAATTTTAAATATTGCCACTTAATTTTTTTAGACCTAAACTTATATTTACCTTTTTTTTCAAACTGTAGAAGTTTTTTCTCATAATAGAGCATCCTTATTCTCATGTTGAGATCATACCAAAAGTTCAAACAAAGCCAGCGTTGTGCAGATCCAGACAGATGTGCCAAAAAATTTGTTCGGTCATGCCCACACAGGTGACCTAAACCGCCAGAACTTTCAAGTCATTAATTCTTAATATCATCATTAATAGTAATTATGATATTATGTATTTATCATGTCAGCCATGTGTATCTTTGTTCACTATTTTGTGCATACTTATACAAACTCGCAGCTTTGTTTTAGTATTTGCACGTTTACAGTTGAAAGCCAAATTTCTGAGCCTGCAATTAATAACAAGGACTTCATGTTACAAAAAGAGGGACCCACAAAGTGTGGGATTTAGCCTCGAAGGAGATGTATTCAAAGTTAAGAAAACCAGTTCAGCTTTGATTTCTTGCTGTTCTGGTTTTCTTGGTTCACTGTGGTGCTCAAACTTTAAGAGTTCATACACTACCACTGGCAACAACCTCATGAAAAGAAGAAGCTGAACTGTTGGTCTAGTAAAGCAGATGTGCAGACTGAGTGTGGGTGTGTTTTACCTCACCGGCCTCAATGTGTTAAAACACAATGATACCACTGCTGTGATCTGAACACGTTGTACAGACCTCTTCTCTCTGTGTCATCTTGTTAAGAGAGGAAAATTTTTTAAAGTCTGTTTACAAATGTGTCTTTAAAGTTTTGTCGGACATGTAAGATCCTCTCTGCTGCTTTTGTATGTCATTGTGGAAACATTTTTTCTCTCGTACCCAAATTTGTGTGTTTGTGTATGTGAGCGTGCATGTGCGTGTGTGGGTTGTGCAGTTGCAGCTTTGGTATCTGCGTGACTTCTGTGGCATTATTTCACTTTTCCATTACACCCAGAGTTTCTACAAAAAAGACTTTGAAGTGCTTACACTTTTGACCTGCTTAAATGGCAAATTAAAAAAACGCTGTTCGAGTGACAGAGTCTAAATCATCCCACTGATTTTTCAAAGGTGTTTCAAATGGAACTTTTTCATCACCATATACTTTAGAAGAGTTTTACAGGAGATTAACCAGCATAGTGAATATGCAGCTAAGTATTGTGTCTCTTTTTAATTTTGTCAGATTACATAAATTAGTGTTTAATGGAAACTTTGACTGGTTTTATCTCTGTAAAAACCGGACAGTCCTTTTAAATACAATAGCAGAAGGTCCAGAAGGTCACTTATATTATGACTTCTGTACCTATTAAATACAATCATCCACAGATGTGGCCTAGTTGACTAACATGTTACCTTTGTAGCTGCTTGTCCTTTTAATAAATTTAGTGACAGCAACATGCATGGACATGTCAGAAGGAAGATTTGACCTCTGATAAAACAACAGCAGAAACAACAGGCCACAGACTGAAGCTTCTCAAAGAAAGACAAAATATTAAGGAGTGCTCTCAAACTGCCAGAAGTCTTCTGACTGACTCCCCCACTCCCCAGAGGAAAGAGAAGTCTTTATGTCATGCACAGATGTCCACCGTTGATAAACTTCCCTATTTCCTATCGAATTTGAGTTTATTAGCTAAAGGAGTCTTGATTTTTGTTGAGGAATCAGTCAGTCAGTAGCTCGGTGATTCACATGCCGGGCATCATCTTAATGGATACATTCTCCCTTTGTCCTTGTCTCTCCTCTCCTCTCCGCTCCTCTCAACTTCTTCCTCTTCTCTCCTCTTCTTCTTTGCTACTTCTTCCTCTCCTCTCCTCTTCCTCTCTCTTCTCTGGCCAGTGGAAATGTGCGTGTGTGCAGATCTTGAGTGCAGTCTGTAATTTTTGGCTGTGGTGGAGGGCCCCAGCTCAGCCTCAGGCTTCAGGGTTTGTTGCTCAGCCTCAATCACGTCACATGAAAAACTGCTGAGTGCGAGTGGGTCTCTGTCTTCCTGTGTGTGTGTGTGCGTGTGTGTTTTTGTGTGTGTGTGCGAGTGTGTGTGTGAGCATGCGTGTGTATTTGAACAGTAAATGAGAGATAGTTTATACTCCACATCTGCCTGTTTCTGCCTCTGTCTACTTCTGTTACTCTGTGCGTTTCCCCTCTTATTATCTGTCTGACTCTAGTATCTGTCTGTTTGTCTCTGTGTCTCAGTGATATGTGATAGTAGCAGTATGCCATATGTGGACCGGCTCAACCGTGTGTGCGGCTTCCTGGACATCGAGGAGAAGGAGAACAGCTGCCGCTTCCAGCGGCGATACTTTATCCTGGACACGCAGGGAAATGCTCTGCTGTGGTACATGGACAACCCTCAGGTACTCAAACACGCATGCCACACTCTTTGCACAAACAGTGAGAAGAAGTGAAATCAACCAATCAAAGGTGTGTAACCTTGGACTCTGAGCCAATGATGGGTCTGTGTGTTTGTGTTTGCATGCAGAACCTGCCCAGTGGAGCCAGCTTTGTTGGCAGCCTAAAACTAACCTACATCTCTAAGGTAAACAGAGCTCCTAATCGCCTGTGGCTTCACCTGGCTGTGGGTTGTAGTTACATAACGTCCCTAGAACTAAATACATACATACACTCATACATTACATGCTTGTCTGAGCAGTGTGGACACAAACAGGATACACACTGATCTGTAGTTGTAGTCAAGGGTCACATGCAAAGGCAGACTTAGTGAAGTTTTCCAGATGTCAGCGCTCACTGAGCTAACCAGAGATAATGACATCTGGCTAGAGTGCTGACAGCTCCTCCCTGGATACTCTGACTCAAAGAGACGTCAAAGATATGAAATGTTTATCCTATCCTCATCATGTCTCCTTCCCTTTCTTTCCTTTTGCTTCTCTCCTCTGTTCTCCTCTTCTCCTTTAGGTAAATGAAGCTACAGCAAAGCAAAAGCCCAAGACAGAGTTCTGCTTTGGTAAGATCATTTTCCAAGAAGCACTTAGTCAAGCTTGTGTTAGTCAATAGCTTTGATTTAATCAATCTAGTAACAGTGTACAATACAGGTATTGTGAATATTTAAAGTATCAGTGTTTATTTTTGCAGTCATCAATGCAGTGTCCCGAAGATACTTTCTCCAAGCTAATGATGTGACTGACATGAAAGAATGGGTGGCTGCTCTCAACAAGGCCAGCAAGATCACTGTAAGTGCACACACACACACACACACACATGCACACACGCACACTAAGGGGCTCAAACATATTATTATATTATATTATAACATGGTGTCTTGGCCGTAGCAGCAGTTATTGATAAGGTATTAGTTTTCGTCAGAGTGCAGGAAGCTGCCGTTTGTGGTGCAATTGTATCTTGAGGATACAAATGCCAGCACCAAAACCCCCTGATACACTCTTTGAATGAGGAAATTGTGCGTGAATGTGACCAATTACGCACACACATATGTCACTGTGGTGCAGGTGTTAAAAACTCCAGTTCGTGTTTGTCGCCATGGACGCTGAGTTTGCGCATTTGCATAGTGTTTGTGTGTGCGTTTGGTGGTGGGTTGACCATGGCTGTTAACTGAAAACATCCAGATGTTTTGTCTGACAGCAGACAACGGTGAGGAGTGTTTCTCTTTTTCTCTCACCTGCTCATAGACACAGGAAGCTGCACTGCTCACACTCTTTCACTTCCTCTTTGATTGGAGGGCTGCCTTTTCTAAGCGTCTTAGAGAAAATAAAGTGATATACAAGGCACGAGATGAATAAAACTAAGTGATGCATTTCACAAAGAAGTGTGAGTTTTCTTACCCTGAACAATTATGGACATTGTCGTAATGTAATGTATTTTATGAGGGTATTTTTAATGAACTTACACAGTAGACCTTTGGAAACCTTCAAAAAGATCATGTGCAGCTTTTTCCTTCAGATTTAAGTATGCATCCTTCAGTTGTCTGCTGTTTGGACTGCCCCTTTGTTCTTAAACCAACAGTAAAAAGTCCTCCCAAAAGAATGAAAAAGTCTCAGATTGCATAGGGCTACTTTGGGTTAAGTCACACACCCTTGTACAGAGGCTATAGTCCTCATGCATGCAGCCTAGGTTTAATTCCACAAGGGTTGATAAACTTTACAAGACTCTGTGTGTGCAAAAAGTACATATATCTTGAAGCAAATGTCAAGTTTTCGTAACTGCTAACCCTTCAGTAAACTGTACCCAATGCTCTCCACTTAATAATGTTACTGTAGTTAATCTATTCCTGTTATTCCTGTGGTGACAGGTTCCCAAGTCTGGCCCTGCCCCCTCAAGGTCCGATGTGACAGCAGTAATTAGTGACACTCAGGGAGGAAGGAAACAGCAGGCGTATAAGGCGGAAATCATCGGTGGAGTGGTGGTTCACACTCCAATCCAGGTAACACAAAGGGACATAAAATTAACCGTGAAGCATTCAGGAGCATCGTTTTTCTCTGTGACATTCAGAAAATCTGATTAAAGCTCGTCCTCACCCTCTTAAACCACTGCTTGTGTAATCTGCCATATTTTTAGGGTGTTGTTTTTATGACTGCGATAAGTGAGATGGTTGTGCTGCAATGTTTCAGAATGACAGTGAAGACACAGAGGGGAGAGAGAGGAAGGGCAGCAGGCCCGGCGTGCTGAGGTGTGGTTACTGTGTCAAACAGGGAAATGTGGTAAGTGCCCGTCACAGTATTACTGATTAACTGCACGTAGGAATAAAAAAAAAAAAGAGCCTCATGTGGAAACTGTAATGTGTTTCGTGTGTGTGTGTTTTAGAGAAAGAGCTGGAAGAGGAGGTTTTTTACCCTTGATGACAATGCAGTTAGTTATTACAAGTCTGAGTCGGTGAGGAGCCAAACTTTTTTGTTTTTTCTCTCTTTTGGTGTGACTGTGGTCTTTGTTTCTCCATGGCTAAACTGTGCCCGTGTTTTTCCCAGGATAAGGAGCCACTCCGTGCCATTCCGCTGAGAGACATTCAGAAGGTCCACGAATGTCTTGTTAAGTCAGGGTGAGTCTAGTATGAAGCACTGGGTCAAATTCTTCCACTTTCTCTCCAGCTAAGCTTCTCTTTGGCAACATACAAACAAGAAACTAACCCGAGGGTGTCAGTATTTAATGTCCAGATTTTCAAGATTTATGTTCATGCTAGAAAAAGTTTCTTTGTTCTTTTGACCTTAGATTATGTTGAATTATTTTGACCATTTGACCTAGAAATTTATATGAATTTAATGATAATATGGCATTAAGCTTTCAGATTCTGTGTATCATCTTTATTTTTTGATATTTCAATTTTTATTGTTTTCCTCATTTATTCTAAAGACACTGAACTCTTGGAGCTAGTTTTTCAGCATTTTTTAGTAAAAAGGACAACTTTTTTAATTCCAAAATATTTTTAGTGAAAAATTACAATAAGATATTTCCAATTGCTGGAATACAATTATCTTTTTCTTATTTTTTTATACATACAGTATATGCACATGTAAACAGTCACATATACACATACATAAATGAAACACTGATAAAATAGTAGAGGAAAAATAATGACAGTGCAGTCGATAAAAAACAAAAAAAAAAGAAAAGAAAAACAAAATAGTGAACAGCCCCCTACCCATGCCCCAACTCAGTTCATCACAACCAACACACATGTTATTGGTCATTTGTGCAATATGAAATACACCACAGTAATAGGCAGAAATTCAATCAGGTAGTACCTCTAATTTAGTGAAGTAGGAAGAAAAGGGTTGCCATTTGTGAACAAATTTGACTGTATGTTCAATTTTCTCTAGCTTTAAAAAAAACATGATGTCTTTAAGCCACCAGGAAATAGAAGGATATTTAACAGACTTCCAGTGTAACAATAATAAACATCTTGCAAGTAAGGATGTGAAAGCTATAATATCCTTTTGTGTAGAGTTGAGTGCAAGTGAGGGGTTAGGAATCCAAATATAGCAATCGGAGGGCAAGGTTTGAGATTTACACCAAGAACAGTCAACATACAGAAATCTCTCAGACCAGGGCAAAGAAAAAACATGTGACTGAGGTGACAAGGAGAACCATGGCATTTATCACATTTGTCTTCCACTTCCGGATGTAGTACAGACAGTCTAGACTTGGAGAAATGCACCCTGTGTAAGACCTAAAATTGAATAAGTCTAAGACATGCACAAGAGGTGGTAGATTTTACCCTCTCTATGGCTTGTTCCCAGGACTCCTCATGTATTTGTATTCCCAGTTCCCAGTCATATTGTACAACTTTGAAGTGATTCCTCTATGATAAGGATTAAATGATAACATTGTTTCCCATTGCTGTTCTGGCAGTAAAGAGGGGAGATAAGGGAAACGCTAAGTGACAAAACTGCGAGTTTGAAAATAGCGAAATAGTTGACTAACAGGGAGGCCGTAGTGAGACGACAAGTTGGCAAAGCTATCAGTAAAAAGGACAACTTAACATTACTATACAACTTGTTTCTGTGTAAGTATTGGAAACTTACACAGAAACTGCAGTTTTGAGCCCCAGCATTTCTCAGTTGCATTTTTGCAGTTCATGTGAACAAAGAGGTAGTCTTGATTTTAAAAGTTTGCGTGATATTTGCATGAATATTAGGGGTGGGAATCGCTAGTGGCCTCACGATACACTATCGTCACAATACTTACGATATTATTCCAATTTGTAACATTTTGCAGTACACTTAATATTGCGATTTATACAATTTTTTTTAAAAGTGTTTAGCTAATTCAGCATTCCTCTTTCCTATTTGTTTGTCTTATTTACGTTGTATTTTAGTTTCATGTAGCACATCTTGCTAACCTCATATATATTTGTTGTAATAACTTTCTCCTGCTCTATAATGTCACCTCTGCCAACCTCACTGGACAAACAGTTGATTTTATTTTTCCTTTATCATAGATTTGACTTCATATAAGCAATTAATTTGAAAAATCGATACTTGGTAAATGAGACAATACAATATATCACCAGACAAAATATCACGATACTATGCTGTATCGATTTTTTCTCCCAACCCTAATGATTATCATACATACGGTACATACATACATCAGCATTTTTCTGTTTAATTTTATAGGTTGCAAGTACATGAATCCAGATATGCTCTTCAAATGAAACAACTGATATTTATGTATGTGTAGTTAAATGAAATTAAATTTGTAGCTTCTGTTTAACCCAGCATGATTATTACCACTCTGTGTCCATCAGGGATCTCCTGCTGAGAGACAACCTGTTTGAGATCATCACCAGCTCCAGAATCTTCTACATTCAGGTAAAAACACTGTTGAACTAACCGGTCCAGGTCTAAGGAACATGAACCAAACTGGCTGAAGAGACTTAATAACTGATTATTTTGTTGGTCAGAGCAGAGCCAGTTCATGTTCCCAGCTGTTTATATACAGATGTTTCCCTCTGAATGCTCTGCTGCTGATGTGTGGCACAAACATGAAAAGTTTGTTTTTTGGTGAAACATGAGCAGCCATCTGTTACCATAACAACAACAACAACATCCTGCCCACCAGTCACCTGGGAGCACAGCTGACTGAGATGTTAAAGGTTTGATTTGATGGAAAATAATAGGAGAGTGAAAAAAAAGAGAGGGAGAGAGAGAAACTTCAAGCTTGAAACCTTTGGATGAAAGAAAGAAAGCCCAGCTGTTATTACAGAAACTGAAACAAAAAAAAAATCGATAAAATGAAATGAAACTGAGACTTATATCACAGCCCACACCAAGGAGATGTTGATCTGAAGTTGTATTTCTATCAACAGCTCATATGATAGTATTTTTAGCTGATTGCAACATGTTCTTGTGGTTCTTTCATCAAACCTTTAAATCATTTGAGAAAAAGAAATCACAAATGCAGTCACTGTGGAGCACCTGCAGCCTCTCAGTTTCTAACCTTATGACCCATGCAGTGATCTGAGTGGGTCTAGATGCTTTCATAGTAAAACTCTGTGCTGATTGGCTGAGGGGGTTGCAGGGCAGTCTAGACAAAGGAAGCAGGGGAAGAAAAACAGCCCAAAAAAAGAAAAAGCATGGTGAGTCCTCCAGGAGAACCCGTGCCGGTACACTGCACATGTGATCTAAAATCTATCCCTGAATATGAGGAAGCAGCTGTTGGAGTGCTGCAGCTGTGGTAACAACAGCTCTGAGGTTAAAACTGCTGTTCGAGGTGTTAGCACAAATGCGCAAATTAGCACCAGCTGCGGAAGTACATCGTCAAAAATATAAGTAACCTATGTTTTCTGTTGTAGATGTGTATATTATTGATTATATTGATTTATCTTGACAGGTTGAGTTGCTCTAACTGAAATAAGAGGACTAACGCTGCGTTCAAGTTACTCTGGAAGTCAGAAGTCTGAGCTGGGAATGACGTCACACCCAAGTTACCAGCGTTTCAGTTACCAAGTTGGAAAAAAGAGGCGGAAACAAGATGGCTACATCTACGAAAGTTATTTTAGTGCTTGCGGGTATAAGCAAGGACTTTCGTAGATGTAGCCATCTTGTTTCCGCCTCTTTTTTCCAACTTGGTAACTGAAACACTGGTAACTTGGGTGTGACGTCATTCCCAGCTCAGACTTCTGACTTCTGAGGTAACTCGAATGCAGCATAAGCTACATTAAATCTTGACTACATAGATTATACTTGATGGCAGAGTGCATTTGTATCAGTCTTTCTATAATATTTGTTGATTGTTGAAGAATATTTATGACAAACTCCCACCGCTTAACTAAAAGTTGTCTTTTGGTAATAATTCTTCATAGACGGACTCTCCAGAGGAGATGCATGGCTGGATCAGGGATGTTGAGACGAAGATCCAGGACTTCAGAGGTCCTCCTAAGGTAAATCTAAACTCTAGTCGTGATAGCACAGAAAAAGCAAAAACGATTGACCAAATTATCTCTTCTCACAATTTTTATGTGAAGAACGGAAATTCTGATGGTTTCTCTGCCTAATTTCAGGGTTTTTCATTCAAACGGGCGTCCTCGCTCTATCGAAGTCACAACTCCTCATCATCCCGAGGTCATCATGGAGACGAAACAAGATCCAGACCTCCTCTGGTAAAGTCCTGCTCAGTGAATCCAGGCTGGCAGCCCTGGATGCCGGTTCCACCATGTGAGCCTTCAATCCCGGATGTAGACGATGAAGACAGCCCCTTCAGCTCTGTGCCCACTTTACCTTCTCTCTCATCCTCCTCCACCTCTTCCTCCACCTCGTCCTCTTCCAACTCACTCTCCACCCCAGCCCCTTGCCCCAGCGTGCCTCCTGGTGCTCCCACCAGTGGACTGGGGATCCTCACAGCATCAGGGGATGCGGCTTGTGGGCGCAGAAGGCACCGCTCACAGCCCCAGCCTCACAGCGGCTGCAACTTCCCCTTTAGCCTGGATGATGACGGCATCCGCACCACTGATGTCTAATCCGATGAAGTCTTAAGTGTTGGTACGTACCTGCTTTGAAATGACTGTGACTGGTTATGCTAGTATTCCCTGCAAATGAAGTGTCACCATTACCGCCTGCCAAGAGGCCATGATGTGAGATTGGGGCCCTCTGCTGGTCATGAAGCCGTTCTGCAGACGAAGGATGCACCCAGCTGAAGGAGGACCAAGAAAGGGTGCAGTGTATGTTGCTCACAGGACTGTGAAGAAATGTAATGGAGTGTTTTTAAGTGCAACTTCCTCTGAAAACTTGAATAACCTTGTTGTTAATTGTCCCTGCATACAAATTATGGCACATGCTTTTAATCTATTGCACTTGGCTCCAGCTGGAGATGTTACCCTGCCATAAAAAAAAAGAAAAAAACATTTACCTACATCTGTTTTACAGAATTTACAAAGTGTTTTTAGAGATTTTTACTCATTAGCTTCCACTATTTTTATACTCAAGCTTATGTCCATTTAGGTCAATTCAGTTTCTCTGGAGCTCAGCAGTTTCACCCCCTTTTATCTGAAACGCATTATTTGAAAAGTTACACATCAGTTTCCTCTTATCAAAAATTAACAAGTGTTTTATTATTAGGATGCAATCAGGTATCTGGGGGGACAGTGTTGGTCTCATACTAAAAAAGGTACACAGTCATTTCTGCTGTCAACAGGCTCCTCTTTTGTCGCAGAAAGAGTGCAGAGTCAGCAGCAGCTTTTATGTTTGAGCTTTTATTAATTGCCTGAAGATCAATCGTAAGTAAACTGTGACTTCTCTTAGCTTCCAACAAGGTACCACAATAATACTGCAGTGTTTGTAGTTGGTACTTTTTTTTATTAGAATGTACTGCATACAGTAAAGTACAGCTGATCAGCTGGTTGACAGCTTTGTTAATGTGATTTTCTTCTTGCAGCATTACTTGGGGAAAATGTGCCACTACTTATGGACATTTAAATGTAATTCGACACTTTGCTTTTCTCCTTTTCTCCCAGCAGACATTACAGCTCCCGCTGATTTGATACTGGAGATACTTTGTGTTGTTACATCAGTAGTCTCCTCTCAGGTGCACCTCAAGGCTTTATTGATGTGGTACCATGTTTATTTCTGTTTCCTAAAGCTGTGCGCACTCTTCTGTCTGCAAACAATGTTAAAGTCCCTCTCTTGTACATTAAATGCTGCTTTTTATGTGTGTGGTTTGAGCTTTTTTTTAGTCTTTACTTTTGTCTCAGTTTGATTTTTAAACCTGCCATCAAGAGCTCTGTTGTTTCTCATTGCAATCGGATTAACTCCATACCAAAAAAGTTCTCCTTGGAGGATGCAAAATTAACATTTTCAAGTTTTATTTCTCTTTATTCTTCAAGTGGAAGTGTCCATCTGTAAGGCCTTCGGGGGTCAGGGCTAACATGTTTGACCTTAAACACTGTCACCTTTTAAGTGCGCACATCATGCAGACACACAGATGCACACATACACATGCCAATCTTGTACCCAGAGGTTGTGAAAATTGAAGCGTTTCACACCTCCAGTGCAAAGGTCCATTAGGTAAAATGCCGGAAACTCTGTCCTGACCCCGGTCCACTTCGCTCTCTGCCCTGCAGTGCAGTTGAAGCGGCGTGACCGAAATGTCTCTGCTGAACGCTTTAAATTGTGTTGGTAGGTAGAAGGGCCCTGAGTGCCTGTGAAATGTCAGCTGTGTTGAAATGAGTTTTCAGTCTGTCAAAGACAGAGCTCCTCCAGGTACTGAGAGAAATCCAAGCAGAAACAGTGTCGGGAGGGGCAGTGATGAAACTTTGGATAGTTTGAGGACATAAGAACAATAATGGTAATAGTGACAAATTTTTGTGACCTTTAAGAATATTCACGTAACTATTCCAAAAGCAGATCTTATCAAGTATGCTGAAAATATCAGTTAAAATAAAATAACATAATTGACTTACAAAGGAAAAAACATTCAAAAAGTCAGAAATAGAGATGGAAACTTTTCCTTCATGGTGTACATCTAATTATCCTCCACAGACACACTCACATCTTTGAGTGGTAAATAATTCAAAGGTCTAACCTTTAAAACGTTAGATCCTAAAATTGGACCAAGTCTCATTTGTTTGTCACATTCTGCTACTCACCACAAGGCTACATGCGCAAGCCTTTTTTGATACACATTAAATTATTTCCCCCAGGTCTCAGACTTTTAAAATGTTATTTGCAGATGACACAATAAGCATTGAGATGTAGACACTTCCATTGACGTTTCTGTGAACAGTATTAGCTGGTTTTCAGACAGAATGAAATGATTGTTGAATACGCTTAACTTTTTAGATTTTTTTTGTTTACATCACATAACTTAATTTACACAAGTATTGTTAAGTTCAAGAAATCCTTTATTATTGAAAAATATCTTTAAAAACCCATCATAAACCTGAGCAGTAGATAAAAGTTATGATAATGTTGCCTGAGATCATAATTCATGTTCCCCTGGCATTTTGCTGAACTAGAGCTTCTTGTGGGAAACCTCGTTTCAAGGCCTTAACCATATAAACAGCCCCACAGAAGTGGTAGTCATGGCAGAACCAAGAAACTCTGGGATAGCTGCTATGCAGTATTTGAGTTGTGGAAAAAGAAAATCAGGGGGGATGGTGGATTTTATTGTTTGGGACAGATATTTTGTGCTGATGACAGTGCACATGGTGGGAAACCAACTGTGTACCCATTTTATTGTTACTAAAGCACAAAGATAATTATTATATTACATAATTCCTCAGGTTGAGCTGTCCATGTCGCTCACTGATGTCATTAAAAAAAAACAACTCACTTGGGGTATTTTACAAAATATGTGCAATTCCCCCTGTTGTGGGGTTCTTGCTCAATCACAATATAGTGGAAAAACACAAGCGTAGTGGCAAACAAGGTGATGGTGCAGGGCAAAAATATTTACAAAAGAGCGATGGTCAAATACTATTTACAAAATGTATAAGGCAAAAAGAAAAATGCCAACCAGGCAGGAGTTCCACTATAACTCAAGATTCTCACTCGAGAGAAAAAAAAAACAGAGACACAGCAGCACTACAAAAGTCAGTTTAGTATTTAACTTCCATACAACAAACTCCAGTCTCGGAGGAAGAAAGGCCCAGGAAACCCTATTTTAAACCCCCCTAGCCCCTCCCAGTGGGCGTTATCAATTTCATAAGTTTGGAAAAAAAAACTCATTTATTCACATTTAAACCATTTTTTACCTTCAGACCTTTTTCTGTAAGTTTTTACACAAATCAGTGGAGCATTAACTTTTAGGGATTCATGGCAATCAAAAAGGGAATTATTTTTTCTTGCATCATGTGACCACTTTGACCCGCCATACCTATCTATTTTACACCCGGAAATCACGTGCTCTGTTTCCTCATTTGAAAACATGAGCCGGCATTATGGCGGGAATGGACGCAGGTAAGTGGGGAGACGAATGTCTTTGTGAATGAATGTTTAAGTTAACCGATAGAGCTCCAAGTGTGTAACCTTGGTTACCCTATCCAACAGAGAAGAGAGAAGGAAAAACAGCGCTCTTCAGTGGGTAATTGGCGACACTGAAGGTGGAGGAAATGTTTGGCGTGTATGCAGGTGTGTATGTATGTGAGTGTGTGTGGCTCCAGCTGCCCCCAGTCAGTGAGGACGCCGCTCCTTCACACCCACTAAACGTTGAAATCGTGGTAATATTTCTAATGTTAAAAGAGTAGAAATATTTCCACATTCATTGACAAAAATGGCTCAAGGGGTGTAAAGTTTGGATGACCGTTTAAGAAGGGGGGATGATTTTGACCATTTTCATTTCAGGGGGAGTTCCTAATCTTGGTTAAATTCAACCCCACAGAGTCCAAACATTTCTTTCTCTTTACATATGTATGACTTTTCACAGTTACACTCAGATTTATAGATAAATGTCCACATGTAGCTACTGCCTTAATAGTATCATGTTGATGATTTTGTAATTATTGTCTCACTTCCCTCTTTTTTAAAGCCATAACACATATAATCTGAGTTAACTCAGTATGCACATGTGAGGGTTTTTAAAGTGACTACAAACAATACATTATGCTTGTACCATAGATGGGGGGCCACTGAGGTTAGATTTTTCAGACAACCAACCCTGCCCTTTAAGTGGAGATTTTCTGAAACTTCTCTGAAAAACATGTGAATGGAAAGATGAATTTTGAAGTTTTTAAATCAAAATACTATGGTCTACAAATCTAGTAACACGCTTCAAGCCTTCCAGGTCTGAGTTTTGAACACAATGCAAAGGTCATATAGCACTTCAGTTTGACGCCTGTGAATGACAGCAGCTCTGAGGGCAGACACACAGAGCGCCACTAAATGTTAATATTCCCACATGGATGACTCTCGGATGCCCTCACACTCTGCTGACTTTACATGTTGTTCCTATATAAAGTCTCTGTAGCTGGATGGTTGGACTTTGTTGTTCAAACTCAGAAAAACCAATATGATGAAGACCATGGTGTGTGCGTTTCTTACGTGAGCCTCTTCATTGCTTTAGCCTGCTTTTCACGGTCTTGTCTTTTTTCCTGTGTGCAGAGTAAGGCCACTAGGGGGAGCTACAAGACCCCCACACTTCACTCAGAACTCAGCCTATGTGGGGAGCCTGAACATGCAGCTGTGGATGGAGTCACTTGAAAACCAGTTTCGTATATTCATAAAGGTTTTAACGCCTCTGAGTATCAAACACAGAGTAAAAAAAGGACAATACGGAGGAAAACATCCGTCTCTGCATTACAAGACGTTTCCTGTGTTTGAGTTGGACTCTCACGTGCCTCCTATGAGTTCCCTTCAAAATAAAAGTCACGACTAATTCAATCCAGAGCTGAAAAATGACGACGAAGCAGCATGGACACACAAGTGAGCAATTCGAGGCAGTAAATCGACTTCATTTCAAGAGATTAAGATTGTATTTTTTTTAAACGAAACATTGGTATTTTGCACTTGATGTGAGACAAAAAGGATAAATATTTAAATGTATAAGAGCAGATAAATGGTCAAAACAGACGGTAAATAGGCCACCTGGTTTGTCATAAGCGTTTAGAAAAATAAAGGCCTCACATTCATGCAGGAATATACTAACACATCATATAAGCCCTATGTCTGCACGATAGATAGATAGATAGATAGATAGATAGATAGATAGATAGATAGATTATTTGAGAGATTGATTGATTGAAGTTTATTTTGAACATAAAAAATAACAAAAAAGTAAAGAATACAATAACAAATGACAAAAAGTTATTCCAGTTCAAAAAGAAGTGGGTAGATAGATAGATAGATAGATAGATAGATAGATAGATAGATAGATAGATAGAAAGATAGACAGATAGATAGATAGATAGATAGATAGATAGATAGATGTGACCATCTCTGAGCTTCACCGTGAAACTTAAATGTAAAGGAAAGACAAGTTGCATCTCAAACTTCCTTTTTTAAAGACAGCAAGTTACAAATGTTTCAATGTTGATATTGTAAGCATAAAACTCTTATTTTTTTAATGACTCTGAGCACCTAATTTAGTTTTAAATGTTGAGATTTTCTTTAGGCTGCTGTGTGATTTGTAGAGAAAGGATCAGACTCCACTTTCACACCACGTCTGTCTGTAAGCAGGAACATGACATTTAACTAAGCCTGTGCACAGAGTACCGTTTCCCTGACATGTGTAATATGAAGTCATAATAATGTGGACCAGGTTTTTCCCTCATCTGGCCTCTGAGGCCCGGTCTGGACCACTGCCAGCCCCCTTACCCCACCTCTGTTCCCACATCAGACCACCTTACAAACTGGAGGCTGTGTTGGGGGGGGGGTTGGAATGTATTTTGCCCTGTGTGATGTGATTGTTTGCAGAGGAATGGGTTGACCTTGCCCTCTTGTGCCACACACACGCACACCAGCCCCGGCTGAGCTGGAGGTGTGTGAGACAGACCTGCTGAGTGCAGGGGGTCTGGGACCCCCGTCACCACTTCCTCTAGACAGAGAACAGAGGGCCCAGTCAGCTGAAACCAGGATGGGACAATAATGAGGCAGCTAGCATCCACCACCTTCACCTCCACCTTCACCACCACCTCCACCAGCAGCAGCAGCAGCAGCAACTCACTCCAGGTAGGACTGTTTTCACCTTTTTTTCTGCATACACAAACAAAGAGTGAGAGATAAAGCACAGAGGTAGAAACAAAAAAATATGACATCAGGAAAAATGCTCAAAATTTAAAGTTTTGAATGTTCTTTATTGAGACTTAAAGTAACCAAGTGAAGGCAAAAGAATAAACAATAACTCTTTAATAACTTTGAGTAATTATGTTAGGATCTAATGTTAAAAAAATATTACTTCATTTTTGGACAGATGAGTTTCATTTGATTTCTGCCATTAAACTGAGTTTCTATCTAGAAAGGTTTAAAAATATTTGGATTTTTTTCCCCCAACTTCCCTTTTTTTTCAGATTTTTTTTTTGAAATATATTTTTTATTTTGTACATTTTTGTTTTTCACCCCCAAACAATACAATGATGGTCTGTCATTGAAATTCGTTTTTTTCCTCCCAAAATTTAATGAGTTCAACTCTGCCAAATCATTTCAAAGTTTACCAAAATCTGTAAATATACTGTCAGAAAGGAAACACCAATGACTGGAAACCTCTCAATTTAATTAATTCGCCTATAAGAAATGAACGTAGGAAGACAAATCGATACAACGAAAACAGTAATTTTAATACATTTTATGAAATAAATCTAGTCACGTATATGACAACCTAATCACGTACTACTCTGTTGTTTTTCGATCGTAATTGTAGAAAGACTTTGCTGAAATTATCGATTTGATGAAGCAGAAATTTTCGGAGTAATAATCATAATTTTCACGACAATTTTTTACAAATAATTTGACGGATTTCAACAGTCAAACTTTTCGGTTTTTAAGAGTTCAGGGTCCCTGTCTGTGGTAAAATACTGACGACTGAACAGAATACGAACATTCAGGCTTCATGTAAACTAACACACGTTCATTTAGGTTAAGGAACATAATGTTAGATATTAGTAGAGGTTAATGGAAACAGACTGATTTACTGTACCTTTCTTAAATTAAAACTATTTCAAACAACTTTTTTCTAAGATTGAAAAAAAAAGTATTTCGATTCCCACTTCCTTACTTTTTATTCTTTACAGTTTCTCCAAGACATTTTCCCGCGTACTTTAGTTGTAGCTCGGTAATAGCTTTTTAATTCTGGGCACCACAAATAAAACGGATGTGATAAATCAAATCCAGAATAAGATCCAGTTAAAGGTCTGCTAAATTCTGTACAATTGTGTCTTTTTAGTAAATAGTTTAGTCAAGTTTCAGGGGTTTGAAGAAGCACACAGGGTCCATCTTATTCTTTGGTGCTCACGGTCTTCTGTATAGTAAAAATATGAGATCCCCTCTCCACAAAAAAAAAAGAAGAAAAAGAAAACCACAGTAAAAAAAGATTTGTTTTCTAATTATTTGTTGTTCTGTGAAGATGTAATAAGAAATCCAAGGGCACCGTCTTTGAGCTTTGAGCAGGCACAGCCAAAATGTCTGTCTGTCTAGGACTAAATAAGCTTATTAGAGGGACATCCGAGCAAACTCTATATCCTACACACACACACACACACACACACACACACACACACACACACACACACACACACACACACACACACACACGCGGCACAGATCCAGACTCACTGCAGGAAACGCTTGTCGCGCTCTGCGGGACAGACTGAGCGTCGAGCTGCTGCGGGTTTTTACTCCAGAGGAATTGAGTGTTCAGACACGGTAAGAGCTGAGGAGATTGATGCTTGGTGCACAAAGGTAGGCAGAGCACATGCGCAATCATACAAGACTTCTGCAGACCACATAATATTACTTTATCTTCACATATGCTCGTTTTGTGTGATGATGTCTTCAAGTTTAATAGCTCAAAACGAGATTCAGGTCTCCTTCTGTTGAGGGATATGATCATGCTTTGGTTAATTAATGCTGCATCACTCTGCCTGCACACACACACACTGTATATTTGAATAATTAAGAGTCGAACCCGTATGTTATGCACATACAGCAGAAATCTGCTCACTAACACACTGATCCGGCGCGTTGGCCCCTCGGTGACCCCCTCAACTTTCAACTCTGAATGCCTCCGGTCATTGGGATCTCAGTAATCCAGTCAAAGTGACTCTGCTGCTGCTGCATGCTATAGGCAAATCTATGAAGTGTGTGTTTGTGTTTGTGTGCGTGTTACGTAAGTAGAGGCCTGCGTTGTTTTGCATTTTAGGAATTAGGTCTACGCAAGTCAAATCACCATCACGTCTTCGCTTTTTTCTTAGCAGCATCCATGATGGGCGCCCGGAAACAAAATAATCTCACCAATTATCATCAGAACTCTTCTTTTGCGGGGCTGGAGATTTTAGCTCCAAAATATGAGGAAAAAACATTCCCCTTTCCTTAGTTACTCCCTCGACCTATCCAGATGTTGAATCCATGCGTGCGTAAAATATCCTTATTTACTCTAAGTTTCAGCGGTCAATCAGGACAGTCACAAATACACTACAGCTGCATTTATATATCCTAAAAACTGTGAATCATTGTGGTGTTTATGCGTGCATGTACGTGGGATTAAAACTAATTCAAATGGCTCTCATGGAACAAAAAATATCGTGAAAGTGGAATAAATGGTTTTGTATAAATCATCCTAGACTGAGTGCGTTTGCGTGAGCGTAAGTCCGTTATTGCTCGTCCGTAGTCGCACATATGTGTCTGTGAATGAGCGTTTGTGTGTAATAGAGTGTGTATGTGTGTCTGTGTGTGTGCGCGCGTGCGTGCGATTGGCCAGTGTCACAGCCGCGGTTTGGGCAGCAGCAGACACGGCTGCTCGTTGCAGACCTATGAGAGCGCAGTGATGGCAGGAGGGGGAGGGCGCAGAGTCTAAGGCGGACTTGACTCCATTTGTAATGAAGGATCTGATGAGCGGGGTTCAGATCAGGGCTGCCACCAAGTCCATGAGGCCAATAAGGAGAGGAGCGATATAGAACGAAGGAGAAATTACCTCCGCTTTGAACGGATCTCGTGTCGGGAGCCAGCGGAGCGCACCAGACGCGGTCTGTACGCGCAGGGGGGGCAACGGACAACAACAGACAACAACAAGAGCGGGGAAACAACTCGGTGATTTCTTTCTCCAGAAAGATCCGCACAATGGTGGATTTCTGAGAACCACGCCGCTGTAACAGAGGAGCTGGATTTTTGGACTCAGGGGAAATCAAAGCGAGCAAGAAACAAAAAACGCACGCAGGCTGCAGAGCGCGCAGGAGCAGGATGAGCGTGTTTTGTGCGTGGAGGTCAGAGCAGTGCGTTTGAGGTAAAGGCCCCGGAGGGAGCCCATCCAAAATATACACTCACACGCACAACACAACACAGACACTGGCACCAGTTAGCTCGTTGGATGTCACAAATCTGCACTTTTAAAAAGGCTGCTTCAATTTTTAAGTAGTGTACAAGTTGTTGTTGAGTTCAGACGCTGTAACACTTTATGCTTCAGCTCGAGATTAAAACTCCACTTATTAATATTAATGTGGATCCATTACACTTGGACATTTGGTTTGTCAGCAGCAGATTACAGGGACATACACGCAGAAAAAAAAGAGCTAAAGGCTACTACATATAAATGAATGTGAAAGTTCAAGTTCGTACCCTTTTATTAGTATCAATAAAATTTTCAATTAGTATCAATATCCTGATGGAGGTCTATTTGGTACCCTGTGTGTTTATGTGAATGCCACATAAGTCATTTTACGCAATCGTTTAAAGGGGAGAATTTAGGCTATTTTTATGTAGACCTACTAAATTGTTCATAATCGATCATCATTTAATCAAAATGTCAAATACAATGCACAGTGCATTTCAGGCAATGGACAGTAGGTTCGTAAAATGGACGCTGGAATTAAGGCAAAGGCAAGCAGCGTCTCTCTTAAAATTCTTTCCCATTTCTCTGTCTTGCAACATATATTTGTGAAGTAGTAGACTATGTTAAAATAATAAAAAGTGTGTTTCTTTCGTGGCCATAATCTTGATCCAAGTAGACTGGTTTATATCCCTGAAAAAAAATGAAGCTCGCTCTTTTAAATGTCTTTAAATGTCTTGTCTAATGTGTAATGTTTAAGGGTCCAGCATGCCCACTAATCCATCTTTGTGTTTCTGTGTGCCAGTGGGAGATGGCTAACGGGGGAGATCAGTTCGGCCTCGCAGATCGCCCGGACTCGGACTGCATGGATTCCCCTAAAGACACCAAACAGGAAAAACCGAGCTACACCCTGAACGCACCATCTTCGCCCCAGACAGCCTCCAGTCAGCAGGTATAGCCCACCTGAGCCAAGATCAGCATGTGGCCTAAATGATGATCAACAGTTACTGATTTACTGCTGTAGGAGTAACTGTGTTTCGTGCATTAAAAATAAATGTAGAGGGCTACTTAAGGCCTAAGCGCATTGTGTTATCAAACAATTACTCTGCAGTTTTACTAAAATTAATCCAACAAAAATAGATGAAATCAAGAGGAAATCAGACATGACAATTACAGACATGTTACCCTGCTTTACTTCAGTCTCTGCTCTGTTTCTGATCTGCTGCAGGGGATGGAAGGCATCAAAGTTTTCCTTCATGACAGAGATCTTTGGACCAAGTTTGATGAAGTGGGCACTGAGATGATCATAACTAAAGCTGGCAGGTATGAGGCTTTATCTTTTGTCTGCTTTAGCCTTTATGGCACTATATGGATTTATCAACTATTCCTCTCCCCTATATGAGATGAACTACAATCTGTATGTTTATAGGCCTCTATTGGACTGTTTTGTCTCTTCCGCGTGTTTTTCTTGTAATTCAAGTATATCTGAGTAGAAAGGGGGATACTTATCGTTTCCCCCCTTATTTCCATGCAGGAGGATGTTCCCAAGTTACAAGGTAAAGGTCACAGGACTTAACCCAAAAACCAAGTACATCCTTCTGATGGACATCGTGCCCGGGGATGACCACCGCTACAAGTTTGCTGACAACAAATGGTTCGTATAAACCCACATCAACTTTTACGCAAAATAACGAACCTAGATTAGCCTACCATAAAATAAAATAAAAAATCACATCCCTATTTTCCACATCCTTTAAAAATCTGGGGAATAAAGGGGACATAATCCCAACCACGCTGTTTAGATTTTTTTCTACATTAGAAATCTCATCTGCTGACCTTTGTCACACTCTATGTAAACCGTGCTGGTGTGGGTTCACAATCCCCTCACTGCCTCCGCGCGGTGTTAAGACCGGGTCAGGCTCACACAGACCGGGATGGCCTAGTTCCCCGTGTTTGCCCTCTTGCCTGCCCGGCTGTAAAACCAAAGTAAGGAGGGTTCACTGTGCGGACAGGCGACAGAGACCGGATTAAAGTCTCCTATTGAACTTGTGTTGTGCAGCCGGGGAATCATCCGCAAAACAAAGGCGACTGGGGGATTTAACGCGAAATGGATCAATACTTTGTTTCTGTCTAGCACGTATTTAATAGACTACAATTAAGAGCCAGAGTCACTCCACTTTAAGAGTTTAGACGGTGATTAGCATATCTATATGAAAGGAAAATATAGGAAATATCATGCCACTTATTTAGCAGAATTAGGCCTACTTTTATGATGATTTTTTCTTGTTCCTGAAAGAGTAGGTTATTTTTCCATTTAAACCGAAAACGATTAGGCCTTAAGGCTATTATTAATATTTTTAGGCCTTTATTTTTCAGAGCTCGGTCATGTTTTATAGTAGTCCTCATTGATTTTCATTTATGTATCAGTTATTTTACTACTAGGCTGTTTAGAAAGGTCTGCTGCAAACACAAAAAAGATCCCACCTGTAACATTTTAAATTAAAAATTAATGCACCCTGAACTAAAGCTCCAACAAGTGACTGGCCCAGCTTCTGGAGTCATTTTCTTCACTGTAGCAAAAAATAAAAATAAAAGTAAAAATCAGTGTAAAGCAGCAAAGCAAGGTGCACTTTGTGTCTAATTAAAACACCAGCTATAGGCCTCCTGCGCCACGGGGCTCCGGTCAAAGCAGAGCAGACGAACCGCTGTGACCGACTGACTGTCAATGTCAATGTCGCTCTGTCTCTCTCTCTCTCTCTCTCTCTCTCTCTCCACCGTATACAGGTCGGTAACGGGAAAGGCGGAGCCAGCCATGCCCGGAAGGCTCTACGTTCACCCGGACTCTCCGGCCACCGGGGCACACTGGAGCCGCCAACTTGTCTCTTTTCAGAAGCTCAAACTCACCAACAACCACCTAGACCCTTTCGGACATGTGAGTCTGTGTTGTAAACGTGTGCTGACGAAAAAAAAAAACGAAGACGAAAGTAACATATGTTGAATTTCAAAATGCACACTGGCCCTGATACAGCAGGTTAATGGTTAGTCTCTGTAAAAATACATTTTATTTAAATCCCAAACAAACCCGAGTGGAAATGGTCCACCGGCCATCTCAAACTGCCATTCTGTGCCTTTAAAATAATCAACATTGAGTGATGTTTTAAATGGAAAAAGAGTAATTACACAAACTACAGCCGCAGGTCCAAGCAGGCAGAGGCAGCACGTGCAGCTCTCTCTCGTGGATGTAACTCAGCGGACATCACAACACTGCACAAATCACCACGAGGGCACAGCCACCGCTCGTTACTGCCATTGTTTTATTTTTTTCATTCAGTATAAACCTCTACAGTATCCTCGTACAGTCTACACCTTCATGTTTACAGTATCCAGCACGAGCTGTTGTTGGGCACGTGTTATTAAGCGCGAGCGTAATGGTGCCCAGAGGTCGCGCGCACTAACAAACTAAACGTTAGTGTCATCTTTCATACTTGTTGAATTGGACGTAATGATTTCAGTGACGCTAAAATCCATTAGCTAATGCATGTCAACGGCGGACACGTCAATGTGATTAAAGTGAGCCCCTTTAAATAAATAAACGTGCCCGCGAACGAGCGCGTACATGGAGAGTCATGATCCAATTAAAACCCAGTTTTACATCAGAGTGGATCATGGGAAATAGTGTATATTGACTGCATGTAATCGTTTGGATATTACACTATTGACTTTTTAAGCCCCATCGTACAGATATTTTACGTTTTCACTTTTAGATAAATACATAAACAGTTGGCCAAAGTGTTGAACAAGCACATGCAAAAATGTCTTTTAGAGATTTTTAATTTCTGAGAAAATCGTTAGTCATAGTCCACAAGGTTGATGATCATACTATTATTAAATGTGGGCCTTACCTGAATATGTAAGGCAATAGAATACCACAAATCTGTGGTCTTGGTATCAAGTACTAGTTCTGGTAGTTACAAACAAAAAACAATCAAAGATCTTATAGGAGATTAATGAAATAAAATAAACTATTTTTATTTATTCAGAATTTTTTTTGCATTTTTCAGTGCTATTTTCTGGTTAATATTAACATGGAAAGACAAACTATAAAAAAAATGTTGTAAACAAAAGTAACTCCAAGTCTAAGTGGAGTATTACGTCCACTTTAGGACTGCCATACTGTTTACATTCACTTTCTTCCATTCACCTTCTTCCTTATATTTATACTGTTACACTGTTTATACTGGTATGCTGTTTGTATTGTTATCTTTATTTTGTAAATTGAAAGTATTTAAGGTAGTCTTTTGTTTGGCTTAGTTGTTAATTCTTATATTTATACTTTTATAGTTTATTTTCATGCACTGTGGGTCTGAGAGGACTGAAATTTCATCTGTGCTGTATGTTTAACATGTATAGCATATTTGACAATAAAGTTGAGTTTGACTTGACTTTGAAAAACCATAGGCTATTCTCAGTGGTCACTGATGTATAGGCCTACTTTGAGTGGCACAGCTAAGGATAACAGAAACTAAAGTGTTGCTACTTTCATGTTATTGAGGTCGCCCTCACCTAGCAGCATTTGTGTGGAGTAATTCAGACTGGAGTGGACTTGACTGGACCCCAAGCATCTGCTTGTTGGTTTCTGGGAACCTGACATGCCCGTCAATCTCACCCTCTCAATCTCTCCCCTGTGCAGATAATACTGAACTCCATGCACAAGTACCAACCCCGTCTGCATATAGTGAAGGCAGATGAAAACAACGGCTTCGGCTCCAAAAACACGGCTTTCTGCACCCATGTCTTCTCTGAGACCGCCTTCATCGCTGTGACATCCTACCAGAACCATAAGGTACACTTGACACAAAAAAAAAAACAGCACAAAAAAAAAAAAAAAAATTAAACCAGGGCAGGAGACCAACCCTCATTGTGATCAATAAAAAGGAAACTTTTTAAAACATAAAATTAAAATATTTTTGGAGCTTTTAAAATTTTAAATAAGAGATTTCGGTGCTTTGATTTAAACAGACATCCTGCATGGGAACAATTCTAAGTAATTTTCTCCTGTAACTTGCTGTTTAAAGTTTTCTACCTTTTCATAAGCAGAGGCTATAAGATGACCTGAAATTATTTTAACAATTTTGAAAATGGATCTCAGACTCTTTTGTGTCCAGATCAAAACTTAAATATCACCAAATCAATAACAGTTTGATGATTAAATACAGCTCTGCTCTGATCTCTGCCACTCACCTTCAAACTGCAGTCTCTATAATTTACTTAACACACATGCTGATACACACTCTCACTCATGCACACAAACATCTTTCGTTAGTAAAACTGGAATTTTTTTTTATCCAGAAAGTGAATTTGTGCCTTTCTTTGTATGTGTTCTTTTCTCCGAATTCGTAATCATGTCCGAAACTAAAAGATCCTATTTAGAGTGTGTGTCTGTGTGTTGAGTGAAACCACACATGTGTGGGAGAGAGGGAGAGAGAGAGAGTGTGTGTATGTTTGTGTGTGTGTGTTGGTCTGTAATGACCTGTTTCCTTCCCTTGATCTTGGCTGGTGCAGTTTCCTCTTCTTCTCCTGGAAAGACAGATTGCTAAAGCTTTAAGCTCTCTGTTAAGCTGTCCAGAATAACTCTTCATTTAGATCACAGTCCAAAGAAGCATAAATAATGATGAATACCAAATAAATACCCTGATTTTTTGCTGAGGCGTGAGAACAGTTTTTTTTTCAACAGTTCAGAAAAAATTATAAGACATTCAATACAATAGAGATCTAATTTTTGCATTGATTAGTATAATTTTTCTTTCATATATACTTTTTTGGCAAATTTTTAGTTTTTCAATATTAAGAGTGTAAAGAAAAAAATTACATACAAACCATTTATGCAAGAATTAAACTTAAACTAATTTAATTGCAACATAAGTTTATACTTTTATACTTAACTGCTAAATATTGTACATAGTAAATTTTAGATTAACAATAATAATGGTTGGTAGCAGTATTTTTTAATCAATATAAATGTCAATTTTATAGATTACAGATAATTCCAGAAAGATAGTCATCAAATGACAAAAAAAGGCTCTCTCTTTTTTAAGATGTAGTTTTTAAGTTCGACCTCTCTTGAAATAAAACATAGTGGTTGTATGAAAACGAGCTCAAACTCGTATTTTGATTGATAACATGAATGCACCAACACTGCTGGTATTTTGAATTTTAACATTTGTGTTTTAAAAATGTAATTACTAAGACAGTCGATTCATAGAGAACTATCAGCCTTTCAGAGCTAAGTTTTTCAACTTATTAGCTGTGTGATGGACATGAAACTCAGAGGTTTCCCTGCATGACATCACTGGGAAAAGTTGGAGGACTTAAGATCAAAGCGTCGAGCTCTGGACCTCTAAAAGCTTTGGCCTGAAATCCTTAAACCTGGCGGCTGTTTGGGTAAACTGTTTATTCTGCGTCAGCTGGCGAGGACGATGTTCGCTCCATTTTAAACGTCAGCAGCTGAGGAATGTCGGCCGTGTGAAGCTGCAGCAGCTTCAAACATCTGCAGAGTCTCAGGGAACTATTAACTTTCAGTTCATGAAAAAAAAAAGGTTGAATTTTCCGTTTTTATGGGGTGAAGTTTTTCTTCGGGTTTAGGCATGCACTGTGATATTCTGCTTGTGTGTGAATCAATGTGTTTTTCTGTTTTGTGCACAGATTACACAGCTGAAGATAGAGAATAATCCCTTTGCTAAAGGTTTCAGAGGCAGCGACGACAATGAGCTGCACCGCATGGCCAAGCTGCAAGGGTGAGCGCAACTCTGTCCGTCTGTGTGTGTGCGTGTGTTTGAGCCTGTGTAGGAAACTACTCTTCTCTCTGAGGGATGTTATGATAGGGCACATATGGTCTAAGACCTTTCGGTGTGTGTGTGTGTGTGTTTATTCGTGTGTGAGTAAAGACAAGCGGTATAAAGAGATGAAAGCCATTGTCACCTGAAGGTTGATCGTTGCCTGAAAGCTCATCCAAATTGTGCGGCACAAACATGACACAGCAAGCAGTGGGCCTTGCGCTGCATCGATGGAAAGATGATATCACTTTATTTATCGCTGCTGGTGTATTAGACTGTCACTGCAGATCAGCTGATGGATGAACATGGTGTCTGTCTGCTTGCTGAAATAATCTTTTTTTAAGCGCTGCTGTGGCAGACAGTTTGGAGAATTTAACAAGCCATCGGGAACTACGGGGGGAGAAAGAGGGAGACCCCAGTATTTTTGTGCTGCAGATGAGGAGAGGGGGAGAGCCTATCTGAAGTGACATGGATGGATGTTTATTTTTAGACCGGTGTATTATCTCACAGCAGCACTGAACTGTGTGAGTGCATGAGTGTGTCTGTGTGTGTTTCACTATCTCAGTGAGAGTCAGGGAGATGCAGTTGGCTGTCTCTACACACCACAGAGTTCACCGAGAGGGCAGCGCGCGTAGAGAGAGATCCGGGCTGAAAGGATTGAGGACTCTTAAGTAGACTTGTGAGAAAAGAAAACAGATTAGAAAGAGAAAAATGTGTACAAACTCAGGAGAGGAATTTTTTGTTCAACAAACCTAAAGCCATACCAACATCAGATGGCAGTTTTTGCCTCTGTTTTAATTCTCTCCGCCTTCTTTGTTTCAGTAAGGACTACCCCGTGGTCCCTCGCAGTACTGTCCGTCAGAGGGCCTGCTCCTCTGGGAGCCCCTTTAGCGGGGAAAGTCGGGGTCTGCGAGCCTCACCTGAAGCTGTTGGCTCCCCCTACAGCTGTGAAAATGGCTTGAACAGCAGCAGTCCCCAGGAGCTGCTGAACGCACCCCCTACGCATTACATCCTGCCTCACCCACATCTACAGCATAGCCAACAATCGCAGGTCTACCACTGCAACAAGAGGAAAGGTAGGCAGTGTCCAAGTCACATTAATGCTCCAGTCTCAATATGTAAGAAACAACAGCAAAGCTCAAAGAGGAAATTAACATTAAGGAATGAAGTCTCTTCAGACAAATTTTGCAGCCCAATGAAATAAAATTGAAATGTTGCTTGCTTGGGGAGTGGGGTATCAACCTAAACACCAGGTTTATTTGTCTGAGACTGATGCAGAGTTTGTGTACATGGTGAAGTACTTTCTAGTATACTTGACAAAAAAGTTAAATTCCCTAAGTATCATTTTTTTCTCTTGTCACAGACTGCATGATTTTTTATTGCCAAAACAGAATAATCTCCATAACTGAGAAATGTACAGCATAACTTAGACTAGAGACTTACTGATGCAGTCACAGACATACTTCAACTATTTTAAAGAGATTTAGACACACATCAGAATGTTAAAGTGAGAATGAATTTATAGACGCTGCCTTTTTCCTCCATCATAAACCCTTACATCATGTTCGTACATGAGATAATGTTAATCTGTTCTTTTTTTGATCAAGTGTCTAAATGGGAGGCTGAAAAGTCTAAACTGATATCTCCCAGATTTCACTTACTTTCTTTTCAATGAAAAAAAAACAATAACATCCTTTGGTAATTCTCTTTGTATCTCTCTCTTCAGCAGATGAGAACTGCTCTGCAGAGAATCGCCACCACCCCTACAAGAAACCAAGCGAGGGCGAGTCCTACTATCACCCCTCCTCCTACCCTCCTCCTCTCTCCAACACCCCTGTCCTGGGCCTCACTGACTCCCCCTACAGTTCAGACATGGGGCAGCGTCAGGCATGCATGTTTGCTGGCTCAGAGTCCAGACTGGATGAACTCAACTGTACATCCTGGTCTTACACCTGCCCGCTGCCCTCCGCCATGACCCCCGTGGACCCTTACCCGCCGTACACCCCCCACCCCCCCTACAACTCCAGTCCTCAGGGCTCTCGACTCAGCGCTATAGCCCACCAGAGCTCACCTCCACTTGGGGAACACATGGCCCACGACCCTTATCAGAGCCAGAACTGTGGACCTCCATCTCAGGGCTCTCAGAGCGTTCACAGCAGGCAGCTCAGCCCTCCCCTCAGAGAGTATCCTCGCTACACGCCCAACCTGTCCCCTCCTCTCTACCACACTCTAGAGACACACACACACATCCGGTGTGGAGTCCCAGAATGGAGCGCAGCCTCCTAACTGTACCAGAGGACATACAAAGACTGATCAGTGGACAGAGATTCCTTGTTTCATATTCAACCACCCCTATGAGAGATGCTGCGAAGCATTCTGTCTAAATGTGACATTACTTGTAAAATAATTGTTTAAAGTGTGTTTCGTGCTGTGTGAAGAGGTTTCTTTTGTTCAGTGTGTTCTCCCCCCTGTCTGGAGGAGTTGATCAGAAAAGACTCAACTTGGACCTCTAAAATGCTTCCAATGCAGGACAATCAGAGTCATGATACATGTCTCTCAGAACCCCAAAGATTGGTGTCATTCAAATATTTGCACTGTGAGTAGTTTTAAGGCCAGGCTGCTCTCCTCTCATTGACCCCCACTTTCTGTATTGTAAAGGATGTTAATTGTGACTCATTGTTAGACAGGCAGTAACATTTACTGACCAAAATTATCTCAGCTCTCACAGTAGAGCCCAGGGGAGAGATTTTTCAGCTGCGTGCGCGGTGTCAGTGAAGGAGAAAAGGCATGAGTTGTCTGTGTGTGCGTGTTTGTATGTAAAGCCTATGTCAGCTCTACTCAAAGATGCTATGAGTTAATTTCCAATGAGACAGGCAGCAGTGGCTGCAGGCGCTACACCATAGAGATAAACAGTTTGTTTAGACGACGCTACAGGCTGAAGGACCTGTAAACACTCCACTGCATTCTGGGTAAATGCACTACTCAGCGTCATGCAGCTGTCACCGATGTCCTCTTAGTCACCCCCAGCTGGCCAATCAGCTTTGTCCATAAGCCAAGAGCCAGCCAATGACCTGGCGGCTTTCTTTTATCCCCAGCTGACCAGTCATAACTGGAGTGCGGCATGTTTCATTGTGTGCGTGTGTTGGCCCAATTTTTGTTTGTTTCTGAATTATTCATGAGTCCAGTGTCGATCCTTGACATGCAAGGATTGCTCAGCAAACACAAAGAGTCGCAGGGGCTGTTTATGTGATAATATTGATGCACCGATTTCAAATAATATTCATTTCTGTCCCTCCCTGCTACATCCGCACAGCGTTTAATTGCTCTGACAAGCCTGGGTTAAATTAAGTTCCTTGAAAAGTTGGGGAGGAAACATTGTGGCACTTGGTGAAGAACACACACGCTGAGATTTTTGTGATTTTTTTGTGTAATAATAAAGCAGTTTTTATATATCTGTGCAGGTGCTTCACATGCAGTAACTTAACAAACCACCAGTATTACCAGGGAAGATCCTCGTCATTTCTCGATATGTGTGTGGTTTATGTCTATGTGTGTATGTGAGTATGTGTGGGTATTACAATGATATTTTTTATAGCCATGTTCCTGCTCATAGTATTTATTACTCTAGATTTGTGAAGATTACTTGGTTGTTTACAGTATTGTACAGAGATTTTTTTGTGTCTCTTTGAAGAATTGTCTCTGGTTTCACCCTCCATCTCCAAGTGGTGATAAATAGTTGTGATAAATGAACCAAATTTTCTGTTCTATGGAAATAAAGACAGATTTATAAACAAAAATGAAATAAATTTAAGAGATTTTTTGGAAAAGTGAAGTGGTTATAGTTGTTCTTCTATGATTAGACAACAAACTCAGCAGAGACTTGCTATTAACATTCCTAAAGGGCTATTTAAAGCACGTTCAACACCTCAGGAGTGGAAACCCTTCAAACTGAAGAGCAATTTATCAGGTTTGGTGTAGGACGTGAACGTGGAAGAGAGTATTGTTCAAAGTGTAGCTGTGTGAACTCAAGGTATGGGGGCTTCCATGCTGTGCATACCTTGTCTGCCTCTTCTTATCTCTGACAGGTTGTTTGGCATCACCAGTCTCTTCCAGCTGGAGCCCATCATTGACAACCTGCTGCCCGGCTGGAGTGAGGTCCGCTGGGGTGCAAGACAAAGGAAGAGTGTTTGTCTTCCTCTCTTCTCTCCTGGCTTTCATGTTTCGACTCTTCTCACAGTAAAGCGATCCTCTTACTCCTTGCACCTGCTCACACCTGTTCACAACACTTTTTTAAAGATCAAATAGACACAACATGACAATATGAAGAGATTTACTCTGAGGGTTCTTGAATCAATTTTAGCTGTCACAACTCCCTCTCTCTCTCTCCCTCTCTCTTTCCCTCTTTTTCTACTTTTTTCCTTTCTCTCTCATACATTGCAAGGTTAGAGGTTAAGCAGGCAGCTCTTCAGAGGGTCCATTTCTCCTTAACCCTTTGTCTCCAGACAAACTGTCCAGGATAAGGAGGGGGGAGGAAGAGGGGAGTCCCAAGAGGGGCCCCCAGAACCCTTTGAACAGATTGCTTCATACTTGTGTGTACAGTAACAGAACTCAGTGACAACCCCTGTATGGATGAGAGTTATAGCTGAGAGAATAAAGCTATAGATGTGTGCATGAGTGTGTGTGTGTGTAAAAGACCTCGATCTATCTCTGCAGGACTTTCTCAGACTCAGTGGTTAGACAGTAGATTGATGGATTATTGTGATCAAAGAGCCTAAGTGGTGCTTATCGTTGTCTGCCGACTCCCCCAACTCTCTCTCTCTCTCACACACACAGGCACACACATGCAACAAACCCGTCTGCAAGCCCTAGTTCCCTATTCTTACCCTTATTCTTGTTTGCAAAACTGTGATCATTTCTAACATACGTCTTGTTTTTGCCTTGTGCACCCAAGGGACACCATATGCTAAAACAAAAAGCGACTGACATTTCCAAATGTCACCCATTTGGCCTGCAGGACAGATTTTGCTCCAAGCTGCATGGATTGAGGAGAATCGGTCATGTTTTAGCTGCATTGTATGTTAAAGCTTGGCAGAGCTATTCCTCCAACAAAGAAAGCTTTTCTAAAAAGCATAAATGACTGATTTAAGGTTTATTTCATTATGGTTTAGACAATTTGTTTTAAATATAAATGTGTATTTGCAGTCTCTTGCAGGACTCTAAGAGACATTTGTGTGATGTCTTGCATTAGTGATGCCATTTCTGTGAGGAATAAGTGCCCTGAGATGGAGTGTAATTGGTAAAGTTGATTATGGTTCAAGACTATAGGTCTGATGGTGCTCTGTCTATGAGGCAGTAAGAGGGACTACATGGTAGCTGTAATGTTGGAATGCAATAAAACAGGGAAAGCTTGAACTGTATATGAGATATTTGTATTATATTTACCAGAAATGCATATCTCTCAGTCTTTTTTTTTCTAGAACTGAAGAAAAAAAATTGACCAGAATGTTTACTGGTGGGTATTTGGTATTTTTAAAGCTTCATCAGTGGGATTTGAATGTTGAGAAGGTGGTGGAAGGTTCAAGTTTAACTTTCCTTTATGTACCAAGGCTAAAGCAGTTGCTGGTTTGACTCCAGGTCACAACCCTTTGCTGCATGTCTTCTTCCACTCTTTACTCCCCACATTTCCTGTCTCTCTACAGCCGTTCTTTCAGTCAAAAAAAAGTTGCTTAAAATGTGTTTATGAACACATCAACCAAATTTTCCCACCATATGCTTATATGATAACCCATTTGTATGTGTAATGTATTATCTGTGAGCTCTGCATGACACTAAAAGCACATCACAATTGGAGTACAATGATGTAAGATAACAAATGCCCCGCCATTACATATGGTGCAACAAAGTAGGTTTTCTGAGGTTTATTTAAATGATACTATCCATCCTTGTTGTTATTTAAAAGCCACAAGAATGGTCTAATCGCATTAAGCACAGTGTAGTAACAAGACCAAGACCCCGGCTAATTTCCCCCTAAATGAGAGTTTATGGCTGAAACTGACCTGAAATCACTGAAGTAGATCTTAATATGAGCATCAGGGCTGTCAAGGATAAGAGGCCATGTAGGAGTGTGTAAGAGTGTGTGGTTGGTGAGTGTGCTTTGGTTAGGCTGTGTGTTGGTCTTAAAGACAAAGGGAGGGGTGAAGGGTCAAACCAACAGCAGACAGGCCAGTGCGGGGTCAGAGGGCTCAGACTAACCTGATCAGTGATGGTTGTTTATCTGCCGACCCTGCAACTGTCACCCTGATAGAGCAGCTTTATCGTCCCCTCTCTCCCCTCTGGACTCTCACTTTTACACCAGTCCAGATATTCAGAGTCAGTTCAGAAGATCAACTGATCTCACTGCAAGACACAAACATGCAAAACAGACCGAAGAGGTGATGTTGAAGTTGTTGTTTGCGGCGCAGTCGTCGCTACTGTTTTCAATGGCTTTAAAAAGGACTCTGTGATGTGAGCGGAAATAATTGTTTTAACTCCTAACTTACCGCCAACAGTCCCAAGACTGGCTGCCAAACACACATGACAGGGTGAAAGGGATAGAGGCGCTCCCGCAGTGGGTGGTGGGGGGGTTGTGGGACGTCATGGAGCCAATGTCCCGTCTGATTACAGCCAGAGGACTGGAGAGGCACGCTAATCCTTTACACACACCCACACACACACACACACACACACACACACACACACACACACAAATATAGATACACATTCAGTTTCTTTGAGACAAAGACACTCGACCAGCAAGACGGAAAGACATACACACAAGCATACAGACACACATCAACCCGTTCATTCAGGAGATTACACCTCATACCCCCTGACCTCACCGCGGTCCCCTGGTCCAGACAGGACACACATAATGATATCACAACCAGTAGGATTTCACTTTGCCGCTCTGCTTGTTTGCTCACTGTACTGACTGACTGCGGCCCCTCACAGTCTCCTGGTTCTGAATAAAGGAACATTGTCAGGTCATTATAATGCATGGGGGCCAGGGCCGTGGCAAGAATTTCAACAATACTAAACCCAATTTCTTGTAATGCCTCCTCCCTTTCCCTGTCTCAGGAGTGTATTCAGACTTCATACAGTAAGTATTGATTGAAAAATATATTAGTTTAATCATAAGAGAAATACAACTCCTTATCTTATTTTGTGATTTTTCTGCTCACAGCAACAATGTGGATTTTGACAGCCCTTGAAGACACAAAGACACTTCTTTATCTCTTGTTTTTACTGGACCTATCAACACCTACAGCTGAGTGAGTTCATGAGACTGATTTATTGAAATAAGCCTAAATACAGTTATAGTTGCTCCAAAGTTGCAAAGTTAGTACTTGGTTGCAATCAAGCAAAATACTCCACGATTATTACAAAAATAAAATGCGTGAATAAAATGCAGATGCCTGGCTGGTAAATCTTTTATCATATAAGCACCATAGCAACATTTGATCATTAACTTAAACACAAAATCAAGTGAAAGCTGAGGACATGTTATTCTAAATGTTGGAAAATGAGGTTTTCCAGCTTGAGAAAACCCTCATCCTCAAGACGAAAGTGTGCAAACAAGTACAGATAAGAAGTTCACATTTTAAACAAAAATTACTTCTTAAAAAAAGGTAAAAACTGTTATCAGAAACAACTGGCATAGTTGTGTGTATCAGATTTTTCCAGCGTGTAATCTTGAAGATCCTAAATCAGGCCTGGCCTAAGGTTACTGGTCTTATTGTTTGGTTATTCAGATATCCAAACAAAATTTAATCAAGAAAAAGTTTTTAAAAACTCAAAGCTTTAAAGACATGTTGGTAACACTTTACTTGACGCCTATCTCTATAACGCATTATAAATATTTGTATAATGTGTTATAATCACGTTATAGCACTTCTATAGTTGTAAACACTCATAAATAGTCATAATGCTTTATAGCAATAATCATAACACATTATAAAGCATTTATCGTGACTTACAAGGTCAGGTATTATAATCTGTTATAACTGTTAACAACTCACTGACAATGCCCACATAGATAATGCATTGTACATGTAATAATGATGTGTTATAATTAGCTTATAAACTTGTATAACTATTATTACAAACACTCATTAATTATCATAAGGCTTTATAACAATGAGCATAACAGATTATAATACCTGACCTTGTAAGTCATGATAAGATGCTTTATAATGTATTATGATTATTGCTATAAAGCATTATGATCATTCATGAGTGTTTATAGCTATAGTTAAACAGTGCTATAATGTCATTATAACACATTATACATGTATTTATAATGCGTTATAGAGATAGGTGTCAAGTCAAGTCTTACAGACATTTCATATGTACTAAAAAAGATTCATTTTGGCTGTTATAAGATCCCCCTGTGCCTTAGCATCCTCTGGCAGGCCTCTCTCTCTGCCTGTGTTTTGGCTGCCCATGCTTTCCTGTACACTTGTCCCCACTCGTGTTCAAGCATGTTTGCAAACAGGCCAGACACGACCACTGCTGTGAGACAAACACCAAACACAAACATCAATAAACAAACAAATCCATTCATACAGCCCACTCCTTCCAAACACTGCATGCACACGCTGCCCAATTTTACAGCACTCACTCAGACTGCTGTCAGGTCTCATTGTTTGCCAGGAGCAGCATTTGTTTGGTTCATATCCCGTGCATTTCTGCAATCTTGTCTCATTACTAATAGATGGTGTCACAGAGTCGCTGGCCTCTCTGTCTGACAAGGCATTAG